CCCCCCCCCCCCCCCCCCCCCCCCCCATGCCACTTTAAAAGTCTTCTCCAAAAGAAGCCTCTCCCCTTTACTCTCCAAGATTTTTTTTCTCGTAGCTCTGTTATATGCGCGCCCTTCTAAAAACACTAAGCTCGCTCGACCGGCATATTTAAGAAAGAAGAAAAAAAAGGTCCGCTGAGGGAGCCGGAACGCGGTACAGAGGCAACTGAAGACATAGAAAAACCATCAAGTAATACACCCAGCCCGTGGCCAACAATCCAGAGCTTATCAGAAAAACGCAGAAACTAATGTGCAAAGAATTTTTGGGGATCAGAGGCGGGAGGAAAAGAAAAGATAAAGAAAAAAGAGGAAAATAATAACGAGAGAGGGAAAAGGGGAAACAAAAGGTATCAAGTCGGCCGCTTTCCTTTTCCGACTGTCGCCGAGAGAATCGGGATAGAGATGCCTCCACGAGGGGCTCATGCAGCGGCCAAAAATAAATAAATAAAAAGAGTTAATGGTGTAAGTAGGGCACGTTTCGTCACTTCGTCCTGCGTACGCCAGTATTCGCAAGCCAGATATGCGTAGTCGGGTGTCCGAAATTGGCGGGTAATATAATCGTTTGAATGCGGATGGTGAAGAAAAGTCACGGATTAGACTTGAATCGACAGGCGCGAATTAAAAGTCCATCCGTATCACAGACGCAGGCAATTTAATAGGCCCAAACCTTGAGCTGCGGAGGAGGTTAGCCACGTCGAGTTGAGAAAAAAAAGAGCCGCGACTTGTCCAACTTACCAGAGAATCCCATGAACCTGTGCACAAGCTGATTCCGTCGTTGCTGACACCCAAGCAGCTCACACGGTTCTCGTGGCCTACCAGTGAGCCAACCTTTTCGCCTCGTGTAATATCCCAGACCTTGATTGCGCGAGTTAGCATCAAAAGCCATTTTAAGAAAAGTAAGGTTTCATCGCGATGTAAACTTACCTTGCACTCAAAGTCGTCATATCCGGCAAAGAGCAGACGTCCGGACACGGAGGTGGCAACGGATGTGATGCCGCAAAGAATGGATTCAGACTAAATCGGCACGTTAGCATTTCAATCGTCAAGAGAAGAGTCTGGGGCATGCGGATTCTACTCACTCCATAGAGGTTCAGTTCGCGATCGGCGCGAATGTCAAACAGCCGGCAGGTGGCGTCGTCGGATCCCGTGACGAAAGAGTGGCCGTCGGGGAAGAACTGGATGGCGTTGATGTCGGACTCGTGGCCGGCAAAGGTCTGCACCGCCTTTCCGGCACGGATATCCCAGAGCTTGGCGAACGCGTCGCAGGCACCAGAGATGAAGGTGTTTTGGTTGGTGGGGTTCAAGCTGATGCTCATGACATCGCCAAGGTGGTCGGCGAACTCGGTGACCTTTTGGCCAGTCTCAATGTCCCACTTCATGCAGGTCATGTCACCGGACGAGGTGAGGATGCTGCGATCGTTGATGAATCGGCAGCAGGACAGGTAGCCGGCGTGGCCGGACAGTTCCCTGGCCACCCGCGTGGGGCCGTCGCGCTGCTGGTTGAGGTTGTAGATGGAGCAGATGTTGTCGAGACCACCGCAGGCGACAAAGTTGCCGCTGGGGGCGTAGGCGCAGGTCATGACCCATGATGAGCGGAGGGGGATGGCGTGGACTTTGTTGGTGGTGTAGGCGTCCCAGATGATGAGCTTTCCGTCTTGAGAGGCTGAGACGAGGTGCCGGCGGTCCGTGGACCAGTGCATGGCGTAGATCTTGGCCAGATGGCCCTTGAGAGTCCGCTTCGCCCGCATGAGCTGGTTCTTGGGGATGGGCTCGTGAGCCTGCTGAGCGACAGCCCGGACTGAAAAAAGCATCCAGTTAGCATCGCGAAAAATAAAATTGAAAGAGAAAAAGAAAACGGCCGGTTGAGAGACGCCCGGAGAGACGCGGAGAGAGAGAGAGAGAGAGAAATCAACGTACGTGTAGTGTCGGCCAGCTCATCCTTCTTCCGCTTGATCCTATCCTTGAGCGTTTCGGCCTCGCGACGCGCTTGCTGGATGCGCGCCTGCATCGCCTCGGGCGACACATCGTTGGGCTGCGAATTCATGGCGGAATCGACGGTTGACGGGCGACGACAATGGAGATGAAGATGGAGAAACGGGCGGGCGATGGCGATGGGAAGCTGCTGCGGGTTTTTGGCGGCGTCGTTCGTCGTCGGGAGGGAATCGAATTGACGACGGTTGGGATTGTGGAGAGCGGAGGGAGAGGAGAAAGGACAGGAGAAGAATTGCGCTGGCGCCGGTTGGGGGGGAAAGGGAACAGAATCAATGGAACTGGACTGGACTGGACTGGACTCAAGTGAGCTACAGGTACAGCAACCGTTAGCTCCTATCCCAGGGGGGTTGGTGCGCTCTAGTCCCGGCTGGGGTGCCTGGGGCGGGTTTTTTGGGAAATTGACGGTGGGCTGCGAAGGGCCCTGGAGCGGCAGCTTACTGTACAAGTACAACTGATTGAGGTGAACCGATTCGGGGGTGGAGCCCTGGAACTCTCGCTGGACGAGCGCTGGACACGGCGCTTTTCAGGGCCGGGATGTGCCAAGGTCAGCCCAAGCGCTAAGGAGCTGAGTGAAGATTGGATCCACGTAGTGTGCAAGAATCGAGGCACTTTCAAGACCTAGTACGAGCAGCAGCATTACTGCAACTATCGCTGTTGCATGACCCGACGGAGTTGCAGTGTTTACAGGTAATGTCCTAGGTAGGAGTACTACTAGTACCTAAGTAGCTGCAGCATTGGATCGTGCATTGTACATACAGATATCCGTCCAGCTTGGCTAGGTACGAAGTTGAATTGGCCTTGCGTGCTTCCGCTCTGCCCGCACTTACGCTGTAAGGGGAAATGCTAATGTACCTAGCGTCCGCCTCTTGAGAGTGTCTGTCTGGGAGGTACTTGTTCTCCGCCTCTGGCGACGCAGCCCGCGCAAGTACCGAAGCGACGCAGCGCAGCGCAACGCCGTGCAATGCAGCTCAGACACACCCGACACAAATCTGACTGATGCGCTGGGCTCCAAATTACCCAGTCAGTCACTCCATCCGTGTGGCTTTTTTCTTCTTTCCGCCCGGGCGTCTCCGTTTCCATTTCCATTCCATTTCAATCTATTTCTAAGCGCGTCATGGCCCGCGGTTCTGGTATCTGGGAAATAGCCCAGGGTCAATGCGAAAAAGAGCTGGAGTTAATTACTACCTAGTAGTTACAGGCTGGCGGGATGGGATGAGATGGGCGGCCTCGTTTCTGCGGCTTGAAAGTCAGTTGAGGTGTCAGGTAGTACCTACTGTACTGCTAATTCCAGGTACTGTATAGCCTCCAAGCTCGCACCCACCGCACATTCCAAGCATTCAATTTGGTGATTTGATCACGACAATCACAGCATCAGTCCAGACAAACGGCGAAAAATGCTGCTAACGCTGCTGTACAGTACCGTGACGCGCGCAAGCTGCCGAGCTGCAGCAATGGATGGCATTGAGCACTAACAACCTACACCGGCGCTCATGAATCCAACGCGGCACAGTGGCGGCCGAGTCCGAAATGCCACTGTGTTGCCCAGGCGAGGCCCTTCCCGAGATGCAGATTCTCCGTCTCTTTTTAGGCCCTGCTCGTAATCATTCATGCCTGGGTGATTTAACATCAGGGGCAAGGAGGCTGGTGGAGTCGCGTTTTCCCAAAGAACATGCTGCAGGCTTCCATTGCCTCTTCGTTTCTGCACCGAGCAGAGCGAGAGGACCAGGGTCACTGCGGATGGATGCTTCCCTTGCAAGGAACAAAAAACGCTTGGCTACACGAAGAGCACTGTGCTGGTTGAATCTTTTTCCTTTTTCCATCGTACATTCCGAGATGCAGCTTTCCGCGGTTCCTTTTTTTGCTGCCGGCCAACCAGAGCGGGCAATCTGCTGCAATCGAGGAACCGGCCAACCCAACGGGTTTCTCATCTCACCTCTCGATAACGCAGCATTAACGCATCGCAGTAGTTCCTCTAGGCCCGGGTTGACGCCACTGGCCGTGACCCTGCAGCTCGGCGCCCCCCCCCTGAGCAGATTAGCCTGTGCTGGACAGAGGCCATGATACGGGGAATTGCGAGTAATATTGCTGGGCAGCGTATCGTACGGGTTGAAGTCGACGCATTTCCCATTGGATTGGATCCTTTATGCACGCAAACGGCTTCCCTCGTCCTCATCCTCATCCTCATCCTCATCCTCATCCTCCCCTCCCGCGCTCTCTCGCCACCACCCTCACCCTCACCCTCACCCTCACCCTCACCTCGTCTCTCCTCATCCCCATCCTCATCATCTCAAATCCCAGAATCCCAAACATCCCACCTGCTACTGCGAATAGCTAGCCCAGAACTGGCCAAGGACGCAATTTACGGCGACCCGCTTCCCTGCCTCCGGAGCCCACCTTCTACTCGCAGCTCTGGCCCGGCCTAGGACCAAGACGTTTTGCTCTGCACTAGCCGATCCGCAACTCATCCTGGACCCCGGCCTGGGGTGAAGTCATTCGACTTGGGGGGGAGCCTGCGAGTAATTAATACAGCGCAGTAACGAGTAGACAGAGGGTGACAAGAGCTGAAGTTGTCGCCAAGCAGGAGTTGCTGCAGTAGACTTGTATATACGATACGCTCACAGTTGTGCTACTACCTATAGTAGTACTAACCCACAAGATTTACAAAAAGTAGAGCCATCGGTATAGATTGATATCATTGAATACCTGTTACACGTTGCTTGAGCCAAAAAGACGCAAAAAGCACATCCGATACGATACGCCAAAAAAATCACCTCGTTCAAGAGAACCAAGCCAAAGCCTTTCTCTTCTTGGCCCTTGTCCGAATTGCCGTGCGGATACTCTAATTTCATTGAATGCTTTCTCCCCTCCAACAACGGCCGCACTGTGTTCCAAAGCACGGGAACGCACCTCTTTTTTTCCTTCTTTTCCTTTTTTCCTTCTTGGTGGTGTCTGGGCGTATTGCGGGATGGCTGTCTTGCGTGTGCGTTTTTTTTTTCCTGGCTTGGGGGTCAGTGCATTTGATGATTGTTTCTTTCAATCAGTTGTCGACATCTGCAACATGGAAAAATGCCGTCCATTCTTAGGCCTGTATTACCTTAGTACTCGTATCTACCATTGTTGCCATGAGATTTCAATTTGTAATGTGTCTGGTACCTTTAATATTCTTCACGCTTCTCTATACCATGAAGCAATAAGTCCAGTCCCTCCACGCTCTCATAACCCCCAAATCACGCCCTCTCGGTATATTGTTTCCCTATCCCGAATCCAGCAGTCCGCATCAGCGAATCTCGATGGCCCTCACCACACTAGCCACCCATCTAACCATCCCTACAAGTACCTACAGTACATACACACATACAAGTAGGTAAATACTCGTACAGACAGACAGACAGACAGACAGACAACCCATCGTAGTAGTACCTGTAATGCTGTGCCATATTGTACCGTATAAAAGGTACCTGCCCGTAAACACACCCAACAACGTCCGAGACGAGATGATGACCGCCTCCATCCTCAATGCCACCTTTTCGCCTCCCCCCCGGTACTGTACATACAGTATCAACGGCGAGTCGCAGTGCAGTAGTGCCGCATTTCAATCCGTACAAGCGCCGCGGCTTGGTACGGTGGCATCCCGTGTGTGTGAGCACATGTACCTGCGTGTTTGTCTGTGCTGTTCGTTCACTTTTTCCCTCACTTTCATCATGGCACGATGCCTTTTTCAATACGGAGTACAAGGGGTATTTTCACGCTACTGGTAGTGGGCGGCTTTTTGATTGCTGCGTGATGTAATTGATTGGGCCCCCCTTGTGAAGAGTTTGGGTGTTTTAATGTAGGATTCAAAAGATCCGCCATACTCATGTTCGAATGTGTGTGGTATGAGGTGTGACGGCATCTACTATCTGCCGAGACTCGCGGTTCAAAAGTCGATTGATGTCTCTCAAAGAGAATAAATATGCCATTCGGCAAGGTGGCCTCTGTCTGTGAGATGGCCTCAATTCGAGTGTTTTATATCATCCATCATTGTACCCCCAATTCCATATCCAGCGCTCTAGTTCATCCAGCTCTTCTTCTTGGTATACTATAAAGCTGGTCCCGGAAGGGACTTGTCCTCTCTATCTCTTTACTCCATCATGCTACGATTTAAACCAGCACCCAACTCACATCACGCTCCAATCTCATTAATGCGTCTTTGCCCATTCCTTGAACCACTCCAGAGCCTCGGGGTTTGCTACACTGGCGTTCGTCTTGATGCTCATGCCCGAAAGAATCTGCTTCACGGCAACTTCGATTCTATGACAATGTTAGAAAATGAACCATACATGTCCTCAGCTCCCGAAACTTACTTTTTACCGTTACCCGTCTTCGGAATGCCGCCTCCGCACTCCTCCACCACGCCTGGGACGTGACGCGGGCTGAGCTCGCTCTTGATCTTGTGCTTAATCTTGTTTCTCAAGTCGTCGTTGAACTCGTGCCCAGGTGTCGGAACAACAAACAGGCAAACCGTCTCGTCCGTGTCCGTTGCTCGTCGGCGTCCTACACAGACGGCATCCTCAACCTCGGATGCAAAGAATCGGATCAAGATGTTGTAAATCTCGGCCGAGCCGAATCTCACGCCAGCCGGCTTCAAGACACCGTCAGATCTACCCAACATGAGCAGGCCGCCCGTCTTGGGGTCAGGAATCTTGACAAAGTCGCCGTGATGCCACACCGCCCCCTTGACGCCGCACACGTCCTCGAAACGCTCAAAGTAGGCCGCCTTGTACTTGTCGTCACCTTTGGCACCGAAGAAAGTCAGAGGCTGGCAGGGGAAGGGCTTGACGCAAACCAAGTCGCCGGGCTCTCCTGCGGGAACGTCCTCGCCAGTGACAGAATCAACAGCCTTGATGGCCATTCCGAGGCCAGCACACTGAATCTCGCCGACTCGAACGGGGAGGAGAGGGCTGGGAGCGCCGAATAGAGAGATGATGTCGGTGCCGCCAGTGATGGAGGCAAGATTAATGGTCTTGGGGAAGGCTTCGTAGACGAAAGAAAAGGTGGACGGCGGCAGTGGTGAAGCTGTAGAGTATATGGCTTCGAGGTGTGATAAATCAATGCTGGAATCACGAACAGGATAGACTCCATTGGCCTCTAATGCTGTGAGGTAGGCGGCTGAGGTGCCGAAATGGGTCACCTTGAGGTCTGACAGCACGCGGGGAATGGACATGTATGAGTTGGGCCGGAATGGTGACCCCGAGTACAGAATCAGCTTGGCTCCGACAGCAAGCGCTCCGACGCTCCAATGCCACATCATCCAGGAAGTGGTTGTGTAGTAGAGCATGCTTGAAGACGGGATCAAGGAGCAGTGCAGCATGTGCTCCTTCTTGTGCTGGATGAGTGTTCCCAGAGCAGTGTGGACGATGGCCTTGGGGAGACCGGTGGTGCCGCTGGAGTAGAGGATGTAGAGTGGATGCGATGGCGACAGCTGTTCAAACGTCAGAGCATCTGATGAGGCGCTGGATAGGAAGCTTTGGTATTCAACAGCCGCGACACCGTGAGCCTCAATATCCTTGATGCCCAGATCGCCCTTGATGTTGTTGATGACAATGACCCTTTGCAGGCCCAACTTGCTAAGCTCCGCGACAATGTCTGTTGTCTTGGATGTGCTCGACCACTCCTTGCCATTGTACACGGTTCCGTTGTCGGCGAACAGAATGCGAGGTCCAATCTGGCTCAATCGGTCCAACACGGCAGAAACGCCGCTGTCAGGGCTGATGCCCGTCCATATCGCGCCGAGAGAAGCAGCCGCCAGCATGGCGACCACGGCTTCCACATGGTTGGATACATAGCCCGCGACGATGTCGTGGGGCTTCAAACCTTGGGCACGCAGAGCATTGGCGCATTGGCGGACCGACTCGCGCAGCTCAGCCCAGGTGGTTGATCGCAAGTCGCCAGGGAGCTCGGTGGTGGTGATTACGGCAGTGGAGGAAGGGTCAAGAGGCTTGTCTGTGGGAGGGAAGAGGAGATTTTCGGCGAAGTTGAGGCGAGAGTCGGAGAAGAAGTCGGGACGAGGGAACATGGGCGCATCAGCCGGCAGGACCTGGTTTGGTCAGTCAACTATTCAAGCTCTTTCGTTCCACGAGGCTGAAGATGGAAACCAAACAAACCTGCGAGTATGGCTGGGATGAGACGATGCCGACAAACTGCCACACCTCGTCCCAGAACTGGGCGACATTGTCGACAGACCACTTGTACAGGTCCGGGTATCCGGTGAGGTGCAGGTTGTGCTTCTGGTTGACCGTCTGGAGGAACTGCCACATGGGCGTCGAGGCAGGCTCAGCGTGTCTCCAGAGCTCCTTTGCCTTGGGAGCGACGCCTACGAAGGCATTGTCGCGGTCGATGGACTCCCCCATGGCGTCCTTGTCGTTTGTCTTCAAGAATCGACGTCGTTATCCGCGCAGCCAGTGTCCAGACAGAGCAGAGAATCAAGCACAAGGAGCGACGAGACGAAGCCAATTGATGGTCCGAGTCTCTGCTTGTTTATTTTCCCCAAGAATAAGCAAATAGTCTTTCAGGGACCGGAAAACGGTTGGGGATCTCTGGCCCAACTGCCGAATCGGCTGCGTTTGCGGTCCCCCTCCATCGTGGCCCGTTGCAACCCGCGGGCACCCTCGGTTCTATTTTGGAATGGTTGCGAGGCGATTTTAGAAGCCGAGAATTTGTGGCTGGAGCAGAGGCTGAGCAGAACGAGAGAGATGACTAAGGATCGAAGAGTGGCTGGTGCAACTAGTCAAGTTTGGTTGGATTTAGGGGAAAGATAAGAGAGGAAGGCAAGATCAAATGGTTTCTGCTTTAGCATGTGCACTAGGCTGGGACTTGATTTAGCGGACTGCAGATGCCGAGGCGAAAGTCGAGGTTTGAAGAATTTTCTGTTTTTCAATGCTCTCTTTTCCACTGCCTTGTTTTCGGCAATATTCCGGAGAGGCCAAATTGCTCAAGCGTGGGCTGATTCTCTCATAGTGGTTCGTGATTCCCCGTTCCGTTCAGTCTCAGTTATCTATTGCCTCGGGCACAAATTACCAGGATGAGGTGATGGAACAAAGTCAAAGACCCATAAGGTTGACGCTGTTGGCGTGGGTGACAAGCCAATTACACGTAAAGCAGAGGGAAATACACGTACGGAGGACCAAGTCCGTGTGTCACTCAAGGTCGCACTGCATGCTTCGCTGGCACTCGTTCCGTCTGTATACTACAGTACGGAGCACTATTGCTACAACGCGGGACGAGACAAGTAGGAAGAGTCCCTTGCGCTTCTAGTCAAAGCTGGGATTGAAACTTGTAAGCGAATCCAGAGCGACAGTCACTACTAGGTCAGTAAGTTGTCGAGATGCCAAAGTCGCTCGAATACCTGAGGTACTATGTGATGTGCAAAGTACAGCCCACCAGCTGTTGCGTCCGGCATCCTCGGAGAGTTTTCTGGCTGGCATCACGAAACTCGGCTTCTGTGCTGTATGTGCTCCAACAGCTCTCAGCTCGCAGCCGCTGCCAGCTCTGCTTTGGTGTCAGCGCCCCCTTTTTGGGCTGCTCCCACGGGCGAGAGAAATCGCGGCAAAATGTCATCGCGCGGCTGCCCCCTTGCAGATCGTTGAAGCTGTAATGCGACGTTGCCGGACTGCGACAACGGAGAAGCATCGAGCCACTCATCTCTTTAACTCGTAGTCTGTCTATGCTTCCTTTCGAGAGAGAGCATTCTGGGTGGCAATAGTCCATGCATGAGCACGAGTAGCTACTCAGACGGCACGGCTTCACCCAGGGCAACCAACCATCCTGGAAGCAAGCGAGGATCGCAACGGTCGTCGGTCGCTTGGAGGATGTCGGCTCGAATGACCTCATCAGCTGCAAAGACGCATCGGCCGAGATTCGCATCGTCTGTCTACCAGCTAATGCTCGTCGTAGCACCAGTAAGCCCGGGCGATCCGTACCTGTACTGTAGGGCCCATCCACGCGCTCGGCAGAGAGTTGCAGAGGCCCAAATTAAGTGCCCGTGGACAAGCTAGACGCCCACTTTTGCCCTTGTCGAGACGGATCGCTTGGGGCTCCTGAATTCCGGCTTGGCTCCTCGTTGGTCCCTCTTGGTGTTGGTCTGGCCGCAGGCGCCGCAGGTTGTGCCCAGCCCAGCAGAGGAGAGGAGAGATCAAGTCAATGCAAGGGAATCGGAATCCAATCCAAGCGAGCTAGAGAGAGTGACAGTGACAGTGACAGAGACAGAGACAGAAGCGAGAGCTCCGGCGAGAGGGAAATAAAATAAAATAAAATAAAAGCGCTCCAACGGGCTGTTTCCGCTGCATCTTGGCGGCTCGTCTTCTCTATCGGTTCTTTTCCCCCCTCCCTTGCCCGTGTGGCTCCCAGGTCGCGGATTTCATTGGCCTTGTGGGTTCGTCAAAGACCCCCTTTCGCCAATTCATCTTACCCAGCCGAAACTCCCCCCAAGCCAAACCTGTCTTCTTCAACCTGCTTTTGCTTTTGCCCGGCCCTGCGATCGTGGTCATTTCGTCTGTCGCGTGGTGTCCTTGTGCTGCATCTCCACTGAGCTGGGATATTGCCTTGGGGACAGCGGTATTTAATTATAATTATTATTTTTTGTTGAGCCACAGGGCTGCTGCCGCAAATCAGCCCACCTTGCAGAGCCGAGTGCGAGGCCTGAGCAGATTCAAGAAGGCGTCGTGTCAAGGCGAGAAGCACTGCAGCACCATCCTCGGTGTTGTTTCTTTGGTTTTCTAACTGGTAGGTTCACGCTGCTGTTTTGTTTCAAAATCCCGCCAATTCAGCCTCGCGTCCAATCCGTCTCTTGGGGGGGCTTCAGTCCCATCTTCTTCCCCCATTCCCAGCCCCTCCTCCTGAGGCCTCGTCCAGCAGCTGGCCCATCCATGGCTGCAGAATCGTCTGCAATTGGCATGAACGCGGGCCTCGCTGGAAAGCTTGTTTCGATTCCTCTCGAGACGCTTGACCGACAGCGGTTCGAAGCCTAGTGGCGCCGCCCGGTGAAGCCCAGCAGCAAAGTGTGGCCACACCGCATCGCGCCGGAGCTTTTGAGTTTTGTCGCAGCCGCTGCCGAAGGGCCTGAGCTTCTAGCGAAGCATGGCGCCTGGGAATCTGGGCGGAGGAAAAAAAAAAGCAAAAGGGAAACCCCAAGAACCTTTGCACGGATCCCCCGATCCACCATCACGCATTCATCTTCGCCCTAGCTCGCTTTTTGCTCTCATTGGCCATTGAAGCTAACCCGCCTCGTTTTTCTCCCTCTCCAGGCGACCAAGTCCACGAGCCGGCTTCTCTTTTGAGTTTGCAAAAGCCTCGAGGAGATCATGCCGCGACGGCTTGCAAATCCCTTCTCCTCCAGCCAGTCTGCCATGTCTGTGTCCGAAAAGACTGGCGAACGACGTCTCTCAACCTCAAAGACCAACCGACTGAGCCAGCTCTTCTCGTCCAGCCCAAAGTCCAAGGACCAGGCCGTCATGCATCAAAGCCAGATGAGCACCATCTCGCCGTCGACGGTGTCGCTGCCCACCATTTCGCTGTCCACGGCGACGGGTGAGTCCAACACCACCGAGCCGACCACGACGCTGTTCAAGCCTCAGTCGGCCGAGGAGGTGGAGCGCCGGCGACGCGTCGAGGCTCAATTTGGCCCGCTGCTCTCTCCCGAGCACTTGTACACCAGTCAGGCCGCGGGCAAGCCCTTTGAGCGGCCGATTGAGGACGAGCCTCCGTACTACTATCTCCTGACCACCTACCTGAGCTACTTGGCTCTCATTCTGTTTGGCCACGTTCGTGATTTCTTTGGCAAGCGGTTCGGCGACCGCAAGCGCTACCTGCCTCTCAAGATTCACAATGGATTCGCCCCCCTCAATGATGATTTCGACAGCTTCTACACCCGACGCCTCAAGACGCGTCTGGACGACTGCTTCGCCCGCACCACTGTCGGCGTCCCCGGCCGCTTCATCACCCTCAAGGACCGCAAGTCGGACGACTACAACTACACCTACCGCTACACCGGCACCTACACTGAGACGCTAAACATGAGTTCCTACAACTATCTCGGTTTTGCTCAGTCTGAGGGTCCCTGTGCCGATGCCGTCGAGGAATGCGTCAAGAAGTACGGAGCCACCTTTGCAAGCCCCCGAACTGACAGCGGCACTTCTGATTTGGCCCTCGAAGTTGAGCGGGAAATTGCGTCCTTTGTTGGAAAGCCCGACGCCATGGTCTTCTCCATGGGCTACGTCACCAACTCCAGCACGTTCCCTGCGCTTGTGTCCAAGGGCTGCCTGATCATATCTGACGAGCTGAACCATGCCTCTATCCGAATCGGTGCTCGTCTTTCTGGTGCTGTTATCCAGTCGTTCAAGCACAACGACATGGGCGACCTCGAGCGTGTTCTCCGTGAGGCTATTTCCCAGGGCCAGCCAAGGACTCACCGTCCCTGGAAGAAGATTCTCGTGGTCGTCGAAGGTCTCTACTCGATGGAAGGCACCATGGTCAACCTGCCCGGAATCCTGGAACTGAAGCGCAAGTACAAGTTTTACCTGTTCATTGACGAGGCTCACTCCATCGGTGCCCTGGGACCCCACGGCCGCGGCGTTTGTGACTACTATGGCGTTGACACCTCGGAAGTCGACATCCTCATGGGCACTCTAACCAAGTCTTTCGGCGCCAACGGAGGCTACGTTGCCGCGGAGAAGCACATCATCGACAAGCTCCGTGCCACCAACGCGTCCACCATCTTTGGCGAAGCCCCTGCCCCCTCGGTGCTCATGCAGATTCTTGCCTCCCTCAAGCTGATCAACGGAGATATTTGCCCAGGCCAGGGCGATGAGCGCCTGAAGCGCATTGCCTTCAACTCTCGCTACCTTCGTCTCGGACTCAAGCGTCTCGGTATGATTGTGACTGGTCACGACGACTCACCCATCATCCCCGTCCTGCTTTACAACCCCGGAAAGATGCCTGCTTTCAGTCGCCAGATGCTCGCCCGCAAAATCTCCGTCGTTGTCGTCGGCTATCCCGCCACCCCCCTCATCAGCTCGCGTGCTCGCTTCTGCGTCTCTGCTGCCCACAACAAGGATGACCTCGACCGACTGCTCATTGCCTGTGACGAGGTTGCCGACCTTCTCCAGCTCAAGTACTCCACGGGCATTGCCGGTGGTTTGGAGCCTCTGCCTGAGGGCGTCGCACCAGAAGACGAGGCCGAGTGGAGGAAGAACACCGGCACTCCCATCAAGGCTCCCCGATGGAAGGTCGAGGACGTCATTCGACGAGGTGTCGTTGACTGCAAGCTCCCTCTGCGGTGAGCGGCTTTGTCTTTTGGTTCTTTTTTTTCTTCTTTTTTCTACAGCCAATGACATTTGTGGGCAACTCAATATTGAACCCTCCCTCCCATCAAAGAAAAGACACATAGAACGGGGGGGGAAACCACGGCTCGGTGTTTGAGGCGCAAGTGTTTTTTTGAAGCTTATGTCCGGCTCTTGGGAGATGAACAAACGGCGTCTCTCTTTTTTTTTCCTTGTTTCATCACATATCAAAGGAAAAAAGACCCAATTACTATTTTTTACTCCAACGTTCGACTAATTGAGCTTACGATGCTCCAGAGTCTTGTGGTCAGCTCTGGTTTGGCGCGAAGCCGTATTATTACATAATTAATGTGACCATGCCCGACACAAAAGCGGCCATGATTGAATGTGAAGCTTGCAGGGATCATGACTGCAGGGCGATTTTTAATACCGGGACGGGGCTCGGAAACGACTTGCCCCCAGGCTCTGCCGGCTTTAAGTCGAGCGGCCAACGGGTTGGGGATATTCGGGCGGGATTACGGGATATATAGGGCGGATAAGGTGTTTTTTATATGGGGTGGGCTTGACAATTGTAAATACTACCTATGAAAGTGTGCAGAAGGCGTATAAGATGGTTAATGAAGGTGAATGTGGAGAATCGACGGCTCGTCTTATCTGTGGTGTCATTTGTGATTTGTGATGCCCCGGAGATGTAGTCCACGATGTCTTGTTGTCTAGGTATCTTCTATATAAAAACATGTACGAGCACAGGCATAACGTCTCCAGTATACTATCAATTGTAGCTGCAATGCAATGCAACGCTATTAATAGACGCCCCCATGCCGCTTACAGCACGGAGTACAGCAGAGAGAAAGAAAAAAAACAAACGATGGACGGGCTTTGAAACGCGCGGGTGCGGGTGCGGGTGCGGGGGGGAGGAAACATGAATCTTGAGTGTTTTGGTATATACGAGGGTTTTTGGCGTTTCATGGCCAAGGGGGGGCGGGTTGGAGGATGAAACGCGTGTGCGGTATGGAGGGAGGTGTTTCTTGTTTGCGAATTAGGTAGGCAGTAGAGATTGATACGGGGTTTACGATATAGACGAGTTTTGCTTGTTTCTTCTTTTTTTTTTCGTTTCGGAACGGCTCGGGATGTTCTAGGGGGGAACTTGTTAGTGTATGTACGAGTCTGGGTTACGAATGTAAGACATGATGGGATGGGATGTTGCTGCAAGGGAGAGGAAGGGGAAGCGAGTTTTTTTTTCTCTTTTCTTTTTTTGGTCTTTTTGGCTTTTGGCTTTTGGCTTGCCCCTTGCATGTTATGTGATGGGTCGCGGGGTTAGGCGAGATTTGCTTTTTTCCTTTTCCTTCCTTTGAAAGAGGGATGGGGAGATGCTGTTTGGGGGTTCAAGGTTTGGATTTTTGCCTTTTTTTTCTTTTTTTTAGGCGAGCGTAGGTAGGTAGGGGTTGTTGATGTGTGTGTTGGCGGGCTCTCGTTTAGATGGATTTTGGGTTGCGGAGGAGATGAGATGAAAATTGACGGGGATTGTTTGTTGGCTGGGGATTTAGTTGGTGTAAGTGCTGGATGCTCAATTGAGTTGATTGTAGTCGTGTTGGTGTTTGATGCTGGTTGGCAATGCTGATGGTTTTTTGTTACCCTGCAGCGGTTCAGGGACAGTATGGGCTCTAATTGCTCCACGCCGAGTTGCTCGGTGATTTATTGATTTGATAGATGCACTTTGAGGGCTGGTAGGCAGCTTAAATCCCTGGCCGGGCTGTTCACAATGGTCTGACTTGGACGTCTATTGATGTTAAATGCAACCTCATGCTGGTGGAGTTTAGTGATTTTGGTGTTCAAATTGCCGACCAAGGTTCCTTTGTCTGTCAAGGCTGGGTACCTCTCCATCAAAGAAATTCATTCACGATAAGAGATAAAAATAGAAAAACCAAAAAAGGACTACTCGTATACTACCGAGTATATCTTCAAAGACGGACGCTACTATCCTTCGTATCAACACCTGCACGTCATGTGCATGCACCTTGATAATAATAACAGCAGCAAAACATCCAAATCCATTCTTTGCCCGTGGCTCAGCCACAAGACAGGAGCTTCGCATGGTACCAGGCCAATCCCCATCGGGCTAGAGGCGCCGCTCAGCGTTCGTGCCCTGGCGCAATTAAAACGGCTGCTTGTACTGTAATGGAAGCGGTCGCTGGGCCGGCGCGAGTGCAAGGTACAATGGGCTGCCGTACCTCGGCCGCGGCGGCGCTATGGGCAGTGACAAGGGCTTGGCGTGCGGCGCTTGTACCTACTAACCTGTCGCCTCTGGTGCTGGTGTCCGATGTCTCGATGGCCCTTCGCATTAGTGGACTTGGCGCCTTCGCTCCAGGGCTCTTCCAACGGGGTTTTGTAACGGACATGCCTCGCCCCGGGGGGGTACCTGTACTTTGCGGCTGCACTGACACTGGTAGCGCCTCCGTGTGCGCGCCGGGCCCTGAACCTGTGGCGGCTCCCCGTGGCCGTACCTGGTACCCGCAGCCCGCAGCCCGTGCTTTGGTGCCTTTGCTGGCGCTGGCGCTGGTGCTTTGCTGGTGCTTGTGCCTTGTGCCTGTCGGCTGGCATTTATTGGCCGAGATTTGACACTTGGGCTTGTTGCGAACTGAGCCTTGGGGGGTTCAACGCGAGTTTCCGAGTTTCGTCTTTCCTGCCCCTCCTCCCCCAGCTTGCGACGACCCAAGACTCAAGACCCAAGACGAGGCTCTGCGAGTATTTATTTGTTCGACCCTTTGCGCCGCCATCCTCCAGCTGCTGACTGGACTGGGGGTCTCTTGTTGTCCTGCTGCCCGCGGCCACCCACTCGGAGCGCCTTGTATCGATCCATTAGCCGCCCGTTGGCGCTCTGCTCGCCTCCGCACGCCTCGTTTCCCCCCCCATTCGAACCTGGTGCCTCAATTTCTACGCAGCCCTCAAAAGTCCCCTGAAGCGAAGCAAGGAGATATCAAAGGGAAGAGAGAGAGGAAAAAAAAAAGAGGGCGTCTCGCAACGCAACTCGTCCATCGAAAAGAAGTCGTAGCGGCGACGGGACGGTGGACAAAAGGGAGCAGCGTCAAATAGGGGACGAAAACGAAAACCTACCTGCGCCCTGAAGAGGGGAGAGAGATAGAGCTGAGAAACACTGGCCACGGACCTCGCGCAGCCGCGGCGTCGCCCACGATGATGAGCTTTGAAGGAGGCACGGGCTACGCCGAGTCGGACGCCGACGACGAGTACGAGCATCACCTGGGCGACCACTCGCCCGTGGGCGATTCCGAGACGTCGCCCATGGGCTCCGAGCTGTCGACGTCGGCCGAGCACACGCCCACCACGTACGGCCATCGAAGCAGCATGGACCGCCTGCCCGAGACGATTATTACCGAGTGGACGGCCGAGGAGTGCGCGGATTTCATCAGTGCCATCGGGCTGCCGCAGTATGCCGATACATTTCTGGGTATGTTGTTCGACGGTGTGATTTACAGTGATGACGACACGGCGGCAATGATGATGGCGATGATGTGGTCTCGGTTCTGTTTAGGGACATTGGTTGACTGATTCGTTGTGGTGTTACAGAAAACGACATTGTTGGAGAGGCCCTGGTTGCCCTGCTGCATGACGATCTCAAGAGCATGGGCATCGCCAGCGTGGGCCACCGTCTAACCATTCTCAAGAGCGTCTACGACGTCAAAAAGGCTCAAGATATCCCAATTGAGAGCGATCACTACCTACCACTCTGTAAGGCCTCCCCCCATCTTGCCCTTTGGACGATGAGATTGCCCATGACTGACTTTGTTGGACTCGTCAACTTGCAGCCGCCGATGCCGAAGCCCAATACGCTACAGCAACGCTCAAAGACATCAGACACCTAGTGGAACAGCTTCGGTTGCGGGACGAGCGGATGAGCCTGCTGGAGCAGGACCTGCGGCGGATGAACGAAGACTTTAAGCGCCTCAGGGAGGACATGCTGCCGGCGCTGCGGCTTGTCAAGGACGTTCAGCACCCGCTGCCAAACGTTTCTGGGCCCAGCCAAGCATACGCATACGAAGCCACTCTCTCTCCGCCCGCGCCAACGCCACCCGGCGCCCAGCCCGGCGATCGAGGCGTGAAGCGACAGTACTCACAGCGACGAATCCTGATAGGAGCTACGCCCAAGAGCAACTCACCGACGCAAGCGACGCACGACCAGCGGATCATGCCGGAACAGACGCTGGACCCGTCCAGCGCGGCGGAGAGGGCGGTCATGTCGTCGACGCACCTGGCCGCCATGAACGGCGCCCCCTCTGTTTCCACGACCGGATACCCCTCCCCCGTCATGCCATCACCGACGTCCCCAATGAACCACATGAGCGGCACCACTCTTGGCTCTCGAAGCTACAACTCGACCCCTTCTGTACGGTCGACATTCATCGAGCCGGATCTCGGCTACAATTCACGGGACAAGGCCGGTGGCGGGTCGATTCGACGACGCGAGACGCCCGTTCCCGAGACGCCCAACCCCAAGGACTCGGTCGAAATCTTCAAGTCGTTCCGAGTAAGCATGGACGACCCGTGCTACAAGGTGTTGCCGGCTGCGCTTAAGAAGTATCAGATCAACGCACCTTGGGACCAGTACGCTCTGTACATTGTCTACGGCGACCAGGAGCGCTGCCTTGGGATGGACGAGAAGCCTCTGATTCTGTTTAAGCAGCTGGATAAGGAAGGCAAGAAGCCCATGTTTATGCTGCGCAAGACAAACAGTGCCCAGGTGGACGGCGACCTCCCCGGCATGAGCATGAACCCGGCAAGAGGAGCTTCAACGGGCTACGATCCGCCGGGAGGCATCATCTGAAGAGGAGAATCAGGCACGCTTTGGTTTGATGGGCATACTCACAGGTGTTTCCCAGGGACACTGGCAGAGAAGCCCCTGTTTCATTATCCGCGAGTTGGGCCGTTGTGGCATATACTTGGAGGGGGGGCGCATTGGAGTTGGTGGGCAAAAGGGAAGGCAGAAAAGGAAAATTCGGGCCACGGGGAAAAGGAGACGAAGAAAACGACATGCCCTGGTGATGTATGCCGAGCGTGCGTTTCTGCTGCAGCTTATCCTGACGCTGCAAGCCGTCGGAACGGGGCTGATGCATAGAGGCCAAACGAGGTGGATTCACTACTGCCCATTTGGTAAAGCGATATCAAGCTTTACGGACCGGGAACTCTTGAGACGAAGGACGAGCTTGAGATGCTATGGACCGGACGTGGGGGTACCAATAAATGAGGACTTGCTATAATGGGAAGCTTGGACTGAGGGTTCTCGAATTTGGATTCTCGCCATGGACGATTATTCACCCTTTTATATTTGGGTGAGATGTATTTCTTTTGAATATGTTGGACAATGTGCACACGCATGGAGGGGGGGAAGGGAGAAGGAAGGGAGGGAGGGCAAACAAACACGGCGGGGAATTTTGGGTGTAAAGGCAACCTTTTTTGGGCAAAAATTCACGGGAGGGGAGGATGTGTATTACTTTTTTTTTTTATCATTATTGTTGTTGGTTTTTTTTTCGAGTTGGATGTGGATGGATGCGTATCTGGGATGCATGTAGTATTAAAGAGCGAGAACTATCTATGTAATACTCGATATTGAGTGTTTTTTCTTCTTTCTTTTCTTTCTTTTCTTTTTGTTGTAGTTAATGAGCGATGTTGGATGGATGGGTTTGATTGGTAGTGTATATATAGATTTGTGATGGAATGAGGAGTGGCCGACGATGTATGTTGGATTGAGGGTGTTGATGTAAAGAGTTGGATGGTTGAGGTAGGATTGGGATAGTTGAATGACAGACATGCTCGAAGGATTGGAGGGGAGGTTGAGTAGATATTTGACAATTCGCTGGCGTCGATTTATCTCGTAGACTGGATCAACGTGACTGGTTAACATGCACGATAAAGAACTTGATCCGGATTGACAAAGTACTGCGAAATGGCTCTACCTCGATTCGGTAGAAGGCTGGAAAGCGTAAACACACAATCAAGAGACTGCAAACTGATGCTGAAATGGAGATTGCTCGGGGCTGAGGCTGAAAAGACATGAATCCACAGGTCAGATGGTTTGTATGTAAAGAGAACATGGAGCTATGCTATGCTATGCTGTTGTGGCGCGTGGCGTGCATGCATTCAGGCTAAACACAGGGCGGAATAGAGTTTTTGCTCGTTGTTTGCCTAGATTAGGGAGAGAGTGAGAGGTTTCACGGGGATGGTGGTTGGTTGAAGGGAGAGTCATTGAATTCGAGGGCTAGTGGAGAGACTGGCTAGAGGTTCGATAGAACGGAATCGTGTCGTGTTAGTGAGGAGATGGAGGCGGTCGGGATGTTTACGTAGACCGTGGGATGGGATTTGGGCGTCGTCAGAGCTGTTGGCATACCCGAGAGGATTTGCGGCGTTGCTGATGTTGCCTGGCTTGCGCTGCTCTGCCACTGACGAGTAGTATTTCGTATGGAGGCGTATATGCCGGTGTTGAATACGGGATCCAGATGGGTTCGGGGTGCGGGCGCCCAGGGGATTTTGCGTGCTTATGTGATGAAGTCTATTGTACGGAGAAGTGAGGATGAGGGACGGAGAAAGCAATGGTTCTAGGTCTGCGTGTGATTTTAAATCGGGATCAGATGAGAGTCTGGGGGGTTGCTTAGATCATGACTTGTTTCCGTTCCGGCTTTGTGATGAATAGTCGAAGCCGTTATTTCATTACATGCAGATATAAGTGAAAGAAGGTGTTTTCATTCCGGAGGCATCTCGGCACTCGTTGCATTGAGGCCGTGTGTCACCCACGGCTGTCGCACCCGAGAGGGCCATGGAGAATCTTTGGGTGTCCGGGCGCTGACGACGCGGCTTCGGCTTCGGCTTGGAGTGTGTGGTATAACGAAGTGGCAGGGCTAATAAGTTAGTTGTCCATCCTTTTTGCTAGTGGAGGTTGCCCGCTTGAGTCATCGCCGGCGTTGAAAAGGCGTCCAATGGCAGACCGATGCGTCTGGGCGCCGATTGAGCCTGGGGTAAGAGTAAGAGGTAGAATGACTCTCTGGATGGAGACGGCGCGGACCAAAGTTTGCGACGTGCTTATGATGGAGCTGGTTCCTCGATAGCTCTTGTATGGGCTGGGCTGGGCTGGGCTTTGTATGTTTCTGGTGTTAGTCAGAGGGTGATGTGACACTTGGGACTGGAGCTATGGGCGGGCTCTGGCTGGGCTCGTTTTGCTCGGGTTGCGTGCGTGTTGGGTCATTGCTGGGCAAGGAGGATTTTGATGCCGTTTTTGTTTAAATAAAGACTCGTTTGGTGCCTTGGATTTTTGGTTTCCTTTTTTCTTTGTTTTACGACATCTTGGCGTTTCTTGTTCGACAAAGACTTGCTCTTTTGGGAACGAAGCTATACGCAGCTCGAGGATAATAGAATACCGCCTTGTTTGTTTGTTTGTTTGTTTTTCGTTGTGACCTTGGCTCTGGGCCTTTGCATTGGGCGTCGTCGTACCTACGCCTTTGCCTGTATTACATTGAGTGATTAGAATGGAGGAGAGGATATAGATCCTGCTTGATATTGATAATCGCCGTCAGGGTATGGTGCCGCAGCTCCTCACGATTGTCGCGATTCCTCCGGACATGAGCTGACAACGATGGCTACAGATGGTCGTAATCCCACGTTTCGGGGCTGAGGCCGACCCTGACTATCCCAAACACTCACCTCCTCGTCCAACACCCGTTTCCAGTGCGACGCCCACTGCCACCGACATCGCCAGCGTCACTACAAGCACAGCATCATCTCCCGCTTCGTCCAGCACATCGGACGCACCTGGATTCTTGCACATCGCTACGGATGGCGCAAGCGGGGACAAGATCCTGCACGGATTCCTCATCGGAATGGCCATTGGCATTATTGTGAGCTTCGTGCTGTGCTGCTGGCTGCCGTGCTGCAGGAAGAAGCGGCGGTCACGGCTGCAGAGGCGGAACGACAATATCCGGCGGAGGCTGGTTGTTCTCGAGGACGAGGCGTGGGTGAACCAGAATTGGCCGCAGAGGAGGCCGTGGGATGTTGGTGAAGATGAGAGCCAGAGCCAGAGCCAGAGCCAGAGCCAGAGCCATGTGAGCCACGACTAACTAATACGATGCTTGACGAACAAACGAGTGTTGGATGATGATGATGACGTTGACGATGATATCTGGTTACCACGGATTTCTTTTTGGGAGCAAATTGCACGTAATTGGGATAGCTTTGATATGGAATGGGAGTGTAAGGTGTTTTGGGTTATTGGTAATACCATTGCATTGCTGTCTGCGTCTAAGTGGTTTGGCAATGCAAGGCGGTTTTCAGGGACGGGAATGATACAGTCGTCAGCTAATGACGAGACACAGGGACAATTGCGGAGATGTTCTGGACGGCTTACGAATAGAAATACTATTAATTGATCAATTAACGAGGCTTCTTTGCACTAAACCGGCAGTGATCCGCGATTCTCAGCGACCCGTAAGCGGCATCAAAATCGCCATGTTTCAACAATGGCACGATTCCCGGCTGTCGCTCATCTTGGCAACTTTGTCAGTCACTTGACACAGCCACTCTTCTGGGGCGCTTGTGGGCCAGCTCGCGCGGCTGTGGCGCAGCAGCATCCAGCAATGACGTTGGCGGGGAGGCGCGCCAAGCTCTTGAATCAGACTGTTCAGTCCATTAAACTGATGCTTCGAATTCCTTTCTTTCACTTGCGCGACACGATAGCATTGCCTCTATCCTGAGCCTCGGATCTACCTGCACAAGGCGCTCTACACGATAGCGACAGCAGACAGACGACGACGCACTACTGCGAGACTGATCCTTCTCTTGCGCCTGATCCTTCAGATTGCTGTTGTCTCAGCCTGCGGCAGCCTCACTTTATGGCCGCCAGCCCGTGACCCCTCTGGCCAAGACTCGAAACGACATGCAATGACCTGCTGATATTCGCCACGGCTTGAAAGCTTTCTTCTTCCTTTTCTTCCTTCTTTGCATTTTCCATTCCAGCTTCTCAAACACACACACATCCGCCATGCTTGACGACAGCTTCCCCACGTATCGCATGCAGGCTTCTGCCGAAGATGCCCTCCAGACGACTCTGTTTTACACGTACAACGGCTCGGATCCCCTGCGCGCTTACACCCTCCAAAGACCTGCCCCGGCATCCTCGGCGAACCAGTATGCCGTCGCCCTGTTCGACGCCCACTACCAGTCCGTCATCTACGGCGAGGTGCTGGTGAAGCCCGAGCTCCAGCAACCCACGCTCTCGGCCGCCGAGATTCGCAACCAAAACGGCTCGCCGCCCGTCTTGCCCATCACGCCCGACGCCTTCTCCGTGCTGCTGTACAACCCGGACCAGAACGTCGTCGTCAAGCGCAACGCCGGGGGGTGGAACCGCGCTGATTCGTGGGGGTTTGAGATTCCCGAGCGCACGTTTAAGCTGCCCAGCGTTAGCAAGCTGGACCAGGAGACGGGGAGCAACGACGTGGCGGATCAGTCGCCCAAGATTATGTTTCACTGGAAGCGGGACGGGCGGCTTAACAGGGACATGACGTGCTACATGTCGGGCAAGAGCGTGGGCGGCAAGAAGAGCAAGGAGCCGGATATCACGGTGGCCATGTATCGTAGCCAGAAGCAAGGGGATGCCGTGTGCATCTACGAGCCCAACATGGCTCGAGTAGAGGTCGAGGACCGGAAGGGTCTCGAAATCGTGCTGCTGTTGAGTGCCGTCGTCGTCAGAGACTTGCATTTTGCGCCCAAGCAGGACCCATTCAACATCTCCGGCGCGGTTCCTGCAGGAAGAAGAGGCTCGCGGCCGTTGGCACCGTCGCCAAACGACCCGACGCTCGTATCGGGTGCATTGGCGGATACGACCCCATCACCGGGGCCGGCACACACGCCACCGGCGAGGCCCTCTCCGGCTAGCAATGCCGCGAGGCAGGCCGAGATTGATGCCGAGACGCGCAGGCTGCAGGCAATGGTGGCCGAAGAAGAGCGACAGCGCCGCGCGCGGCTCGCTCGGGAGGAAGAAGAGAAGACGCGGAGGATGCTGCGGCAGGAGGAGGAAGCTCAGCGGCGGCGGAAGCAAGCCGAGATCGATGCCGAGACCGAGCGGCTTCGTCGAGAGTACGGCGTGCCGGCCCCTCGGCCAGCACAGGCGTCTCCTCCGCTCCCGCAGCGGCCTTTTGGAGCACCGGCGTCGGCGGCGGCCATGTCTGGTGCTTTGGGTGGCGGCGGCTGGTATGGCCCGCCCGTCGTGAACAATCTCCAGCCTCCGCCTCCGCCGCGGCCCAACAGCGTAGGGCCGGGCCCGTCTACGCAGCAGCAGCAGAACGGGCGCAACAAGCTGAGTCCTTATTCGGGACCGTTGGGGGCGCGGGCGAGTGCCATTAGCTTTTTCGGGGGAGGCAAGACGGATGAGGAGAAGAGGAAGAAGATGAAGAAGAAGCAGAGCGTGCATTTCTAGGGGGGGCATGGCATCACGGCGTTTTTTTGGGGGGGATATACCAGGGATATTTTGGAATAGACTATGGGCATTATGGGTTATGTACTTTTGTGAATGCTTCTCAATTAATGAATCATGATAGAATTGAATCTTTTGCTTTTGAATAAGAGGTAGTTGGCCATGTTATTCACTTCTAAAATATTGTTGCCAGGGGTTGCATCGTCACTTTTGGACTACAATTGTCAGATTGGTCACTTGCAAAGATGTAGTTGTCATTACTAAGGTTGGTTGTCTTTTATAGGTAGCTCACCATGCTATTCATCTGAAGTGTCTTTACCAAGGATCTTTTAAGCCATGTCATTTACTTGAAGCATCACTTCACAGTTAGAAAGCTAGAGAAAATTGGGGAATGAGATTATATATTATTAAAATGTAGTGTGTGTATATGTGTCATTCCGCCTCCCCCTTTTTGTACAAAAGGGTATCCTTCGTGTTTTCTCGAATCAAATGGGTATAGAATCTAATACTCATGAAAACTTTTTGTGCTCCCAGCCTGCCTGAAATCCATGCCCCCCCAAAAAAAACCCTTGTGTAGTAACAAAAGAGAAAGAAAGTAGTCGAAAAAGCAAAAAACTTTTGGGTGTTGTTTGTTCGTTGGTCGTCGTCTCAAAGGAGTGTTTTTTTTGTGTTGCTTGTTTTGTTTTTTATTCCATCGTGCTGGGCATAGATTGAGCGATATCCAAACCCCCCCTTTTTCCGCAGTTCAGGAGCACAGGTAAACAATGTTTGATGTAGTCTCTTGTTGGTGAAGAGTGTCCATTATGTGTGTTTGTTTGGACAGTGTTCATGGGAAGTGTCGATTGGTTGTTTAGACAATGTTCATGGCAAGTGTCGATTGGTTGTTTAGACAATGTTCATGGGCAGCTTCATGCCGGCGCCGACGTTGGCGGCCTTGACAACGGGGCGGGGGCGGGAGAAGAAGGAGGAGAAGCGCTTCTTCTTCTTCTCCGAGGCGAGGGAGCGGTTGTCTGGGGTGTTTGCGGCGGAGGTGGCAGGCGTGGTGGCGGTTGAGGGGCAGAGAATCATCTCGTGGGTGATGCCGTTGCTGAGGGCAGCGCGGAAGTGGACGAGGTCGCCGACGAACATTTTGAAGGTCGTTTTGTTGTTTGTTGTTTTTCAAGTATAGAGAATGTTGGACTGTGGAGGATTGTTTGAAAAGCTGGAGCTTTTTGAATGTTTTTGTGTGTAGATGAGTGTCTGAGTTGTCTTTGTAGCTGATGATGATGAGAATTCCTCTTGTTCAAAAGCACGGCCCAAGCCTCGTCTTATATACAAAACCAATCCCTCGCCTCCATTTCAACTCAGGTACGTACTTTGTTCACGATGCCGTGAATTTCCATTCCGTGTCCGCGTACACCCCCCCTATGACAAACAAGATTTCCATTTCTAAAAAAAAACAAAAAAACATGTTTTTCTGTACTGTAACTGTTCTTGGTCATTTACGCATCACCTGCGGACGGCGGATCCGTCACCAGCGATCCATTCGGCTTCGGTCTGCCGGGGACCCACAACCCGATCGTAGCCAGGCAGGGGAAGCTCCGGTTTGGGAAGAAGAAGAGAAAAACTCACTGGAGGCATCGTGAAAAACCTGGATTGAGGGAGTGGAGGTTTTGGGTGGGAATCCAGGAGTTTAGAGTGGAATCATTGGGTCGAAACAGTCATCATGTGTGAGTCTACGGAGCTGCATGTTGTGGCTCAGCTGGTGCTGGTGTTGCTTTCGGCACTGACTCAGCAGGGGGAGTGTGGGCTGAAAAGATTTTTTTTTTTTTTTTGATGGAGCAAATAGAATTGGATCGTAGCCTTGATTTTCAGGTACGGGAGGGGAATGAAATACGACGTTGATGAGAGCCGGTAAGAGGCGGGTTAAGGCGCTCGGGCCGAAGATGGGCAAGGGGGAGGGGAGTGTGGTTTTCACTTGTACTACTATTGGATTCTAATTGATGATTTTTTGTTTTATTTCTTTCTCTTGGTTTCGGTATGAAGCGAATGATGATGACCGGCAACGTGTGGCGCGTGACGGAACGTTGGTTGGCTGGTTTCGACGATGATGTGAGGCTGGTGGATGACGAAGCAAGGCCGAAGCCGAGATGGAATCATCGCCGCGTTTCCTGTCGCTTCGGCTTCGGGTCATGTTGTTCCAGAGGCTTCGATTACATACGCAACACATGGCCTACAGACAATTGCAGATGCGACATGACGAAGCAGATGAAACTACTATTCGCAAGGCTCGTCACTGTTTACACGTAACTCGCCGCGTGAGCAATTCGCGGCTGATACACGCATTCTCTCTAATTACCAGCATCAATCCATCCCATTTGCAACATGCTGCACTCGTACCCCCTTTTCACCCTTTACCATTCTCAGGTCCTTCAAAGCCCTACAAGCCCAACGCAAAAAAAAAAAAAAGAGTCATGAAGAGATGCAATTGGAAAAAAAGCTCTACCCAGCGGGCGACGACCCGCAAGCCGGGATCCGTTCATCCACTTTTCCGTCTCCGCCCCGAAACTTGCAAGTCACAAGCAACGATGGATACCTTGCCAGCATTTTTGAACTACCCAGTAACAAGCTGTAGCTGAAAGCGGCTGTTGTAGAATAGGGTTACGCTCTTACACGTATTTTCCCTTCCCACTGCCGAAGTGGACATCCCCCTTGCTTACTCGTACTACCGTAGCAGAAGCGGGAAGAGAAAGGGCTGAAAGTGGCGAGATGGAGCCCCCCTTCTCTCTCGTAATAAATTACTAGGTACTACATACCACGGCGGAAAGAAAAAATATGGATCTCGTGGAATGAAATTTTGCAAGAATTATATTGCCTTCTTTTTTTGTTGGCAAACGAGTAGCTGGGCGGTAAGCTTCGGTTTGCAGGGGGGGGGGGGGGGGGTGTTCCAGCACGTGTGATTCTGGTTCGTTGGATGGATGGTGGTGATGATTTTTTTTGCCTTCTTTTAACCACATAGGTGGATACGCCCAGGCCGTTTTCTCATTTTTTTTTGGTCTTGGAAGTGGAAAAAGGGGGATCGGGTGATAGGACTCGGATTTGAAACATACGAGTATGATTTTTTTTTGATGATGCTTGTAAAAACGACATTGCATTCATGCACCGAGGGTAGCCGACTGTGTTGTTGGCTGCTGAGGAGGCATCTCATGAGAAGATGTTGCATCGTGGCGATATTGTAGGTCCTCGTTGCATGAAGAGCAGAATTAGAATTTTCTCCAAGATTCCCCTTTTGCAGATTTTGTCGCTCAAGGGTTTGTCACAATGCTGGCTGATGGGGATGGTGACCGTCGCCGTGTCTTGAAGCAATTCTATGCTCCTCCCCATGTTGGATACTCACGACACAACTATCCAGTCGAATACAGACAGAATTGGTGTTTCTATAGAAAAATATACTGATACCCATGCCCGAGCAAGCTTCTCCACCTCTATCCGACTACTACCATCCTAATGCCCCTTCAACTCTTCCAAACCGGCACTTGGCATCTCCCTAAACACTATAACCCCGTGGATACACAGCGGGTATCTCATTCTCCATGCATATCCACCAGTATCCTCTCTTCTCCAACTCTTCAGTCAAAGGTCGCAGTGGGCAAGCTACTCTCAGCAGATGCTTCACCTTTAGCAGATGCTTCACCTTTAGCAGATGCTTCCCCATCATCAGGAGTCACATACTCCAACCCGGCATCCCCTTCCTTTGTCAAAATCTCCGTGTACTTTTCCAAGCTTATCCCAGCAGTCTGCGAAATCATGTCCAAGTCCGTTGAGATGCTCACCAAGCAGTCTATCGGCGAGTTGGGCCCTCCCAACTCTCGGATCAATGCCTTCTTCAACTCAATAATCACTTGCGCAAGGGGGAGGTGAACCGTCGTTACTGGCTTGAACCGGGCGAGGATCCCTTCGTACCGTTCTTGGAGGGTCGTGTCCCAACCGGCGTAGCAGCGCAGTCCCGTCTCGGCGAGGAGTATCTGGTACACCCTGGCTCGTGCCTTGTTCCTCAGGAGCGTGAGCAGTTCTAGTAGGAATTGCTGTCAGCATTGATTCAACGTGATGCCTTGGTATAAAAAAAGGAGAGAAGCAAAAGGGGGCACCCACTGACGGCTTTGGGAGACACTTGCTCCCTCAGAGCGGGCCATGCCCAGAGTCTCCCAAAGGGCACCGTACAAATGGAAATCAGCTCCCAGACGCACTTCTCAAACATGGCATCGTCAAAGAACAAGGCCGCCGCCACCATGTAGCACCCCGTTGCCAGCGTGGGATCTGAGACGAACTGGTGGTTGTCTCTGCCGCTGAGCAGCCACTGCCGCGCCGCGAGCACGACGGCCCTCTGCATACCGTATTTGTTCACCATAATCGCCATGTCGAGGAGCGTCCACGGCATGAGCGACTGCGGCAGCATGTGGTTCTGGAGGTGGAGGATGTGGCAGACGAGGCGAACAATGTCGACCTTTTCCGGGTCGAGCACGAGGATCTTCTCGTTGTCCCCGGACGAGAGCATGATGTCCTCGACTAATTGTTCAAAGGTCTCCGATGCGCACATGAGGCTCTGCGAATAGACCTGGAATGCCACGTTGGAGCCGTCAATCCCCAAGAGCATGTCGCCTGCGGGACAGATGATTTCAGTAATATCCCTTTCTACTTCTTTCTCTTTGCCTTTGCCCTTGTCAATGTCAATGTCCAGGCCGTAACCTTTGCCTTTGCCCTTGTCAATGTCAATGTCCAGGCCGTAACCTTTGCCTTTGCCTTTCACCAAGCTGCTGCCAATGTCGTACATGCTCTTCTTTCTGGGCCTGAGCTGGCCACCTTCTTCCTCATCGCCGCCGACAAGCAGCTCGACTATGTCCTCTGGTTTGCATTCACCCGACTTGATCCGTGATATAATGAGTTCGCATAGCAGATCGGTGTTTGACCTTTTCCTCCTGAGAGGACGGGGGGCTGGCGGCGACGGTGATCGCTTCATCTTGGAGATTATTTTGGCGAGTCTGGCGAGTTCCTTTGAGTTGTCTGCAATGTCCTTTCTGTATGCGGCGTTTCTTGCAGCTCTGTCGGCCTTGGCGGCTTCCAACGCTGATTGCTCTGCTTGCTCTGGCTTTGATGACTGGGACGTATTTGCTGATCCTGATGGTTGTGATGATCCTGATGCATACGATGATCCTGATGCATATGATGAACCTGATGCATACGATGAACCCGATGCCTTGAAAGTCATTGCTGATCTTGATCCTGATGCATACGATGAACCCGATACCTTCGATGCCATTGCTGATCCTGACTCAGATGGCTGTGACGACCCTGATGCCTCTGATGCCATTGCTGATCCCGATCCCGATGCCTCTGGTTCCTCTGCCAGCTCTTTTCCCTTCGGCCGCAACTCCAAGTCTTTTTCAACTGAGCTATCCATCATCAACGTGATATCAAGGCGGTACTATAAGAGGTAACAATGGATGTATTTTAGAAAAAAACAAGAATGAAACTGGAATTCCAAAAAAAAAGGTTGTGCGAGAAGCCTTGTTTACAGACTGTCGTGAAAGATGCAACACTCCAAAGTATTTTCCAGGTTGAGCGGGATGCATGTTTATCTTGCCTGGATGGGTAGGAGCAACTGCTTCTGCTCTGATGCAGCTGTTGACTTTGCATCGTGTACCTGGTAGGCGCGTGAGTGAGTGTAGAAAGCACGAGGGAGCGTTTTAGATGCATGTTTTGTGTGTAGAAGTGGCCGGTTTGACTTGGCACTCAAGACACTTGTATGACATCTCGATTTGTAACGAGCTGCTTACAAAGTCGACAGCGGCAGTGCATAGAGCTCCCATACCTATTTCATCACTCGTAGAATAAAACTGAACTGAAGCAGGAGTTGTGCATTAGTCTTCAATCTAGCCTCACCTTCAAGCATCGTCGTCTCTGCGTCTGTCTACATGGTCATAAGCCAAACCTATCAAAACCAAGATCAAATCAAATCACCACGCACAAACACGCACAAAGAGAGATACATGTCATCATAAAAAAAAAACGTAAAAAGGCCCTTGACATGCATCTAGGCTCTTCAAATCATCACCCCTTACACGGTAGCCGGCTTGCCAAGAAAAACGCCGCTCATGCAACGCCTCCCCCCTCCCATCTTGATCCGTTTATTTCATTTCCCAGTCCCAAATCCAGCTGTCCTTCTCACACGGCTCTCGTTGAGCAAGTATATATTTGTATATCGAACTTGTTTATATGTGTTTTTTTCTTTGTATTCTGTTTCTTCCTAGTTATCTTGGTCGACCTTCTCCAGGTGCAGGTCGTTGACCAGCATGTATCGGCTGAAACCGAGCCACAAGTAGCGGAACCAGACCATCTGGCTCTTGTGGGCGGTGGTCATGGCGGACCAGGCGGTGCCCAGCTTGGGCTCGGGTCCGACAATGTTGTTGGTGTAGACGAGCGTCTCGGGGTGCTCGGGGTCCTTGTCGCGCGTGAACAAGGACGAGGCGATGGTGGTGAAGAGGTCCAGGCCGCCCGAGTACTTGCGCAGCAGGTTGACCGTGTTTAGTGTGTAGACGTCGACCGGGCTCTTCCACTCGGGCTTGCCCTCCGTGAGGGCCTTGGCGAAGCCCCGCGCGCCGTGGTAGAGCGAGATGTGGTTGGGGTGAGACGACACGCCGTGGCCGTCAAAGGTGATGAGGGCGTCGATGTTGGCCGTGGGCTGAGACATGTTTTCGGCTCGTTGGTGCGCCAACTGCGGCGCAAAGGCCTTGGTGAGCAGGTTGGCGATCTTGGTCTCGTCCCAGTGCGTCGTCATGGAGTCGGGGAAGTCCTTGCTGCGGGGCGCAATCGTGTTGGTCGTCGTTTGTCTTGCGATGGCAGGGGATGGATGGATGCGACTTACGGGTTGTCGACGACAAAGACGTCGGACTCGTCTCGCAGGCCCAGGGCCAGGCCGCTCTTGACGAGCTCCTTCTTTCTGGTATCGCCGAGGCCTTCGGCATTTCCTAGAAACCGCAAGTCAGCCGGTTTTGCGCCTATTATCCGTTTCTCCATCTTCATCTTGATTGTCCTCGTCTCGTCCGCGTTGTCCATCCGTCGGCTTGTCTTGTCGTACCTGCGCTCAAACACAAAATCTTGACGTGGTTGCCCGTCTCCGGCCGCGCCAGCGCCAGCACCGTCGGGGCGAAAAACATGGCCTCGTCATCGGGATGCGCAATCAGCAGGCACACGCGCTTCTCCAGCAGCTCCGGGAAGCGGTTGCGCACGGCGCTGGCGGTGCAGATGTAGATGCATGGCACGGCGGCGACGAGGGACGCGGCCAGCACGAAGAGGGCCTTGGAGTCGAGGTCCAGCTTGAAGGGCAGGTTGAAGGGGAGTCGGAAGGGAAGGCTGAGGGAGTTTGGCATGGCTGCGGGATTGAAAAGAAGAGACGAGAAGAGGAAAAAGAAGAGACGAGTAGAAGAGACGAGACGAGACGAGACGAGACGAGACGAGGCTGGCGGGGTGGCGGAGCGTGGCGTGGTCGGGGGTTTGCCTCGGTAGAGATCTGGTGGATGCTGTGGTTTGTGCTGTTGATTCTTGATTGCTGGTTCTTGATGCTTGTCTTGATCGCAGTTTGCGTGGTGGTGATGCGTCTCGGTGGTGTTTTTGTTGGGGACGAGGCAAGGTGGGTTCGCAGGGCGCAAGTGCGTGCGTGAGGAAAAAGGCGGGATGGAGTGGGGGAGAGCAGCAGCAAGGCGGGCCGCAGCGAGTGCGCCGAACAGCTGATTTGACGCTGCAAGGTCAAGGTAGCAGTGGTATAAAAGGGCAGTTTTGGGTATCGAGTTTAGCGGCAATTGGCTGGAGGGTGAAACGCGCCAGTTGGGGATGCTGCAAGGGATCGTTGGAGGGCATCACGGGGGCAACGATGCGGTGAGGGCGAGCGACTGTTGGTGGTTGGAAGCTGGAAGCTGTTGAAGAAGATGCCGAGGGAACTCGTGTGGCTTGCGGCAGATGGAATGGCGGGATGATGAGCTTGAGCTTGACGGGGACTGGTTATCGAATCCACTGGACATTATTTTATTTCGACTCCATCTTACTCTAGCATTCTTCTTATCATCACTGTCACTGCTGTCATCAGCCAATCTCACCCTCCAATGTCTCAACCAACATCCTCATCATCTCATCTCATCTGAATCCAGTACTAACAGATACTGCATCTGTAGCGCCACACCCTTCAGCCTTCAGGGGCATCCAGGGCGCTGGAGCATTATCGATAAGCACCTGACAGGTCCCGATCCGACCTGCTGCGGAGTCTCGCTGCACCCGCTGATTGGCCCGCCGACACCTGCCTCGGTCGATCTAGAACTGATGTCATTTGTCATTTGTCAATTCTCACGAGACACGTACTCGATAATCCTCCCCCAATCTCACCAACATCCACCAGTCTTTGCTTGTATTGTTTTGCCTTTTTTTTTTCTTTATTTTTTTCCCCCCTGCGTCGCGAATTATTCACACGTTTCAGCCATGGCCAAGAACCGAAAGGAACCGAAAATCAAGCTTCGCCAGCCGGACCGCTCCGCGCCCACCGAAAAGACGTTGCTGGACATTGCCTCGGAACGATCCCTCTTCGAACAAGCCGCCCGCCGCGAGAGACAACTTGCCGGGAAAGACGAAAGCGACGACGACGATGAAGATGAAGAGGCCAAGCTATCGCCTGGAGCCGAGCGGTTTCTCGAGGCGCTGCTGTACACGACGACGTTGGCGATGCTGCACTTTACGTTTGACGTCTTGGTGATGAAGCAGTACGGCACGGAGATTAAATGGAAACGAATCACCGTCAATGCTGGCCGGGCGTGGTTGGGTAAAACCTCTTTTTTTTTCTCGTCTATTCTACCTAACATCGACCAATCACTCACTCACCATTCACAGTCTTCTTCTTCCTCTTCTACACGCTCCACGCCTCCGAGCCAAACCAGACCCTCGTCCCCGGCCTCCCCCGCCGCTTCCAGAGGACCCTCCGCCAGATGCTCTTCTTCGCCATGAGCTGCGTCGCCGGGTGCGCCCTCGTCTTCATCACAAACTCAAAGGGCTACCTGTACAACATGAAGCGCGCGCCCCCGCTCGGGTGTCTGTGGCTGTGGGCCGTCGTCGAGCTGGACCTGCTGTGGGCGGTGCCGAGCCTCTTGGTGACGGGGGCGTATGTCTGGCTGAATGGATACTCGGTCAAATAAGAGAGCCAACTCGATTGTCTTTCTTCTTCCTCTTCTTCTTCTTCTTCTTCTTCTTCTCGTTTACTCTCCGTACTCTGACGACTCCCATGGATCTTCGCTCCTTGGCTTCTCTCTCTCGTGCCGTCTCAGTCGCCCCTCGAGATCGTCGATGCGCGCCGAAATCATGCTCATCTGGAGAAACTGCACTCGTGCCGTCAACGCCTCCCGCTGCCTCACCAGCTCCATCGCCTTTGTCCGCACCGCCATCCACGACACCGCCACCGAGGGCTTGCCGCCCGACCACCCCCGCGGCAGAAGCGTCCACTCCGAAGTGCCCCTCAGCGCAGACTTGACTTCAATGTCGGTGACGAGCTCCAGCAGCCGCTGCTCCAGGTTGAGCAGGTCGTCCATGACAAACGCGTACATTTGGTGCTGCCGCTTCTTCTCGTCGTGCTGCGGCGTGTCCTGCAGCGTGCGCAAGAGGTCTGCGAGCCAGGTCGATTCAGTCTTGTACCACGATAGTGACGTCTTGACGCGAAAGTACTCGTCGGAGCTGTTGCGCAAAAAGGCGATGCGGGCGTATGCCGCGGCTGCGATGGCGACGACAAAGGTGAGGATGCCGACGACGTTGGCCGATGTGGACAGGGGGGAGTCGGTGTTTGTGGTTGAGTCCATGATCCCATTGGTTTGTCTGTCTTAGTATTTGGTGGTTGGGTTCATATCCCATTGGTTGTGTGTTACCTAGACTAGCAGTGTTTAATATATTGAGAGCGTGGGATGGAGGTTTTGTATTACATGGTCCTTTTGTTAGCTGGACGAATTCAATTGGAGAGGCTGCACTAGTCAGGGGTAAAGAACCACTTTTGCCCAAAGTTGAAAGTCGTGTATGACAATCCCGTCATGGTGCAACGAACGAAGGCTTTCAGCTTAGTAGATTAACGAGGGTAATATGATGCGAATAGATAATAAATAGATAGATATCTTAAATTCGTGGCCCAATATGTTGTGTTTATATCATACATCCCATTCCTTACATGCCCATCTCATCAAACCTAAACCAGCGGAATCAAAAAGCAAAAGGAAATAGAAAAAAAAAAACAAACAAAAAGCCCTTTTTTGGTTCGTCATACATCTTCATGCAGATTACGCTATGCAACCGTGTAAACGAAAACAAAAAAACAAAAAAAAAAAACAAAAGAAAAATTCGCGCTGCCTGTATCCCGCTGCTTTCCCCCTTTTGTTTCTTCTGCTTCCTCCTCCTTCTTCTTTTCGTCAAAAAAAAAAAGCACCGTCTTATGCAAACGAGTTTTCCCAAGTCTTTGATATAACACCATAATTAATAAAAAGAAAATATATATAGCCCCCGAATCAACTCTCAACCAACACGCAAAGCGACGAGGAAAAAAAGCACAGTGAAAGAGTACATCACATTTGCCTGTTGGGCTGCTCCGCGAACCGAATTCCCCTCCGTGCAGGCGGCACTCGCGGCGTGCCCTCGTCGTCAGAGTCGCTGTCCTCAGCGGCAGCCGCGCCGCCTACGCCAAGGGCTGCTTCTCGCCGCCTTCGCTCAGCCGGTGTCTCGCCCGTCGAGAGGTTGTTGTTGTTATTGTTGTTGTTGTTATTGTTGTCCGACCTGTGTCGCCTGGCTGCTGCACTCCCGCTGCCTTCCGTCTCGCTCTGTTGTCCTCCCAAAGCAGCAAGGCGACGCTTGCGCTCCACGGCAGTTTCGCCTTCCAGCTCTGAAGGCTGGAGAGGGGCGTCGACCGGGCGGCCTCGGGGCGCTTCAACTTGCCGCCTCGGCGACACGGACTCGGAGTTTCGGTAGCTGCCTCGGGGAGCGGGGGAGACGGATGTGGAGGCCGATGTGGAGCTGGGGGCGGAGCTGGATTCCGGCTCGACAATCTCGGGAATGTCCTGCGGCCGCCTCAGTGGCAGGTCTTGCCGAGCAAGGTCCTTGAGCGCGGTGGAGGCGGACGACTGGTCCACGACCTCCTTGCGCGTGCCCACATCGAGCTTTTGCACCTCGCGGATAAAGTCCTCCTTGGTCATGCGTCGTCCCACGCCTCCAATGGTGAAGCGAATCTGCTTATCATCGTCAGACTCCTCGTGGACCACGCTCTTCCTGCGGCCTTCGCCACCGCCTCCGCCGAGAACGCCAAAGCCGGTCGTCCAGCCGGGCTTGAACACGGGTTTGGCCGACGATGAAGCTGCTGCACCGGCGGCAGAGGATTCGCCTGCCTTGCCTTCTTCGGCAGCAGACGCGGCCGACCTTTCGGGCTGGCGTGCGAGGGCGCCCAATCCAAGGTACTTGAGACTGTTGTTGATGAGGGTACTTTCCTGGCCAGTGGGCTTCTGCGGGGGGAGTTCATAGGTCTTAACGACTTCTCCGTCCTCGTCTTCGACGATAATCTATAAGCAGTCAGGTTAGAAGGCAATGCAAAGCCACAACGGGAATCAATGAGGGACGTACAGCGTTACCGAACTGATAGGCTCGGGCCGGTTCATGTCGTCGTCTTGACTTGTCCTTCTCTTTTCGCTTCTCCACTTCGGAGCTGTACACGTCTGTCATTTTACGCTTGATGTTGTCGACGGTCCAATGGAAGCGCTCCGCCTCGGACTTGGATATCTGCCGAGCGGGCGCGGGCCGTTTTCCGTCTTCTCTTCCGCCTTCTTCAGGCTTGCGCTGGGCTGGTTGAGCATCGACCACCTCGCCATCGTCGTTTTCAAAGACCAGGTGGGTGCCCTCCTCGTAGACGTTGACGTGCGGTGCCCGGGGGCTCTGGCTTTCGTCAGCTCTGCGGCGGCGGCCACGATCCTCCTCTGCGTCGTCTAGCTTCTCCAGCTCAACATCTGTAGGGCTGTCGCCGGACAGGGTGGAGTCTCTGACTTCAGTCTCTGGCGGTGTCTCCTTTTCGGGCGAGGGCGATACCGGCGTTGAGCGGTTAGGGAAGATGGCCGATTGACTGATGGGGCCGCCAGGCCCAATGCCGTCGTCCCACTTTCTGTGCTTTCTCTTCTTGGCCACCAATGATGACGGACGGCTGCCCGAGCGGCCATTGTCCTCTTCTCTCTGGCGACGGAGAAACTGCGCGGGTGGGGGCAGCGTGCCGGGGGGGAACTCGGGCGTCTTGTAGTCGTCAAAGGATGTCTCCGACATCGTTCGGGCCTGGGATCTAGACTGGGACGAGATCCTGGGCAGCCTGTTCATCCACGACGGTCCATCCTCGGGGGCGGCGGTGTAAGACATGGTTAGCGTCAGGGTATTGATGCGCTTGCCGAGCGTGAAGACGGCAATCGAGGAGCCGTGGACGAGAATGGACGAGATGACGAGGAACGTGACTATTGGCCACACGAGGTAAATCAGGTTGTAATGATCTGTGCCCTCGGCTGGCAAGTCCGATAACGGCACAGGCTCGTCGTGCTCCAGCTCAGCCCGCGCAAGAATGGCGACGAAGATGGCGCCGACGCCTATTGGGCCGAAATGGCCTGCAAAGAGGGCCTCGCGCCAGTTTTTGATGTCTGGTATGAGCGGCTTGAGCATCATCATGATGGGAATGCGGCGGAACAGGATGACGAAGATGGCGATAACAACGAGACGCCAAACCTCCATGCCCAAGAAGCCGTTGTTGTACTGCTCCCACGGGATGATGGTGCCAAAGTAGACAAAGTAGGCCAGATTGAGAAGCAAGTCGATGACGTTGGAAACGTGCGACTCCTCCGTCTTTTCGCCGAACCAGCCGTCGTTAGAGAAGCCGACTCCGGCAGCAAAGCCCACGAGGAGATCGTCTACGCCGAGGATACTACCCGAACCGGCGCAGAAGAGCGAGAGGGCAAAGTAGAAGACGAGGAAACTCTCACGATCAATCATGTCGTGCTCCTCGGCGTAGCGGATGCCGCGGCGCGCAATATAGCCGATCATGAAGCCGTAGAAGGCGCCAAAGATGCACTCGTAGAGGATGACATAGACGACAAAGTGGAAGCTGACGTCGCCGGCGTTGCGGTTGTACTGGATCAGGTAGAGCGAGAGGTAGATGAAGGGAAAGGCCATGCCGTCGTTGCAGCCAGACTCGGCCGACAGCAAGTCTCGCAGATGCTTGGGCACGCGCTTGGCGAATTTACCCTTGCCAACCACGGACGAGGCCAGGACGGGATCGGTGGCGGTGACGCAGGCGGCGACGACGAGGGATTCGAGCCAGTTAAGCGGCGGGATCATCCACCAGACGAAGAGGCTGACCAGAAGCCAGCCAACGGCCATGACGGGCACCAGCAGGAAGACGACGGAGCGCCAGTGCTTCTCCATGTAAAACTTGGGCAATTCGACCCCGACGGCAAAACACTGGACGACGAGAACGATGCGCGAGAACTCGACGGTGACGATATCAACGCTGCCCCAGGACCGCGGGTCGATGAGGTTGGCGGCATGGGGTCCGAAGATGACGCCGCAGAGGGTGGCGATGGTGGCCTCGCCAATGTACATGCGCTCCTTGATAATGGAAGAACATAGCATGAAAAGCGAGGTGAAGCCGCCGAGGATAATGTAGACCAAGTGCGGCTTGGTGATGTCGAGGTTGTCCCACGCCATGGTGGCGGTCGGTTGGGGGTATCGCGACGAGGTGGACGGGGATCAGCAGCAGCTGTTTTCGAAAGTGTCTTGTTCGTCTTTCAACCTAGGTAGGTCCTGGGTTTCCTCCGGTTCTTTCGCAACCTCCTCTTATTGATGATGAGTCTTTCTCTTCTCTTCTCCTCCTTCTTCCGACTCCTTCTCGTCAACCCTCGTGTCGGGTTTGCCGACAAAATTATTTTTTTCCCCCTTCTCCAAACAGCAATCGTCCGTTGCTTCTCGGCTTTTTGCTTTTTTGCCTAGCTCCGTTTCAAGGCCCAACCTCGCGTGCCCAAACTAACACAATTGGCAGTCCAGGGTCTTTGCTTGGCTCAAGGCGCCGGTTGAAGTTGAGGTTCTGACGGAAGCTGACGCCGGGAGAAGCAGCGGCCTACGGGCTGGCACTGCAAACTTGAAGTTACTCCCCAGTCAATGGTAGCCGAGCCAGGAGAGTCGCGATGGCGAGACATGCAGGAGAGGAGAGAAGAAGCACGAGATTGAAGACGAACGGCAAAAGAACAGAAGAGGATAAGGAACAAGAGAAGAAGTGGGCTCGCACGTGGATACGAGTATAGACAGGACGAGGATGATAAGGATGGGATAGGACTGGACTGGACTGGGCTGGAGTGAGCAGATTGGACTTCTTTTGCCACGCTAGGCCCGAAACCCGAGCCAAGGGCTTGGAAGCAGCAGTAGAAGCAGCGAGATGGCCAGCGTGTGGAGAAGGGCAATTGCTGGGCGAGGCTGTGTCTGTGTCGTCACTGGATCGGAGGCGTCGGTTCCGTTGCAACAGGCCGATGGGCCCGGAAGAAGCTCGTGGGCCGGGAGACGAAGATGGAGGGGCGCCGAGAAGAAGTTTGACGCTATATTCTCGCGGTGGTTGTATGGGGTTGGTTGGGTTGAGGCTGTCGATGCTGGATAGATGGCGGGGAGTCGATGTTGACTGGTGCTGTAAATTGTAGGAATGGATTGATTTGATGCCGGATGATGTGGTTCACGGGCTTGTTCCAACTGCCAAGAACAAAAAAGAACAAAAAAGAGCAAAAAGGAACAAAAAGCCCCGGTCGTGGAAGAAGCAAAAATCCTGATCCAGACCCCGAAGCAACTTGTCGAAAACTTCGTTGACGAGGCCAACGCGTCGCCAAGGAGCTACCGCTGCAAGTCCCCAGTCCAGCGCTGATGCGCAGCGCCAGTGGGGTGGCCACAGGGCACCTGACCGTGGGGACTGCGGGCTGCCACAGCGCTCGCGGCCACTAACAGCGCTGAGGCCAGCGCCGTAGACCGCTTTGGGGCCGCTAGGGCGCAGCGTCCACCGCCTGCCAATGCCGGCGTTTGGCAGCCAGCAAAAACTCGCACCTCGAAGTTTTGTCGGTTGGCTTTCAATGGTTTGGGCGTATTTTTTTTTTAGCAGAGTCTTGGCCGGGCTTGAGCGAGTCGGACGAATTGATGATTCCATCCATTTATTCCCTTCGCACTGTTCCCATGTATTTCTTTTTCTGCCTGATTTCAAATGTTTTTGTTTACGGCGTGACACAGGTTTGGAATGGAATTGACGGCTGAGACACTCCGGCTCCGGTTTGCCGGAACCGTGCCGTTGTCCTTTTTCCTGCCTCTCCTTTTTCGCCTTGAATGTCTCACCCGCCTCGTGACGACTCAGATCCGCATCCTGCAAGTGTTCAATCCGACTCCAACAGTCTCGGCACGGCTCATTTCATTCTTGGCAGCGCGGCGAGTTTCAAGCCGCCCCGTTTCTTTTCTTCCTTTCTTTTCTCTCTTTTTGCTATTTTTAATTACATCCTCCCTTTTCATCCCGATGGTTCTGTCTTTTATATGCTGCTTTGTTGGGGGCTAAGCCCTTTCAACGTTATGCGTGTTACTCCCGGATATTATCTAGCAACATGGGCTTGTCATCTCCCACCAGCCATTCGCCGTGATTCGTCCCGGGATGCTCCGCGGACATGAATTGAATGCTTCCTGGCGTATTTCGGCATCCGGCATTGGTCAAGTTCCCACTACGGAGATGGGATCATGGACATTGCCCCCCCGCCCCTTTTGTTTGCTTTTCCATCCTTCTTTATGCTTATCTCTCAGCCCCTAGCAAACGGCGGCCGGCTATTCTCATCTAGATTGCTGACAACATAACATGCCTTTAGCCCCCAACATGAACCCGTCCCGACCCGGGGTCCTCAAACTGCCCGCTGGTGTTGGTTCAGCTCGGCTGTTCACCCGTATACTCTTGTTTGACTTTTATTTTTATTCTTGTAATTGGGGGTTTAATTTGTATTTTGTAGAGGCAATATCTGCCGCCTGGGCAATATTCCCTCGAGTCAGCCATTGTAGGCAGCTGGAAAGGCTGATCTGTCTTGGCCTTGCTCGTTTCCCCGCGCTGCAATCCATCATGTGAGAAGCAATGGATGGAGACAAGCCATGCATCAAGAATCTTGTCTGGAGATCTCCAGTGCAGATCACGGATTATCCCAAAGCCAACTTATCAGCCGGGGTTCCTTGGGCCATCAACCGGTCGGATCCGTATGTGGTCATGTTACAGGTCATTTTGATATACGAGTATGTGTCGTGGCTTGCTACTCCCCACAAATGACTGCATTTCCAACAGACATCCGTTCAACAACCTGTAATTCAGGCCATGCGTGCATATGGCCAACTTCTTTTAACCACCGCTCACGTTGCTCTGAGGTAGACGGGCTCTACTACATGTAATCATGCAAGCACGCAATTTGGCCCGTTGCACAGCCAAAGTCGCCGGAATGGACCTTTGCATTCTATCTTTTCCAACTGCCGTATTTCATTGTCTGAGTGCTCATGTCTTTCTTGATGCTGAGTACATGCAGGCGACTGCTGCCATAATTTTGGTCGGATAATCGGCTAGGTCAAACAACATAAAAGACACATGTAAGCAAGCTATGTGAGACATCTCGGAATACGGCCATGTGATTCCACTTATTGGTTACGCACAATCCGTCTTATTCCGCGGAGAGGCTGCGGATACATGTAATTTGTTTAGTACTTCGGCCTTTTGCAGTCAAACTAAACAAATTTGTTCCACCAGCCGCAATATTGGTTCGGGCGAAATCTTTGGAGATTACATACATGTAACCCTCAATGTTCCAAGATAGGATCACTGCGTGTAACCTAGTGAGTGACACGACTTTTGTACGATACATGCACGCCTCATAGCTAGGTATAAGCTCACTTTTTTATGCTTATTATGCGTATCATGTTCGAGTTACACTGGGGTATATGCATCGTGTACCCTATTTAGTTGCCAAACATCTGGAACTCATTCCATCCAAAATGACATGCATGTTAGTGTGCCCACTCCGGCGTTTGTTTTCCGAGACCTGTTTGATGAACTTGTGTATGGTTGGTGCTTCCTCTCTTTCACTACATTTTCCGTTGGACCAAATCTCGTGAATACAGCTAGCAGGGAGATACAGTTTTCTATCCATCATTTTTGCCTATGATATGTCATGTTTCTAAGAAGCTCATCTATGGCTACCAGAAAATGTATGGGTATGCCTATGAAGAGAGCACCTGGATTATTATTGTCGCAGCTATCACCATTCCTGCCTACTGTAGACGCTACTGACAGCCTAGGTCTTGTGATTGCGAACAAGCATGGCCTCTCCATCACTCAGAGCTATTGCAGAGCCTTTTGCTGGTGAAAAAGAAGAGCTGTTTGATGGTGTTCAACAAGAGCTGATGCTCTCTGTCTGCATAATCGTATCAATACGAAGAGTGGCTGTAGTGGGGAGCTTGACTGAGGATTACGAAGTTGACCAAATTGTGATACAGACAGTGGGACTTGGTGAGGACACGCGATGAATGAAATGGACCCAGCAATGTAGGCTATTCTGCGGAATGTGAGTGATGTGCCCCAAAAAGCTGAAACACCTTACCGGTAGGAGATCTTGCCTGCCAGGATTTCGTCAAGGGTTCTCATCGTCGAGTATCACAGGAACTTTGCAATTGTTCATGTTATAAATCTTTTTGATTGCAACTGGGTTCACTCTATGAGAGTGTAGATTCATCTGGTTCGATTGCTACGCATAGTCAACTTGGGAGGCCGTACGCTATGCTTTATTGACCTAGCAATTGGGCCATAATGGCTACTAATGCAGATAGGGTAGTAACAAGTTAGGCTGAGAGGAGGTTTCACCTCCATGACATAGGTAACATATAATTGTAGGAGAATACTAATATACATGTATACTTATGCGTATAATGTGTACTTGGGAGTGGTGAGCTGCCGAGAGAGCCATTGCTATGCACCGTTTTCAACACTCTCACATCTCTCGTCTATGTCAATAACACCAATTCGTTTATATACCTAATGCAGACTTTGCAGACAATCATACAATCATATGAAGTCATGGTATAGCAAAACTGCCGCAGAGGTGCAATTGGCAGCTCAAAATGCGAAGCACTGCAATTTATAGTGTCGCCATGTGAAACTACTAGCCATTAATAGATAGTTCAAGGACAATATCTTTTCACGTCCTCCATGGAGGCATAAATCTCCACAAGATGGTCGAATGTCTACACACTTTTACGTCAAACAGGAGAAGCAATTTATTCCAGGTTAGGGAGATGCCTCCGTGTCGCAATAGTTTCAAGGACAACTAGCGATGCAAAGGAGCATCAGAGCGCTTCGTGGTTCTAAAAGTACGTAGTAATTGATGAAATTTCCTCATTTTCATTCGCATTTTGTTTTATGTTCTATAGCTCTTGCTTTTGTGTTCCCTTTGGCTGCACTGTTCGTAACGTGGCGGTTTCATCAAGGAACCTATACGCAACGTCGAGATTTGTCAAGTATAATTGCTGTGAAAGGCACAAGTTACATCTACTGGAGGCACAGTATAGAGAATTTTGATAGCAGTTAATCATGTTATTGCATTACCATAAGTCATTTCATCCTAACCGAGTACATATACTTCGTGTGTAAGTTCGTACAGTGCTTCCAAGAGCACCAAAATGAGACGCTCCTCCATGCATGTGGTACTGGTACCCCGCCATTTGCGTCCGCATACATGTACATGTACATGTACCCCGAGACACATGACACGGACCCGCTGGTATCTTGATCTCCCTCGACTTCATGTCAATTCACATCACCGTTCGTCACGTTTTGTCCTTTCACCTCACCTCCGCCTGCTTCTTGGGTATCAATCATTCAATCCTGACTCTCCTCCTGCCTGTCCAGCTTGCCAGCCAATTTGCCCCCGTCCAGAATGCTGCCAAACATGGCCGCCTCAAACAAATTGTTAACCTGCCAGGCGTGAAAGTTTGCATGTGCAATGATCCAGACCATCTCCAGCACTTGGCCGCGTGAAAAGAGGTCGGCCATGGCCAGCCGCGAACCTTCGGCCAAGTCATACTCGCGCTCCTCGTCGACCTGGCCGCCCCGGACATACTCCAGCGGGCCGGTGACCAGCTGCCACCAGAGCTCCTTGAGCAGCGGCTTGTCTTGGTGACGATGGAGGAAGTGGTTGACGTGATCGCAAGTGTCTTCACCGTTGCAAGCGTACTTGGCATCAAGGGGTCTGCTAAAGCCCGTTGTGTGGTACTGCTTGTCAAATGCCTCGTCGAAATCCGCCTCGAACTGAGGCTTAGCCGGCGTCTTGCGGGCCTTGGGCCAGCCCAGGAGAGCGCGGCGGAAGAACATGTGGCGGTCGTTCTGGATATGCCATGTGTACAGAGCGGCGCACATCCTGGCTACGGGCTCATGCCATCGCTGGGTTAGCATCCTGGCGCCAGTCGCGGCGTACGCGTCGTATATCTTGCGCAGCACTTCCTCGTCAACGACCCCTGTTTCTGTAATGTCCGTCACGTTGAGGAACGAGTTCATGACCTCGGAGTTGACCAAATCGCATCCCACGTCGACCACATCAGTGCCCGGCGAGCTGAAGACCAGATCGGCCATGACGGCAGCAGGGTCAAAGCCACGTGCGATCGCCTCAGCTGCCATGCCCAGCAGGCTGCTTTCTGACAGGGAGACGATCTGTGCTGTGCGTCGGTCCAATCGCGCTGACCGATACGACAAGTTCTTCTTGTGCTGGTTCTCTAGCGCGATCTTACCCTGGATATATTGCTTACCCAGGGAGACGGCGTCACGTCGTTCGCGTCCTCCCGGGGTGCGCAGGGCATGCGGATCCTCTAGGCCCTTCTGCAGCAGCGGCTCAAGCGTCGGGTAGACGTAATTGTACCCGTGCTCATAATAGAACACCATGTCGGTCACATAATTGGAAAACATGGTTGTCGCATCGGCAGCGCCCATGAGCAAGCTGGCGATGCCGCACCCGAAGAGCGCATTGTTCGTTTTCAACGCATCGGGCCAGTCAGCCGCTCCGATTTTGCTGAGCGTTTGGGTCGAGGCTTGCTTCAGTCCGGTGCCTTTGGGTGGCAGGATGTTGCCCGCTGCGTGCTGGGTATCTTTCCAGCTCTGCAGATCAGTGGATAGCTTAAGCTGGACTACTCTGGGCCCTGATTCTAGAGAAGACAAAGACTGGTTCTCGCTCACGGACGAGGTGTCTGCCGCATCTCCAACGTCTCCAAACACCTCGACGACAAAGTCTCGGGCTTGGTTCGACAACATTGCCAACTCTGCCACGGTGCCATGGCCGACCAAGTTTCTTGCTTCTGAATAACCAGTGTGGACAGGGAAGGAGTGTTTTCTGAGCTTCCGGCCCAAGAGCCTCCTAACCCGGTTCCGGAAGCCCTTGACCCAGAAATATGGGGGAATCTTATCCGAGGCGCCTTGGAAAGCATGGCTCTTTGGAGACTTGACCTTGATCTTAACTCCTTTGAGGTCAAACTCGCTCCAGTAGCTCTGGTGAGACAAGGATTGGCACCAAGAAAAGGCCATGATGATCGATGCTGAGGAAAACAACTTGTTTGGATTGATGGTACAACAGCAGCTCGAGCATCGGATCCTTCCCTCCATTTATATGGCCATCTGGCGGGCGTCGGCTCTGCGGTATGAACGGCTGCAGCCCTCCTCAAAAAGGCGCAGCTGCATTTCGATGGAGCCTCTTAAAAGTTTGGGGGTGAACCAACAGCATAACAGGTCACATTCTAACAGGATTTCTGGGATGCATTTGCGGAAGAGGAGGGGAAGAGAGCCAATATTGACCTGGGCAGCTGAAAACCGCGGGCGACGGTAAGCTGATGTTTACAAACTTATACGACTCTTTTGGGCAGATGTGAATCGAAATAGATCTGAATGAAACCCAAACGAGGAGCAAGTCCAGGGTGACCCAGGAAGACGAGGGGAGAACTGACGACTTGAACGGGCCGCCCCTACCGCGGTCAGCTATGACACGGGTTGCTACCTAGTAGTAGTATGTACCACGAGTGGTATACTCCGTAGTTACGCTGAGAAATCTTCACCTTGGGATCAGACAAAGGATTTTCTCCTCCCGCAAGAACACGAGGGGGCCCCTGTAGGCCGATTGATGGTTCTTCTCCACAATGATATCAGGTTCGTTGGTTTATCCATGTTTGCTTCAGCGGACACTTGCTGACTTTGGAATAGTGGCATGTATGTGCTGTCTGCAATCCTTGAAGCGGTGAGAAAGCAGCGTGGTATCATGGGTTTGGAGTTTGTCGATGTTGCGCCTGACCTCGAAAGGCTGCCTTGGCTGGCCATGGTCTTACGAGCAAAGGATCTTGAGGCCTGGCTGTTTATGCGTTGTGGTTCATGCTTGGTGAGTCGATTGAATCACGAATGTAACATCGATGATGGAGCATCCGGCTGCGTGACAGGCCTTCCATGCTGGATGATCGCCTCGCCTGCACGATACATTGTCTGCCTCTGCATTGCATCAGATTTCTTCTGTATTTAGCAATGGACGCTTGCGATAAGGCAGGACCACGAGGCCGGCAATCTGGGGCCACCACTTGCCGAGCCCAGCTCGACGGGCTGCGAGAACCATTCGGTATCCACGGGCTGCATAATATTTATGACTGGGAACAAAAAACACGGGGACGCTTGATAACACTTAGGTAATGGACCGCACGAGATACCCTGCTCAAAGGCCTGTCCCGTATGATTGACTAGCACCACTTGGTCCTGGCAACGATACGATATCGGGCTAGCAAACCAGGCCACTTCCCTGCCATGTGAAAGGGCCTTGAGTTCTCTGCGAATACTCACCCGTACAAGTTAGCAAGGCTTTCGACGAGTCAAGTTTATATGTCTTATTGGACGTGAAGAATAATACTACCTGATGTTGGCAGTCTGCCCCGACGCGAGCCAGATCCGGATATGCCGAGCAACAAATGCCAGGCCAACGGCTGCAGCTTGACCAATTGGTGTTGACAAGGGCAACATGGCATTGCCGCATTCTGTCGCGCCTCGCGGCAATTGGTTAATCGGTTGGCTGGGGACAGGATGCTCAAAGCGGATTGGCGTGCTGGTACTCCGCACAAAGCCCATACCCATACCGAGACCAGCACGAGCGAAGCTGCCGAGTACGGTACGGTACTGCTGTTGGTCAGGCTGGTGGTTGGACATGACACGGGGACAAGCGTCGTGCGCGTGTATATCGTTGGTACAAGTACAGTCGGGCCCCGAGCTCCAGACAAGAAGCTCCAGACAAGAAGCTCCAGCTTTGAATCCCAGTCCCAGACTCCTAAGCTGAGTCCCCCCAGGCTCAATCACGGCAGAGCGAAGCTGAGAGAAGGACGCAGGGCCTTCAGCTTAGCGGTGGATCGTGCCCTTTTGCCTGGCCTGCTGCTAATTACCATTGCGGCATCGGGTGCTCTTAAACCCTTACGACCTGACAATGCGACTGCACGCCTGACCCCCGGCATGGGGAAGGGCTGCAAGGGCTCACGTTCAAGCCCAATGTTACGGCGGAAATGACACGACCCCTTCCATAGCTGATATAAGTGCCGCTGCAATCGAGATTGCCTGAAAATGGCTTGCCGACCTTCTCTTCCCGCGCCAAAGTAACCTTTCTAAACATCTGAAGACTTGATTGCATGTCAATCATGGCCCCGCCCGAAGCCGCGACGTCTATTCGGTACCGTCCGCTCGACCGGTCCGGGAACGAGATTCGCCTGCTCGAGCTGCAGCCGGCGACGACCAACGACATTAACGAACGCGTCGTATGCCGCCTGGTCCATGAGCGGCTAAGCGACCCGTCCGACTTCATCGGCCTCTCGGCCCTGTATGGCGACATCACCGTCACAGAGACGATCTTCGTCAATGGAGCCGCCATATCCATTCCTGTCCACCTCGCCCAGGCACTGCGTTACATGCGAGTCGTCTTCCTGGCCGCGGCGCTACCAACGCCAGATGCCTCCATGACCGACCTCCAGGGCTCGGCTGCGATGCCAGCGCCTTTGCCCACGCCGCCCAAGAAAGCCCCTGGATGGCTGCGGTCTCTACTCAAGAACGTGCGACACATGATCGCCGAGCAAGGCGCGCCGCGCGGAGGCACACCGCCTCTGCGGATATGGCTCGACCTCCTATGCATCAACGGCCGGGACACGCGTGAGGAGTCGGAGCGGAGGGCTCATATGGCGCGAGCATACCGCCACGCCAAGATGGTGGTGGGCTGGTTGGGGCTCAAGGACTCGACGTCTGACCTCGCCATTGAGATTATCAAGGCCTGGGACAAGTGCATGCCCGTCACCTTTGGCGAGCCGGGTGACCGCGAGGCCCATCCTAACGACTATGCCCCTGTGCTGCAGTGGATGGGCCCTGTTGCGCATCTGAGCAACATACCCGAGGGCATCACGGACCCCCGCGAGGTGCCCAGCTACAAGGCCATTTCTGAATTCCTTAACCGACCTTACTTTCGCAACGCGTGGATCCTTGACGACATGGGCAAGGCGCGCTTCCCAGCCTTTTTGTTGGGCGACGACATTGTGTCCTGGATGCAGATATTGCGACTGAACCGCGTCAACGAGGAGATCAAGGACCACGGCGCCGACATGTTCCCCGACGAACTGCGGCCGCTGCTCGAATACTTGCCACTGGGCAGCGTCTACGCGTTTTTGAAGGAATTCGACAACCGGCAGAGGCAGGATGGAGTTACGCCCGCCATGCTTACGACTACGAGCTCGGTCAGGAGCTCATACTCAATGACGGGCATGCGGACCAGGTCAAAGCAGTGAAGCCCCAATTCAAAATTTTTTTCCTGCATTTTCTTCGTCCCTCTTCTTCTTTCTAATCTTTAAATTTTGAAAAAAACTCCGACCAAGGCATTACGATCTGTGCGATTCTAGAACGGTGGGAGAAGGTGGAACTAATTTTTCTTTTTCTTTTCTTTCTCTTTTCCCTTTTCCTTTTTTTCATATTATATTACTCGGATGGAAAGGAAGGACATCCTCTCGGGTTATTGCGCGTGTTACGATTGGCTCCTAGGAAACGGGAAACGGGATCGTCAACAGGTTTTGGAACTGCGAAACTGGGATTGTTTTATCCCGCCTTTGATCATGAGGAGCGGGATAGTGCTTGGCGAATTTCTTGCTTTTTTTGTTTTGTAGAGATACCAATGAGAAAACTGCAGATAGATTTTATTAAGAGGATGACTTGGGCATGATAGGCTTTGAGAGTGAGAGTGAGCAATACGCGTATATGTTTTACAAGGTCTTTTTTTTCGTGTTTCGTAATTTCGGTTGATGTGTACTTGCTTCTTGCTGTGACATTCTGAGTCGTATGCTGTTTTGTTATGTTGTCATATTTATTTTTCATGCTATGATAATATTTCGACGTTGCAATAACATTTTTGATGTCGTGATAATGACTTGATGTGGCAATAATGCCTTGATGTCATCATAATGGTTCGATAAGTGCATTACGAAACAAATGTATATAACACGGAGGCCTTGTACGGAGTATGTTGTCTTGTTTTGGAAACGGGGGTCAGCAGCCAAAATAAAGTGCCGGAGGCGGGACGCTCATCCATGCCGAGGCGGAAGGATTTAATCTACGATGGATTTTCTTACCAGCATTTGGCGCAGGCCAGTCTGTAGATCTTGGATGACCTTTTTTTTCTTTTGTTCACCCCGGAACATTCCGAAGGAGGAAAAAAAGAATATGTAGGGGAATTAAATAAATCTGGGGAAATGGCGAGACTTGGGTGGTGTGATTTTTTTTATTTGTGAGATGATGGTCTGTTGATGTGTGGAAGGGGCGGTAAGAAGGGAAGAAAAAGGAGATTTCGTGGGTGGGTGGGTTTTTTTTGGGACAAGGGGGAGGCGGGATGTGGGAGGGGGGGATGATGTGCGTTTTGGTGGTTTTTGGTGATGGATTTGGTGAGAATTTCCTTGATTCGAGGATTGAGTCCTAGAGTAGAAGGTAATATACTTGGGTGATGCAAGTTGTATTTTATGTGCAGGATGTTGGTTGTGTTGGGATCACGGAGTTTCTGAGTGTTGCTTTTGGTGGATAGAGACAGGCATGAAACAAAAGAGATCATCTAGACGTGAAAGACGCGTCAATTCTCTAATATTCGAAGTTGCATTCGTTATTTATGAACTTGCTTGTTTCCGCCACAAGTCTCAAGTGCATCATCTACAGACTGTGTGCCATTGATGCAGCTCAGCAACTGTCACCCTTGATATATAGTGAGATTCAGATGGTTTTCTACCAATCAAATCATTCCTACTATTGCCTGCTAATTGAATCCTTCTTGTTTTAAAGTCTACATCGGATACCCCTAGAATCAAAGCTCCATATCTTCCTCCTCTACAACCTCGTCGTCAAACTGAATCTCGACATTTTCTTGATCCTTTACGGGAATCTCTCCATTGGCCGATTGAGCAGCCTTGGACGCAGTGTCTGCTTCCTCGTCTTCCTCGTCCCAGTCATAGCCGCAATCTATAAACTCGTCTTGAGGAGCGATGTCTGATTTCGACCTGTAGCACTTGAAGCATAGCTCAATACCTAATGGACCTGGGCCTCTGAAATAAACGCCCGCGATCTCGGCGTAGCAGCAGGCGCAAAACGACCATTCGGTTTTTTTGCCTCTCTTCTTTGGCCCGCGTCTTTTGTTCTTTGGAATGGTTTTGTCGGCAACCAAGTCGGCGATACTTTTGAACGGAAAGAGTCAATAATAAATCTTTTCTAAAGCTGTTGGATATATATATATATATATATAAGGAATCGAGACTTACCTGTCAGCGTGGTGGTAGTAGGCAACTTCAGAGACAGTCCACTCCTTGTATAATCCAAGTCCACGAATGCTGGGGTTCGCTCCTTTGCTAAGTAGAAACGCTACCGTGGCTTCGTATTGCGAAGGCTGTAGTTTCTTTTCACAAAACAAGAGACGAGGCGCACGTGCTGCCCAGAGCAGTGGTGTCCATCCATCGTCGTCGACAACGTCGATATCGATACCAACTCTCTGAGAACGTGCTAAAACTTCTTCGACGAGGTCGAGTTGGCCTCTGAACACGGCGTAGTGGAGGGGGACTCTGCCGACTATATCTCTGGCTGCGAAATCTGAATCGGGAAGGTTTAGGGAGTTTAAGACCTCGAGCGTGTTGTGGCAGGCGAAATGAGCTGCTTTTCTGCCAAAAGGATCCTTGACATCTGTCGAAGCCTTGTGGTCGAGGAGTAATTGGATGACTTTGCTTGAGCAAGATATGCTGGCGGAAATAATTGGATATCCTACACGGCCTGCAGATAACTTTGGATCAGCGCCTTCGTCGAGAAGTAGTCTGATGATACTCTCTGCTGGTATATCGCTGTCGTCTCCCCATCGTCTAGAAGCTGCTATCAATGGGGTACCGTATGCTGAGGCGCAAGCATAGTTGACATCCGCACCGTTTTTGATCAATGCTTTTACCATGTCTAGTGTGCCTCTTGCACAGGCGAAATGCAAGGGCGCACCCTCTTTGTTGAAGGAAGGGTTGTTGAGGGTGTCGACAACAATCGTCTTTGTCATGAAGTAGTTGAAGACTTCCATATTGCAAGCCCTTATTGCGCTTATGAGAGGTGTCTCAAGATCGTTGTTCATGGCATCTAGTTTGCCGCCGGCATTGACCACTCGTCGGATTGATGCTAGAGGCGTCTGTTTTCGTATATTATGAAGCGCTGTGTCTCCGTCTTTATCCTTGTGGCTTAGATCGGCTCCAAATTCGATGAGAGTTCGGATCATATTGTCGTCATTACGTGACATTGCCCAAAACGCGAGTTGAGTGTTATCATCATCCACAAGATCGACGTTCGCTCCGGCCTCAAGCACCGATGACACAATGTCAGTGTAGCCATCACGGACTGCACGCCGTATCGCTCTCTGGGTTGAAGGGATTGACCAGTTAGGCTCAATCTTTGACTCGCTAAGCATCATTTTGACGGCGTTGACTTGGTTACTGTTTATCCCGAGGCCTAAAGGCGTAGCCTCCCTCTTATCCATTTTGTTAATGTCCGCGCCGTACTCAAGAAGAACACGGACAGTCTCGGTGGAATCAAAGACAGTGTGCAATGCTGTCCATCCATACTCATCATTACGGGCATGGATATCAGCTTTAGCTTCAATAAGCAATCGCACGATTTCTGAATATCCCTGCCGTGCTGCGTGCCAGAGAGGAGTGATGCCATTTGACCAGGTGATGTTGGGATCTGCGTTGTGAGAAAGAAGGTAACGAACTATCTCGACATGGTTTTTATATGTAGCCATATAGACTGTTATCAATTAGTATAGTTATGTCACATCATAAGACGTCGGGAACAGACCTGGTGTGCGCTCATAGTCTATTTTCTGATTCACATCGGCACCGTTCTCGACAAGTAGCTTGACTAGCTCCATGTTCTCCAACATGATTGCAATGACTAATGGAGTGCCTTCTCTCTCTTTGAGGACCAAGTTTGGGTCTGCTTTATGCGCCAGCAGAAGGCGACAATTGTCGATCCTCTCTTTCATGACTGCCCACCAAAGAACCGGTCTGCCATCGTCTTCCCCTGCATTTGGATCTGCCCCATGACGAAGAAGCGCCTCCGTGATCTTATGATGACCCCGTTGAACAGCAATCATTAGTGGTTGAGAGGGCAGGTCCGGTGTTATATAATCTCGGAAGTCTCTATGGCGAAGCAAAGATTCGGCTGCTGCAAAATTTCCCCTCGTACAAGCCATTTGCAAAGGTGTGTGTTCGTTCAAACCCTTGGAATCGATTGGCGCTCCGTAACTCAACAAAAGATTCGTCATATCGCTAGATCCATGGGAAGCTGCAACTTCCAGCGGCGCCGCTATTTCCCTATTGCTATTCGGAGCGACGCTTGTGCCAGCAGCAATTAGTAGCTTGGCTGATTCAAGCCGTGAGTACTGAACCGCAACCTGTAGTGGTGAATCTTCGTCATCTGAGGTAGTTTCTAGAATCGTGGTATCATTATCTGGTCCTATGGAGAGCAGCTTGGCGACGATATCAGTCATATCTAGTTCGCAAGCTAAGCGTAGGCAAGACTTCAAACAAGATGATAGGGGGCTAGCCGTCGGTGGTATTGTCTCTTCCTTTGTCGTCTCTTGAACATCATTAACCGGGTACTTGATGTCAAGACCATCATTCGTCTCTAAGCGTTGCTCGGGAGGTTGTTGCTGGCGCAGCTCACGTTGGCCTGGTAAATATACATAAATGAGCAGTTCATGGCACAGCTCATGACTCTCACTACGGAGGGCCGCTTGTAAAGTAGCTTGCACATATGCTTTGTTCAAATCCAGGCCGTTCGTGTATCGGACGATAAGAAGGCGAAAAATAGGTAACTGGGCCGTCCTCGCAGCCTGGATTAATGCGAGATTTAGAGTCTCAGAGTCGTATTCGTTCTTTTCTAGAATAGACTTGACAATATCTTCGAACCCAAAATGTGCCGCTATGGTGAGAGGCTTGTAGTTTTTGAATGGTTTTAAGAAAGGGGTAGGTAAAGCCATATATGCATCTATCCAGCGCTCCAGCCACGATTGATGCTCGAAGATGTCCAAAACATCCCTCATTGAATCGACTTGTTTGTAATGGCTTACCCAGAACTCCGTGGCGTATGGTAATTGGGTAGCCCAGGCCTGGGACTGATCAGTGTTGTCTTTTAGATGCTCTAAACAGGTTTGCATAATAGTCATGTGTCGATCTCGTTCTGTCTGTTGATACCACCCCTTTGTAATGAGCGATTGATCTTCACTGAGACCTGGAAACTTCAGCCAGTAACGGATGGAAGCATGACTGAAATGTACTTCGTCGTGAACTATGACCAACAATCCTCCAAATTGGCGGATGCTAGTGGTGATGTGCCCGCGTATCGGAGACCTTTCTGTATATGCATCGACCTTATCCCCAAGACACAGATCTGATATTCGGCAGAATTCAGATACCCTCAGCCGTCTGAAGGATGAAAGCATCCAAGATAAAAGTTTTTGGGCCCAAAGGCGATATTTCTCAGGGATGTTCTCTAGGATGGTTGCAAAAATGAGCTCTGGTGAGGGCGTCTGACTCCTGGCCAAGATACGAGTGAAGGATATTGAAGGATCTGGGGTTGATTTGAAGTATTCTATTAGCAGATGACGCAATGATTCATCATTTGAGCAACTGGAAAGTAAGGCTTCTATCTTGTCTCGTAAGCCATTGACCGCATAGTAATGGCTCTGCTGGAGAAGCATGGACACATTGAATCCATCATGGAGGGGCTCGGAGGTAGGTAAGTTATAGTCTATGCGAGTTATGTTTTCTGTGGGGAATTTAGAGAGTGTGTCAACGATAAGACTGTCTTTGGCTGTCCCCTTTGTCGTAATGATGACAATCCTCAGGCGGTGCTCGATGGTTGTGAAGACGTGGTGGATTTCGGATAGGAATAGTAACACAGAATCGTCGCACTCGTCGAAACATCCTAATACAAGAAGGCGGCTTGAATCATCTAAACAGTGCATGAGTGGCTTGTCAACCAATGGGGGACAAAGAAGGTGAGCGTACTCCTTCTGACTACGACGTTGTGCCACATGTGCAGAAGACGTCGATATTCATAAGGATATTCATCGCAAACTTCGGGGAAATAGCTATTGATCGTAGGATTTCTTGGGCGGGTGTAGACAGCTTGAGCGAAAAATGTCCACAGCATTGCTGGTATCTCGTTGAACCTGACATCGCGACTCCTGAAGCGGAAATAGTACAGGTTTTCTTTGACACTCTTTGCTTCGCTGAGGTAGCTCTTCACGCTTTCGGTTATCTTGTCCGCGTCTGAGGTACACTGAATATGCAGGATGTGATTGTCGTCGGACTTGGATAAAATGTCTAGTTCGCGATTGTATTCGATTGGGGTATCATTCAAAGCAGGGTAGATTGGTGATGCTTGGTGTAGCGATTTACGCAGGCTCGCATTGTGCAATTCTGTAAAGTCTTTTCCCCGATTCGACAAATTAGATATGGGGTCGAATGAAACAAAGTGTGGGCATACGTACCGAGCCAGTCTTCATCTGATTCAATACTTTTAGCGTATGAGTCGAGTTCCTCAACATCAACTAACTGAAGATGTGGTTTAACACTCGGCAGCCGATACTCAAAGGCAATGCCCAAAGTGGCAGTGTATTTATCGAATATCTAGTATGTTCCAGTTAATCTCACTGTGAATAAAAACACACCAGAGAAAAAGGCTCTGAAAAAACTCACCCTTTTCGTAGGATCATCATGAGTGGAAAATATGTTGACGATCCGTGCCTGGATTGGCATTTTTGTATGTATAAATGAATCGTTGACTTTGCTTATTGTCTCAGCGAGGCTTCTCACAAGCGTCATTTTTTGGCTTTGGAGATGGCGATCATTGTTTAAGGAGAGAAGCCAGAAAAGCTGTTCTTCGAGATCAACTATTGTATGTGATCGATGAGGGTAGCCGAAGAATATCTATAGATGTTAGAGCTGGGAAAGCGTTATTTGATACAATGGGGTTGGAGTTTTTTTTTACAATACCACGTATGCAATGCAAGATATCCGCATATGCAGACTCATCCAAGCTGGCAAGAATGATGGCCTTCCAAGGCATCTATGGTTAGCTACTTCGATACACATCTCATCACTTGAGCTTTGGATCACTTTACCGTCTTGACAATTACACCGCCAATATCTTGGCAGGCAAAGTATATAGGTCGCCTTGCATCCTAAGAGACTGTAAGTTGATGTACATGTCACCTCAAGGCAAAGTCGCTAAACAAACTCTTATTTCAGGCGTTCGGCTTTTCGCAACCACTTCCAGTAGTTTATGAGCGATTCTGTAACTCCCCTGTAGAGTATAGCACCCCATAGACTCTTCATCCGGGTCGTAGTTGAATGGTATAAACCTTCCTCCCTTGGGGGCTATGTCGGAGAACAGTCTGTTGAGCCGGGTTTGGTCTGGGGAGCTGGGGGGGTCCGGCTCATCCCGTATTTTCTCCTCCCATGTTTTTTCATCCCCGTGAAATCCATGAACACCGATTATGCTTCAAAAGCGTAAGCCGACTGGAAACTGGAAACAGAATCTGGTTATCAATGAATACTTACTCGAATCTAGCTTCGTCTGTGACTTCATTGGGCTCGTCCGCAACAGCATCCTCAAGGACATTTTCTTCACTGGTTCCGGCCTGTGTTGCTGAAATGCCCGCTTCAGATGCGACCGGGGTAGCCATAGCTGCTCAAAAATGCGAGATTGTCCGCCTCAGACTTCAGGAGTCCCGAGAAGAAGCGGACATGACGTAAACATTCAAGTAGAAAGGAAACTCTATGCTGATTCAGAGTCAATCGGCATATCCTCCATTTTGTTATTAGCATACCTAAGGTAGGGTATAGGGCGATAATACATACATGGTACTTGCTAATGTTGCAAAGGCATCAGCGTCAGCACATCGTCGTGTCAATGCGATGCGGGGTTGACGAGCTAATTGAGGGGTAATTAGACAGTGCGTATACGGACTGGATATATCAGAGTACATGACATACATTCTTCTGCAGTAAGTTGTCGGAAATACGGCCAAAACACGAGCGAGGAAGTGGTTTGAGGCGATTGACCAGGTAACCAAGTAGTTATAGAACAGCTGGATCTCATATTGAGCGGCAGGTTCAATTTTCTTTGAGATGTGGCTTGAGAATTATGTACTAGAATTGCGGTAGCCGAAGCCTCCCGCGAGCCGGTTCTCTTAGTTGACAACTTAATTCCGTTGGTCCAGCTTTGACAACATAAACTCCGATGCTAGATGTATGCATGCTCTTCCCTTATCTCTATTTAGACGCTCTTCCGGCTAACACACAACTTCAGTTATCGCGAAACAACTCATTACGCTTTTTGACCAAATTGAGCCTCCACTCCCATTCTCACGTCACATAATGAATACAAGTCGAAGCTACTCAGGTCCTGCACGTTATAACTCCTGCCTTTCTTGGGCTTGTCCCCGGTAAGAGTAGGATTAAAAAGAACCGGATCGTCAAGCGGTACTTTCGAAAACTTCCTCTCCAAGCCCGTAACGAAATCAGCGTCAGCCTCAAGAGTCACCTTGGCATTGAAAGGTTTGCTGTCTTCTCGGCGGAGGAGAACTGCAACTCTCACTGAATCTGGAACGCCAGTTTGTCTTCGCTTGTTTTCTTGCAGATTCCACACAGCCACAGTTGATTCGCCCGAGTTCTTTCCTGTGCCCAAGTTGATGCTTCCAGTTACCGTGGTGGCATCACTGGCATCTCTTTTGACTGTTTTTTCAAACTTGAGTGCTCCTCCTGCTTCGAGAAAAGGCACACCGGAGGCTCCTAGATTCAACTCTCCGCCGCGTGTGATGGACTCACTATCCACAGTCGGCACCACGGACCATCTCTCTTCGGGAGCTATAGCGTCAACAGTTGGGCCTGTATCGTTCTTATTGTTGGCAAAGAACTCGACGTTGATGCGGGCTCTTATTATTCGACGGGAGTGCTTCTGTGGGTCGAATCGGAAACGGAATACCATTAATGTTGCCTCGTCCGCGTCGTTCTCGTAAGTTCCGTGAATAACCTCCATCAAATCAACACGAACGTGAATGTTGCCTCTCGTACGCTCAATCACGTTGCGCCTTTCCCAGTCGTTTACGGAGGCGTTTTCGGTACGAAATGTGTCATCTTCGCCAGTGACGATATCATGAAGCGGTGTCTCTAGTGCCAGAAGAGGCTCGTCGTCATCTCTCTGCTGAAGCTCACTCATTCTGTGGTAGCGATATTGCAATGCGTAACCTCAATAATATACTGGATGCAAACCATGAAGCGGGGTGTTGACAATATTTGACGATGGGTTTAGGTTTTACATGTGTGTATTATATCTCTGTCTGCGCAAATATAGTACCTCTATGTACTATTACAATAGTTTGCACGGTGTCTGGAGCCACTATTGATTTGAGAAACTGTTGTACAACAACTAGGCTTGAGAAAAAGATACCTCTCTTTGACTGGAAACCGTCTAAGCCCCTAATTCTATTCAAATTTTGACGAGAATTAATTATGATAGAAAGAAAAGAAAAGTTTCAGGCTTTGATATTGCCATATTGCCAAATCCGGTTCTCGCTGTTGAGTTGTGATTTGCTAAAATAAGTCTGAAGACCAAATGCTGTAAGCAAACACGCTATACATGAACAGGGGTCTAATTTTATCCAACGACCCTGTATACGTGTGTTCTCCCCTCTCTACCTTGGTTAAAGTCTCATCAGCGAGGTTCTGCAGAAGAGCGGCATCTTTTGTTCCCACAAACCCACAAACCCTCATTCCCCATCTGCCTGCAACCTCCATTTTCTCTTGTTACCATACACTCTATTTAAGTTCAATAGAGATCCTCAGGGAATGGACTCCAGCTTCCAAGGCCCGGAAAAACCGTCTCGCGTGGCCAGCGGGCTTATGGAGGATGGAGATGATTACGATCTGGACAATGAAGACGAATTCCTACCCCCACCAGCAACAATATCCGGGTTCGGTGTAGACCATGTCAGGCAGCGGTTTGATCAAGATATTGATGACGCACGAAAATTCTCAATACAAAGCTTTGATGAAGCTGAGAGGAACAGACAGCGGACGCAGTTTGTGCTTGCGCGAGCGACAGAGTGGGATAAAACGACATGGGAGGGTCAGAATCTTTTGCATTATCTGGCCTACGACCACAATCCCAAGCCATCGATTAGTTTGCAATGGCTCATGGCACGAGCCATCGTGAAGCTACCGCATCTGATGGGCAGAATGGACAAATCGAACCGCACGCCGCTCACCACTGCCCTCTATGTAGGCAACGAGAGATTCAGTCATGCGGTATGCAACAACGTGGGGTCAAAGACACGCGAGCGAATTAAACCGGAGCTACTGAATGAATGCAAACCTCACGATAATGACCGTGAAGTTACCTGCCTACATACGGCCTTGACTTGTGATTTTAGTACTGAAGAGCAGAGGGAGAAAATCGTCAAAAGCATTTGCAGTTTTGTTCCGGAGGAGTTGTTCAAGATCACTGATCATAGAGGTCGTACACCCTTACATCTGGCTGTAGAGTATGAGAGGTGCTGTAAGACACAGGTTGGCATTGTCGAAGAATTGCTTATCCGAGGATCACAAGCATTAGATGTTGATATCTTGACATATAATCGCACTTACTCAGTTTACCAGTACCACGAAAGTACAAGGAAGGCGGTGCAAAGAAGGTTCGACCAAACGCCCGCGAGAGAAACGAGAGGGGACAAGCTCAAGCTATCTGATACGAAATCGGACCCAAAGAGGGCCCCTTCGAAGCTTGAAATTGGCGCAATGGGACCATCTTCACTGTCTGGAGATAAAGAAGGGCCACTTAATTCCATGAAGCGAAGAGATTCGATCACAGCTACGTCTCGAGATCGCGGGGTTCATAAGTTACACTTGGATACACAAGTGATGTCCTCTCCACTTCGGGGGTCACCAATCGATTCCACACAAAACACAATGAATGCGGCGGCTCTCCAAAAGGAAGAGGAGCGGGCGCAAGCTGCTAGGCTAATAAGCGAGCAGCTGAAGCTTCTATATCTTCGGACCCAAAGGCCGGATCGTGCTTCTCGCTGCCTGCGCCTACAAGACGAGCAAGGTACGTGATGGTTCTGCTGTGGATGTTTATTTTACATGGGACATGCCTCTAACGGCTCAGTAGATAAGGAGCTGTGGTTCGACTTTGGTCCACCAAAGAAACTGAGAAAGAACGAATTTCAGAAACAATTCGGCCATCTTAAGCTGGATAGTGTACTTCAATACGTGGCGTTTCCACAAATCGAGTTGATTGAGGATGATGATGGTCCAACTACAAGGCGCAAGACAAGGACGGTAAGTTTTGATATAGCAGTATTGTCTTATAGTAAACTAACTCCTTTAGGACTTGATATTCTTTTTCAACTGGCTGAAACAGAAAGGAGTGAAACGAATTGTCAAGGTATAGGAATACCATGGAGTTTGAAACCCAACCTTCGAATATTCTTTTATTAAGCGATTCTTTTAGGTTATTGTGGACGATTTGAAAACTCCATCACATAGTGATGAAGCCATAGAAGAAGCATTGGAGTCATTTGTAAGTGAGTAGTAATGTATTTATATGTTGAGGGACTTACTGTTTGCAGAATGTTGAGATACTTGACTGGCGAAGATTGGATCTTGACCCTATATCACTTACTCGAGTTGGGAAGTGTTTACGGGAACTTCACCTCCAATGGAGTGGTAAAAACACCACCTTACGGGCATGGTCAGAAAAGGAGGGCTTAGCTATGATTCCCACGCTGGAGATAATAAGCGTCACCCAAGTTGAGGTATTCAGATCAACGCTCTTGAAGACACAGTCAATCACTAACATATGATTCCGTATAGAGCTCCGAATCTGATGCAAGAGTCAACAGCAACTTCAATGACTTTGTAAAACGAGTTCACGAGTCTTGGTCATCTGATAAGCAGCCTATCATAAATGGTCCAATTCCTGCTAACAACTACCTCAGAATGGGTATTCTTACAAGAGAAGGGCAGCTCAATCACAGCCAAGAACGCGGCGTTGATCCACACAAGTGGATGCAATGCATGGAGCACTTTAATTCTCATTTTAGACAGATCCGTGCCCTGAGAGACAAGACAACTGATGCGTCACTAACACCTGTGGTGGTCGCCTTGATAGACGACGGGACAGACATTATGCATCCAGACCTGAAGGGTATGGGATTCCCGGGCAAGAGTTTCCACCACTACCGAGAAGGCTCGACATGGCGCGTATCTCCATACTGGGACTCGCCATCTGGTCACGGAACGTTGATGGCTAGATTGATTCATCGCATTTGTCCAAGCGCCATTATTCACGTTATCAAGTTGCAGACTTTTGCAACTGAGGGCTCAACGAAACTTCAAATAAACCCCGATAGTGCGATACAGGTAAGTTCACTCACATAATTACAATTAGTTACACATTCCTCTGATGAAAGGCATAGGCGATAAACTATGCAGCGGAACAAGGTGCTCAGATCATTTCCATGTCTTGGACAATCAAGCCGCCGACAGAACCAACTAAGAAGGCAGACTTTGATCACGCAATCAACAACGCCCTCAACATAAAAGGTCTCCTCATGTTTTGTGCTGCTAGTGATCAGGGAAAGTCTGCCGACCTGATGTATCCGCATGGAAGCAACCCCAAAAGTTTCAGAATCGGCGCTGCGAAAGCCACAGGCAGTATGCTCGACACGGTTGGCGATGCACACGAGCTCAGCTTCATTTTCCCAGGCCACGAGGTTGTGATTGACCACAACTACCAGGATGTGCAAGATAAAACATTCCAGAAATTCGAAGCTCATTCTGGTAGCTCGGTGGCAACTGCGCTGGCGACTGGTCTGGCTGCGCTGGTCATGGAGTGTGTCAGACTGGGCATCATGCATACGAATGAGACGAATCAGAGTGACCACACTGTTGCTATAACGAAAGAAGACTTGACAAAGATAAGAGAACGGCAGCAGATGGAACATGCGCTGACATCGATTGGCACCAGCCATCTCACGAAGAATAAGTACATTGAGGTTTGGAAGACGTTTAGCGGTGCCGCGGAGGATTTGAAGAATAGTGAGGGTGATAGAATAGGCCAACTTGGGAGAATTGCGGGCTTGGCGAGGATGTTTCTTAGAAAGGGAGCTTGAGGTGATTAGACTTGATACTCGACGGTTTCTTAATGGAACTGTGTTGGTAATGGGTTGTATATTTTACATCTGAAAGATTTCTTTTCTTTCCAAGCTGAGGTATCTTTCTTCATACGCCGCCACGTCTAAAAATCACTTTGCAACCTCTCCCTTGATCCCGGCCTCCAAACCTCCCCTGCTAATTATTTCTTGTACATTTGGCGGCAGTTCGCCCACCTTCTGGCTCCGCGTCTCTCCGCTGTCCTCGGTGACGACGACCTTGCTCCTGCGTACGTCCCACAGGAACTTCCATCCCGTACGTCGCGTGAGCTGAGTGTCGGCACCGTCACCCTTGGGGAAGCGCTCGCGAGGACGCTGGATAAGGCGAGGCACTTCAACGGTGAGGAGCGCGTTGTTGATGCTGTTGCGGCCGAAAATGTTGCCGAAAGAGCCGGAGACGACGAGCGGGATCTTCTTGGCGAGGATGGAGGCGGCAGCTAATGATACCAAATTAGTTAAGTCATTTGGACAAGAGTATTTCTTCCCGGAAACACTTACCGTGCTCTCGTGATGAGCCGGTTCCAAAATTAAATCCTCCGACTAGCACGTCTCCTGGGTTACGAACGGCATATTGGCGATGTTGACAACTGTGATGCTAGAGATCGCGGTGTTGTGCGGCCGAAAAGCGTGGCGCATCTCCTGGCGGAGCGGCCAGCTATTCCGCGCTGTGTAGAGCCATCAAGTTAGCAATTAACTTGGAATCGATACGGCATGTAGCCATCACCCAATTGGCCTGATCTGGAGCATGGAGAAGACATACTGCTTGCATCATCGTGAGAAGATGTCCAGTATCAATCAAAACTTTATCAGAGAAACAAGTTTGACGGGGGTCTGCGGGGAGCTAATCCGAAACTGAGACGCTGCCATTGGCCGAAACAAATTACATGTTGAACGTAGATGAAGAGTGTCTTTGTCTGAGTATCTTGCTGTTAAAGGCGAGTTGTAACTCATAGTTGAAGGTTGCGCACCAATAGGAGGTTGTCGCGATGCGGGTTGCGTCATCAGTTACTGATAGGCGGCTTAATGTTTTGCCTATGCAACTGAACGAGACTCACTTTACTGAGTGAAAGATAGCAAAAGCATCGAATCTTTATTTGGCGCTCTCCACAGTTGTGTCAGTCTCTCGATGCAAGGGCGTGCGCTAGAATCCTCCCGCGCCCTTGGCCCCACGCGCTGAGAAATGCCGTTCCATTCCTAGATCTTCCATGGACAACTTACACATGCTCATGACTCTCGATGTCAGTTGAAAGAGTAGTATAAATGATATAAATGAACCAAGTAGGCTCGCCTTCTATCATTTACAAACCATCTCAACTTCATCTTTCAAGACCAAATCAAGTCATCCGCGGCACTCGAAACCATGTCAACAGCAGAATCCATCCCAAAAGTCCTCAACTCATTTACTGAGAAGTGGTCCCCACGCCTTGTCGCAGCAATCAACGACCACCACGTCAAAGTTGCCAAAATAGATGGCGAGTTCATCTGGCACTCACATCCAAATTCCGACGAACTCTTTTATCTCCTGGCTGGCAAGTTGACCATCGAGCTCGAAGGCCTGGACGATGTTATGATGCAGGTTGGCGACATGTTTGTCGTCCCAAAGGGCATCAGACATCGTCCTGTTGCGGAAGAGGCAACCATCATGATGATGGAACATGAATCTACAATTAATACTGGGGACGAAAGCAGTTCGGAAAGAACGGTTCAAGTCAAGGATGCTCGTGGGCAGTCTTGAAGTGGGTTGATGTGTATTCACATGGTACAAGAGAGACCAAACGATGTCTTTGAGGACAATGGGGAATCAAAGAGATGTATATAATACCCAGGAATCTTCACTAGGTTCTTCCATCTATGATGTTATGTACATAAATCTAGGAGTTACTGCTTCTACATAATTACGAATCGAACGCAGATGGCGGTTACTGAGCTGTTTACATAACTGAGTTCTAACTACAACACTGATGTGCTCGTAGGGTAAGTTCAACCGAAGTCCCGCTGAAACATACACCCGTAAATTTTGCCGCCTATTTGCAATCACACTCAGAGTTCCTCAGTCAACATAGAGATTGGTAGCTGACCTTCTTGGAACTTCTGGTGGCTGGTCGCAAGATGCTATACATCATTACACGAGACAAAGTCGATTCAACTTGATCAGTGGCGGCATCAATTCTCTAGGGCTACATGGCATGTATGTCGAGTATTGTCCCCTAACAGAGATTCTGTATTACCTAAATATTAGAATTGCCTCCTCATTGCCCATTGCCATGGCTAAACATCTACTATCACGGCTATCTCACAATGAGATCGTACTATAATAGAGGCGTGTCAATACACGGCGACAGAGGGGGCTTCTCGCATGCGACATGGACTTAGCCCCTACGCCGTAACAGGCCATTCATCTTCCATGCAGCAACTGTGATGGAAAGTGATCATGCCGGCCAACGTTTTCGGCACGTAGCATTCTAAAATCGGGTCCGTGGATTAAGGTCCTAAACAGCGAGATTCGCCGAACAGACTGTTGTCTAACATCCTCTCGTCCGAGTTTACAGAAAGGGAAACACCAGGTTCCTTGCTGCATCATTCAATGGCCAGGGTATGCCGGAACTTCCAAATCGCCCGGGTTGTAATTAAACCGTGGTCAGCGATGAAAGCCTGTGAACTGTTGGCCCCTGTATTTTCCTTATGCGTACTCGTACATTCGCTTAAGGGTCAACGGTTGCCTGCTTCTGGCCAATGATGCATATTTTTTAGTTTATTCTGTTCATTTGTGTTGGCGGTAAGGTTGTTTCGACCCCTGTATCATTCTGCGCGTCGTGCCGTACTTCCGTACTCCTGGACGCCAAGCCAACAGCCTTTGTTCTTGTGTCAACGAGCTGTCTCCAAACGAATCAAGAAGATGAATCGTACATTCTCGACAATCCAAAACTAGAGGGATGACGGGGGTTCTCAAGCGAAAACGCAAGCCACCAACAGAACTGTTACACTTACGATGCTGATTCTCGAGTCTGCCGGCAATGACGGCAATGACTGACAATAATACCTATCACAGGACGACATTAGAATTGCGCGAATTATCTGGCCATATCTATCTCCATCGGTATTGATGATTATGTGCTGGGAAAGGTTATTAAAAGAGAAGAAGAAGCACATCTGACCTTCCATCTTCACAGTCACATAATACACCCAGGGCCAGAGAGTTGAAAAGATGGCTGAAAGTATGGCTGAAAGTACACGCAATTCGTAACTGCAAATACAATGCCATATCCGACGCCGGACCTGCCTGGCATTTTAACTGTGACTCTTCATGAAGCGGTTGGCCTATCTAAAGGAACTGTTGACTCAGAGCCACATGGCTATAGAAAGTACTCTGACGGCTCCGAACACAGTCATAATGAGTTCAAAGGGAATATATTTCCCTGCATACACTGCAAATTTCCCCAAGCGCTTGTTGAGTATGACAAGTGCCAGATACCCATCAACTGTTACTGGGGAACCACGGAAAACCCCTCGTGGAAAGGGGACTATGGCAAATGCAAATTCTATGTTACACAAAATACCGAGCTAATCATTTCCCTCTATCATCCAACTGGTTCTAAACTCAGGCAAGACGTGTTTCTCGGATTAGCGCGAGTACGCCCCTTTAATGCATTAGGAGAGTCTACGCCAAAGTGGCTACCGATTGAAGATGGAATTGGTATGATTCGCATTAGTTATGACTACAAATCCATGGAGAATAAGACATTGAAAGAGGTACAATTTGACGGTCGGTCTTATGATGTAGGGTGGAGGCACTCCGGATACATCACTCAGAATACAAAGGGCAAATTTGAGGTAATGTATGCTGGGAAACAGTTTGAAAACGACAAGCTTTCTCTATCCCAAGTATCAGGCGGATTGCCTTGTCGCATTGACCATCCTTTCATATACCCGACTGCATTTTACTTCCAACTAGAGGAGCGGTTACAACTCAACTCTCCATCCGCCATGGGAGGGCACCTTTTTAATCACCTCTTGGAGCAGCAATATTTTGACGTCGACAGATCTCGATTCTATATTGCTGAGATTCTCTGTGCGTTGGAGTATTTGCATGATAAACACCACATCTTTGCCTGGTTAAAGCCTAGAAGCGTTCTACTGGACGGCATGGGCCATATTGCGCTTTGTGGTTTCGGTCTTTTTATCTCGGAAATCAGCCATGGGAGGCCTAGGAGGCAGCATGGACTACCAGAATACCCTGCACCAGAATTACTACTTGGCCAGGGCGGATATCGGATGGCAGATTGGTGGACATTGGGCATTTTTCTATTCGAAATGTTAACAGGATTTCCTCTTTTCTACGATGAGGACCCCAAAAAGATTGCCGACAAGATCCTCAATCAGACCATTCAAGTGCCTGAGTCTTTACCGCAGGCAGCTCAGGATATTATAACAAAGTTGCTCTGTCGCAATCCCAAGCAACGGCTGGGAGCAAAGGGAGGCGCTTCTGAGGTTAAAGCTCACCCGTTCTTCGAGGGAATTGATTGGCAAACACTCATCCAACGCAAATATCAACCCTCTTTTAAACCAAACTATTCCAATTCTTACCTTGAACATCATGGAGTGCCTGAATCACTTGGACCGCCGCCCTCCCCGCCGTTGCTCCCTTTTAGCCTCACCCGACTGTATCCAGAGCATAGGAGCGATACCCAGGCTACTAAAGCCCTTCAAAAGCCCGTCCAGGTGGACAATAATTGGGACCTCGTATGGGAAGACTCTCATCCCCAAGGATTCCATTTTTACAATCGCGCTACAGAAGAGAATTGGCCCATCCTTTCTCAGATTGTGGGATCTATCATGCCTGATGATGTTGAACAGTCGGATGAGGCCTATGTCATTGTTCCTGATCAACGACAGAAGCTCGCCGCCCTCAAGGCAGCATTGCAAGCTGGATACGATAATGCCATCTCACAACTACTGGAATATGGAGTAAACTTGAACGTCCGAATCATGGATAAGTTCCGTGAAACTCCTTTATTATGGGCTACGCAGCGTGAAAATCTTGCTTTAGTGAGGTTATTCCTTGAAAACGGCGCTGATGCGAATTATGGGACTTGTGATCTCGAGGATAAATATGCATTGATAGCCGCCGTGAGAACGGGCAACCAGCGGATCGCAGAGGTTTTATTGGAAAAGTCGCGTCGGGTTATATCCACGATGGCTTTGAGCCTGGCTGTTGATCAGAATGATGGGCCTATGGCCAAACTTTTGCTTGAAAACGGCGTGAGGTGCGAATTCGAAGAAACGGATCGGCGGCCGCCGGAAGAACTAGATCCCTTCGCGGACACCATATGCTGCGACTTTCCCGTTGGAGAACCAGAGGAGTTTATTCATCCACTGTTCCGTGCTGTCATATATGGAAACGAGGACATGGTGAGGATCTTGCTCTCGTATGGCGCTGATGCCAACGTCGGCTATCATGGCCTAGATTGGCATGGATTGAAGATGGACCGGAAGGAGAGCATTAAGTTTGAGTGCGGCAGGGTGATACATGTTGCCATGGAGCTGAGGCAACATAAAATCGTGCAATTGCTGCTTGAGAATGGCGCAGACATCAATCTCGGACGACCTATCTGGGATGCAAGGACTCATCACTGTAAGCCGGTTCCGAGAGATGTTTTTCAAAGAGTAAGAGCCGGTTTAAGGGCAGCAGCGGCAGCGAGGGAAGAAAAGAAGACTGCAGTTGCTGCGTAAGTCGTTCTGTATGGTAGTATAACATAACTCAATGCGTGGTCTATCGTCTCAATATATACACCGGGTGGGCTGTTATCTTGCAATTACATTAATCATCGGTCGTTTTCTTCCCGCAGCTCGTGGTGTATTTGAACTCTATAGCTATGACTCAGATCTTTTCCTCGTTGCAATTTCCGTCGTCCTGAGATGGCGGAACAATGGGCAATAATAAACTTGGGCCAAAGTCTTGCTTTTCACCTGAGTCACAGTTGACACCGTGCCTGTGATCATTGACTTCGTCCCCAGCAGCAAATCTATATGAACGGCACTCTGTAACATAGAAGAAGGTACTGATTAGCCATGAATCGCCCAGACGTAGAGCCTGTTAGGGGCTAGGTGCATTTAGAAGGACAAGTTAGGCAGCAAGGTGCTCATACCGCAAACATCAAACCTCTCGCCCTTAACCAAGAACGCAATAAAGCCACGATGCGTCACCAAGAAGATGTTTTTGTAAGAACGAGATAGTTCTTTGAGGCGCCTCCGAACTGTCTCAGCACGCACGACAGCGCCTTCGGAACTATGAGGCGGGTAATCCCACTCTTCGTGACAGGAGGAGAAGTCGAACTGTGCGAATTTGGTTGCAATTTCGGCGCGCGACACCCCTTTATTGCAAATGGCCTCATCGTGGGTTTCGCGCAGTTCCGGCCAGACCTGGAGCTCGACATTGGTGGAAGAGCTGCTGAGATATTGGTCGAAAATAATAAGAGCTGTTTGAATGGTACGAGTCATTGGAGACACGATTATAAGGTCAGGCTGAGCTGGCAGGCAGACGGTACTGGCTTGTTGAGATCCGACTTCAGTCAGAGGGGGATCTCGATGGGGGTGACCCCGATCAACGCTGAATGGGTTGTGTCAATTAGAATTCGACTGCTTTATGAGATTCTTTGCGTGTCTTTGATGCTTACTTGTGCAGAGCTTGTCCGTGTCGCACGATATGAATTGTCGCCATGTTGTGCTAGATGTCGATGCTGGAGGCGGGAAATTATGCCTGGACGCAGGTAAAAGTCGCCAATTGGTCTGGTGGTACCCCGAGCGTTGGGGAAGATTTGCTCTGAATTCATTGTTAGTGCGCTTAAGAAGAATAACCGCGGGTGTTGGCTTGGAAACAGGGAACTCTTCAATCCGCATGATATCCATATTACAAGCTGTGATGCAAGTACGAGAGCAAAGGCCATTTGGGTGTTGATTTAAAATGAAATGCTAAAACACAGGCAAATTTCGATTGATCGCAATAAAGGAATTACCTAGGTATGAAAAGCCATGATCGACGGGATGCGACGAAGGCTGAGGAACGTTCAATGTTTAGCGTTTTAGTGGACTAAAGAACTTGGACACGATTCTATTGTGTTGCTGCTGCTGTTAAGAATGACCCTCATCTTTTGTCTTGAAGCAGCGGGGTTTTAAGAAAATGGCATGTTAACAAGATGTCATCCACCTAGTTGTTCTAGATTGAGGTGAATGCTTAAATATATTGGACAGAATTCCGCCACGCATCGTTCGTGTGGCCTATAAATGGATATTGAAGAAAATAAAAAACAACAGCATATAATGTCCTAGTCTATCTTTTCACTGGATTCCAGGGGTTGGTTCTTTTCTTCGCTTGTCTCTTTACCCTCAATAGCATCTGTAATTGAGACAATCCCTAGTTTGGCAGCTTCAGAGGCTGTGAAGGCCCCGTATACGTCCACCTCGTCTTGTTTACCATAGCCTTCGACCGGGAAGAGTTTGTTTAGTATGTAAAAGATGGTTGAACTGATGAAGAACCCTGTGTCGCGAAGAGTTAGCATATTATACTTTTCTTGCGTCGAAGAGAATACCTACCGATCAGGAAAGCCATGTAGAACAGCTGGTACAATGCCCTGGGCGCATTTTTTGTCCCATTGGACGTGACAACTAGGCCGCCAATCGTCGGCGCCCATCCACAAAGCCAAGCTGGGATGGCCCTCCAGTTGATGCCGTGCCAGAACCAATATGAGGAATCATACGGTCTATACAAATGGCTGACCTGGATCTTACGATGGCGGAGCAAGAAGAAGTCGGTGGCCATAATGCCCATAATGGGTGAAAGGAAGACTGAGAAAGAACTCAAAACATTGATGAATGCCGAAGCGGTGTTGATCAGCTGCCATGGCTGCACAACCCAGATAGCCACAAACGTCATGATGGCACCGCGACGAATGTTGATATAGTTTGGGAACAAACCAGCAAGATCGATGCCTCCTGCAATTAAGTTTCCACAAACATTCTGGAACATGGACGTTAAAGCAAAGCCAAAAGAGAGAAAGAACACGCCCGCTCGGCTTTTAGAAGATCCACGGCCGCTGTCCATCATGACCATCAAAAGATCAGGCGGATTCCAGTAAATATCGCCGTAGATCTTTTGGGCAGCGCTGGTGGTCACCAGGCCACAGAAACAAACCAGCACTCCTACCACGACACCGGAGAGAAATGACCCGCCAACGTAGTGCTTCCAGCTTCGAGAATATCGGGAAAAGTCGCTCGAATTTGTTAGGCCTGCAGCAAAATTCCCTATCATCTGGTTTATGCCCATCATGATCAACCAACTGGAGTTCCAGGAAGACGTTGTCGGAATTGTCTGTCCGGTTGTCCAGAGGGTACCGGCTCCTTTAGCAGTGGCAAGCGCCCAGATCATCATGGACAGCATGCCAAGACCACAATACAAGGACGTCAGCTGAAATAGAAGCTTATACTTCTCGGGAGCAATGAGCAAGAACGGAGAAGAGAGAACCCAGAAGACAATAAAGCCAATGAATTCGTATCCGGTCGCGGGCATGCTTGCGGGCAAAAAGTTGGCCATGGTGGCGAACGAAGGCCATATAGCCGTAATGCAAACCGCGGCCAGCTTGCCGCCAGTCCAGCACTGCACAGCTGACCAGATGAAATTGAGAAGAATCCGTTGAAGCAATGCAATATACGACGCTCTTAGACCCCACGAGAACCGACTCTGCACCGTAAACCCGACATGGTACTATTAGAAGGGACTCATGTTAGCTCTTGCGATACAATAATACATTTATGGTTGGAATAGACTGGAAACTTACTTTAAGCCCGCACCAAGCAATCACAACCATGAAAAGAAGGATTAACAGGGCACCGATGACGATAACAAGCATGGACTGGCCAACCGAAAGTCCTTGTGCTACATAATGAATTGATCCAGTCAGCTCTCGCCGCATCTAAGCGTAGGGATGGTCAACTTACTCAAGAACGTATTGGGTGTCTGCCAGGTGGCAATACTCAAATAAGATCCGTACCCAAAGTAATGAATCCACTCTGTATGTTGTTAGAAGATACATAATAATTGCAAGAGCCGTAGACATTGTGATGGGAACAGACAATCTTACCCCAGGTGCGGCGGTGGGGAGGCAAAGGAATGAGATCGCGGTTACTCCACGAGTCGGTTTGCTCATGTTGACTTTCGTCTCCATGAAGGCGAACTCTCTCATTCAAAGATTTTAGGCGACGCTTCAAGCTACCTGCCATGATTTTGGACTGGCAGGGTGTGATATTGAGTGAAAGGAAGAGTTATCAAACTGATGATTCCTAGACTTGTTATACAAGAAGGTGGTGGTACCCGATTATCGGAGATTAAGAGGGGTATGTACATGTAGATAAGGACGGGCCTTATCCCACGTATTACTAGATGGATGATAGCTAGACGGATGATAGCCAGACGCGAGACAAAAGAGATACTATTGCGATATCTCATCAATGTGTCTATCTTGCGGGGTAGCTAGAATCCGGGGAAGTACTTATCTCTAGATTATAGGGTGGTATTGTTACACGTAGTATTATATGTTAACCAGGGTATTATCGGCTTAATAAGAGGCCATTTTTACAAGTTAAGTAAAGAATTAGAGCTCGTATCAACATGTCAATTCCGTCGGCGAACCGATCAGGTCTCATGTGGTATGAACATTAAGTCGGCGAAGATTGCTGAAAGAACTATATTTTAGGAGAAATTAGTTCACGCTATTGGATGCCGCTCATATGACTTTGATCATACGAGTATGTTCTCAGATAAGCAAAGGGTTGTTTCGGCAAATGAATCAAGGCGAAAGGTCATGCCGACATTTACATGAACACATCATCTATGTCTGTTTACTTTGATTGCTAATTTAGACTGTCGCAGAAACTAACCCCGGCTGGACGATTTAGCGCCTAAACAGGCGGTAGCCTCCGATTCTGAGGTCTTAACAAAAGACGCCGAGTTCCTAGACCAGAGCTTATCACTCTCAAGTCAAGGTGAAGGCGCAGGCATGAGTCAAGTGTTGTTGAAAGACTACCCTTGGTAGAGTTGACGTATATCTTACTTTTAAGGAGCCAAGTCGGAATCATCTGCTATTGAGCAAGAAATTGCCGGACATATATGATCCAGCAGCCTTAGTGCTATGCGCTATGCTATCAGCCAAGGGAGCGTTACTTCGTCGAGTTAGAATATCAACACCCGAATTGCGGGGGTGGATACAAGTCGGGAAGCTTTAATATGGATTGCCCTTTGATAATTAATTTAGCATCTCCCACCTTGGTCGCCACGGCCTTCCTAACTTGTGATGCCACTTATAGAGCCATATGATCGGTGAACCTACTATCTCTGCTTGGCACACCAAGCCTCAAAGCTAACACCACAAAAGGCATATTCTCTATCGACATGTACTCTTTAGGTGAGTGGATCTATCCCGTAGAGGAGTTGAGGAGATTCGTACAGCGCATTAAAGCGCCATCGAAAGTGGAACTCTACGACGGCATTTAGATTGACTATGCCGAAACCATTTCACTTCATGTTCATCTAGCTCCGTCGCAGTCCCCGAGGCCGGAAAGCGAAGGGTCGAGAAATACCGCTTTGTGCGAATAGTTGATATCATGTTGCCCATAAGTCTCGAGGCAATACAGGACGAGATACAGGAACTACTCTCCTCCCATCATCATCTATGGATAAGTCAGCTTCCTTAGACGCATCTCCTACCACTCTCCATTACTCATTCATACCTCAGGATGGGATCTATCTCATCTTCCAAGCGTCTCCGCGTTGGCGTTGATGTTGGTGGCACGAACACTGACGGAGTTGTGATCGACCCTTCAAGAGTATCAGAGCCTGATAAAGGCATTATGGCATGGCACAAAGCAGCAACAACCACGAACCCTAGTGACGGCATTAGCGATGCCATCACCACAATGTTTACTACGGCCAAAATCAGTCCAGGCGATGTTGCCAGCGTGATAATTGGAACAACACACTTTGTCAACGCTGTTATGGAACGGGATGCCAACCGGCTATCGAAAGTAGCTGTCATCCGTCTATCAGGGCCATTCGGGAAACACGCGCCCCCGTGTGTAGATTGGCCGGATGATATGCGCGAACTTATCCTCGGCTACTACGCTTTCGCCAAAGGTGGCCTCGAAGTTGATGGATCCTTGATCAGTGACATTGATGAGGCCGAGCTAAGATCCTACTGTAAGGAGATCAAGGATCGTGGGATTAAGAGCATTGTTGTGAACGGTGTCTTCAGCCCTATTGACACCGTTGAGCGACAAGAAGAGCGTGCAGCCAAGATCATCAGAGATGAGATCCCTGGTTGCGACTTGGTGTGCTCTAATGAAGTTGCGAACCTCGGTTTCCTGGAGCGAGAGAACGCGGCAGTTCTTAATGCGTCAATTCTGAGCTTTGCAAGGAAGACAATCCGATCTTTCCAAGAGCCGGTGAAGAAACTTGGTCTCGAATGCTCGGTCTTTATCACACAGAATGACGAGACGCTTCTCTCTGGAGAGATGGCCGCCCGCCTCCCAATCAGAACCTTCTCTAGCGGTCCGACAAATAGTATGAGAGGAGCAGCTTTTCTTGTCGGAGAAGGGTTCAACGAGGCTATCATGGTTGTTGACATCGGTGGTACAACTTCAGATGTTGGTCTCTTGTTAGCAAACGGATTCCCGAGACAGCAGGCGGCATATAGCGACCTAGCGGGAGTTCGAATGAACTTTTCGTGTCCCGACGTCAAGAGCATCGCGCTGGGCGGTGGTTCTATTGTTCGCAAGGGCGATTCCATGACTATTGGCCCCGATAGTGTTGGCTACAAGTTAACGAAGGAAGCCGTGGCATTCGGTGGTCAAGTTCTCACGACGACAGACTGCACAGTGTTATCCGATCCGACCATGGCCGTTGGCAATCGAGACTTGGTAGACGGGGCTCTGACAAATGAAGAGATGGTAAGATTCAAGTCCATTGTCAAACATAAGCTAGAGAAGGTAATCGACATGATGAAGACCTCTCCTGGTGATGTTCCTGTACTCCTTGTTGGAGGCGGGGCGATTATTGCACCCGATGTACTGGAGGGCGCAAGCAAGGTTATCAAGCCCAAGTTTGCCGAGGTTGCCAACGCCATCGGGGCAGCGACTGCTCGTGTAAGCGCCGTTATTGATACGGTGAAATCGACAGAGTCAAAGACTACGGCACAATTGTTGGAGGAAATCTCTGCTGAGGCGGTTGAGAAAGCCGTGGCTGCTGGTGCTTTGTCGGATTCCGTTACGATCGCCGAGATTGAAACAATTCCCCTACAGGTAAGTTTTGCATTCTCACTCTCTTCTATTTTATTGCAAGTTATGATTCGAGTAAAAAGTCACTCGTTAGCAGGCTTGGGGCTCACATTAATTGCAGTACATCGCCAACAGATCAAGGTTCATTGTTCGTGCCGCCGGCGATTTTGACTACTCTAGGACAGACTTGGCCACTGTACCCGCTACTAGCCAATATGTGGACGATTTGGAGATGAGTGCATACGAAAAAACAGCCAAGGCAAAGACCGAAAAAGTAACGTCTGAGTTTCAGAGTGAAGCCGACCTACTCGCATATCGGCCTGACGTCCGAGAGCGAGTCTGGTTCATCAATGAAACAGACTTGGGCTGGATCTCCACTGGATGCTATATTCTCGGCAGCGGAGGTGGAGGATCTCCATATGCCCAAATGATAGGCCTTCGTCAGTTGCTTCGGGCCGGCGCCGTGGTTCGGGTTGTCAACCCCTACGATCTGCCGGATGATGCTTCGGTGGGCTGTGGCGGTGGAATGGGCAGTCCGACCGTTAGTATTGAGAAAATATCAGGCGATGAGATGATGGAGGCTCAAACTGAGCTTTACAAGATCTGTGAGAAGCGCCCAACTCATATGATTGCGCTGGAGATTGGCGGAGGAAACGGATTACAAGGAATGATTCTCGGAGCAAGCCTTAATATGGACATTCCCTGTATCGATGGCGATTGGATGGGCAGAGCTTATCCCGAAAAGAGTCAGACAACACCCGTCGTCTTTAACGAGAGATGTCCGGTCTGGTCCCCCGTAGCTATGGCTGATGGAAACGGGAACGTGGTAATTATACCAAAAGCGACGTCTGATCTGCAGGTAGAGCGCGTACTACGTGCCGGGTTGAGCCAAATGGGCTCGCAGACTGGCTGTGCAGACTCTCCTGTGACAGGCGCCGAGATGAAGAGGTGGGTTGTCCAGCATACCATATCTCTCTCTTGGAGGATTGGGAGGGCCGTAAGCAGAGCCCGATTGACCAACCGGGTCGACAATGTTGCGGAGACAATTATCCATGAATGTGGAGGGCCTCAAGCAGCCAAGGTCATCTGGAAGGGCAAGATAGTGGGCGTTGAACGAACGCTCCGTATGGGGCACGTTTATGGAGAGTGTATCATCGAAGGAGCCGATATCGTTGAGCGTGACGATCCCACACAAGAGAACCAGACGCAGTTCAAGGGTTTTATCAAGATCCCCTTCAAGAACGAAAACATCGCAGCCGTCAGAATGGCATCGTTAAAGGATGTATTACGAACAGAGAAGCAGGAAGACGTTCTGGCTATTGTTCCGGATTTAATAGCTGTGATTGATGCTCAGAGTGGCGAGGCCATCGGAAGTAAGTATCTCAAGTATCTGCTGAATTATCATTGGACGTAGACTAATTGGCCACAGCACCGGAATATAGATATGGCTTGCTTGTTGTCGTTCTTGGGATAACAGCTAGCGACAAATGGACCGGCACTCAGAGGGGTATTGATATCGGGGGACCGAAGGGCCTGGGCATACCACATCTAGAGTATGAACCCCTTGGAAAGTTTGTTACGCCGGTGAGCGTCATAGACGAGTTTGATCAAAAATAGAAGTCCTACTGTGAATTTATGCTGGGCCGTGCTTGGATAGCAACAGCAATAGGCACGAGGTGAATCAGATTGTGGCACAGCCCAACATGAGCACGGTCCGTGATGTCCACTTTATGAATCGATGGTCCCTCTTCTCAAGTGCGAGGTCTCTGGGTGCCTTGATTCCTTCGTCCATTCCTTTGCCGGCTTCAACTTTGAACTCGACATATTTTCGACCTCTGGTTACTCGGACGATGCAGATCCCCACGCTTCCGCTCAGGGATGGCACTGCTATTCCCATGGTAGATACAACTTGTCCACCAGGCCATGTCCGTAAGTGACGCTAAAATAATCCTTTCAGCTTGGATTCGGCACTGGGACCACTTGGTACAAGGACAACCCAGAAGATCCTCTGAGTCCGCAGCTCGTTGAACTCTTAAAAGCAGCCCTTGCGCAGGGTTACGTCCATATCGATACCGCAGACTCATACGGAACCGAACGAGAAGTTGGTCTGGCAATACAGCAAAGCGGCATTCCACGAGAGAAGCTCTTCGTCACTACTAAGGTTCAAGATGGATGGGAGAATATTCCAGCGGCTCTGGACGCCAGCCTTGAGAAACTTGGGTTGGAATATGTGGATTTGTAAGACTTCTCACCCGGTACAGAGCATATCTTACTTACGAACTAGCAGATACCTTTTGCACAACCCGTACGTAATCGGTTCCAACGAAGGTATACAAGCAGCATGGAAGGGACTTGAAGCCGTCAAAGCGCAAGAAAAAGCCAAGTCTATTGGCATTTCCAACTTCCAAAGGCATCACATCGAAGCCCTTCTCGAGACATGCACTATTAAACCGGTTATCAATCAGCTAGAATTCCATCCCTATCTCCAACGCGCCAATAACTTTTTGCCTTGGATGCGCGAACATGGCATTGAGGTATCGTCCTTCAAAAGTCTGGCGCCAATCACTGTGGGCAAAGGAGTGCCACTCGAGGATCCCTCGCCACTTGACGAGCTTCTTCCATCACTCGCAGGAAAGTATAGGATGCCAGAATCTGCGGTATTGCTGAGATGGTGCATTGAACAGAATATTATTCCTATCACTACAACGTCTAATCAGTCTCACCTCAAGGAGTACATCATTGCTACTGAAGTGAAGCTGGAACCGGCAGATGTAGAGGAAATCAGCCAGGAGGGGTTCAAGCATCACTTTAGATGGTGGGGAAAGAAATTTTTCGAACCTGACGATAGATCTTAGAAGCTCCTAGACAAGAGTAAAGGAATAATGGAGCCATAGATTTCCCGTCGTCTGGAACTGGTCGTTCCTACGTGTGATTCCGCATACCTGGTGACTTTCTTGTCCGAATCGATTACCCAAAACGAGGCCCCAGAACTTGACCAATCGTTGTTCTTTTTACGAAGCAACTCAAGTAATGCCGACAGAAGAGATTAACAGCATAGCTAAATCTGCGACGTGGCAAATTAACCTGCTCAGCTTGGGAGCCATCCTGCCCCGAGCAGTGGCCAGAATGAAGACAGTGAGCATTCGTGAATTTCCCTTCGTTTCTACACTTCCGCTAAGATTGCTCGCTGTTATGGATGCTCATCTAGGTACATGAAGAGTAATCCGGGCAAAAGTTACACATAGGCCGAGCTATCATAAAGATAACGGTGGTCTATGAACTGATGCATTGCCACCTTAAAGCACATCAGGCTTGGTAGAGCTCTAGGGCGCCAACGGACTCTACAAACTTTCCATGGTTCATGCAGAGCCGATGCCTGTTGGAAAGGAAACCCCGTCGAGCACATCTGCAGAATTGTTGGGTGTCGCAGCATTCCTAAACTGAGGCTTTGACCACCAAAGCTGCAGGTTAATTTTTGTATCCGTGAGGGGTTCATCTGTGCCTCATGCAGGCTACATGTACGTGTTTCTCCCTCTATAGATCCCAATGGCCGTATGAATGACCTTGATCGCCTCTGTAGCCTGATACATGCAATATCAGGACGCCAGTCACATCGGTTTATAGGTTTTTTGCTTGAGCGTGTCGTGGACGTCTTCCGATCAGTCTCAATATATATCAGTGCCGTCAGTTCATCGACAAATACCCGCTAACATGGTAGGATCTAAAGTCAGCGCTTTCTCATAAGTTTGCCCGATTATCTTTAGGACCGATGCTGACGATGAAAACCAGGAAACTTCGGAATACGTAATGCTCCCGAGAATGGAAAGCCTGTGTCACAATTTGCTGAACGATGTCGGCAGATTCTTGACAGCGAAGATAATTTTGAGAAGACGGATGATAGAAGCTTCGTTTCAGCTATGAAATCGAATGCCGAGCTTGTGCGGCTATATGACATGCATTTCGCAAACTTATCGCCCTTACCTGCCTCCACGCGCTATCACACTATACCCTTTATACGGAATCCCGAATTCTTTGGCCGAGAAGACATCTTAGATAGGATTGAACAATCTTTCCGCAAACAGCCAATCCGTCCTACTTCAATAGCTCTCTGGGGAGCTGCTGGTATTGGCAAAACACAGATTGCATTAGAGTACGCGAATAGGCTCTGGTCGGAAGGATTCAATGTCATTATCTGGATCTCAAGCGAAACAAACGCCGAAAGGGCAAAATCCTATAGCGATGTGGCCAGACACCTTCAATTCAAGGAGTTTTCCGAGACCAATACCCCAGAGAAAAACCAACACTTGGTCTTGCAGTGGCTCCAACGAACAGATGTGCCGTGGCTTCTTGTATTTGACAACGTGGAAAGCCAGGTCGACTTACAGAGCTACTGGCCAACTTTTGGCCAAGGTAGGATCCTTATAACTTGTCGCAGTGAAATTCTTGCAGGTACAGGAGTCATCGCACGACCTCTTGAAGTCCCGCCTTTCACAGTGTCAGAGAGTACAGAAATGATCCTCCGAATCACCGAACAATTTGAAGCAACAGAGGCAGAAGTCCAGGCAGCAAGGGAGGTTTCCTGTGAGCTTGGCCTGGCATTAGCCATTGACATTACGGCAAAACAAATTAAAAACTCTCGCCGTTTCAGATCTGTCCAGGATTTTATTCCGTATTTGCGGCGCGAGCCGAAAACAGGATACACACGATCGAAGCAGTCTAAAGGACGGGATGGCTACTGGTACCCACACGATCTTGACAACATTTGGCGTATAGCTTTTCATAATCTGAGTGAAGATGCGACGATACTAATGAGTTTGATTTGCATCTTGAGCCCTGAATCTATTCCACAATATGTCTTCCAACCAAGAGGAACGAGCATGACAACTGGGCTAGACATGTTAGAAGATGTTGACAGGTGGTTATTCCACGTCCACGAGGCATTGCATTACGTGCTAATAATAGCTTCACAGGGTTGAAGATGCTAAGAGTGAACTACTTGACGCGTCACTTGTCAGAATCAACCCCGAGACCGGCTTGATGTCCGTCCACCGTCTCTTACAGCATGCATACTTTCTGGACATGTCGACAGCAGCTCGCAAAATATCCATTCATAATATTTTAGTATTATTGCGAGCTTACTTCCCCAAGAACGACGGAGCAAATCATTTTTATTCCCAATGGAATCGCTGCGCTGCACTTCATCATCACATCCAGGCTCTAAGAGACAAGGTGGCTGCCTTGAAGCTCACAGAGCCACTGGAAAATGATGACCAGAAACTATATACTGAGCTCATAATTAATGACATTTGGTGTGTGTTTTTGGTAATAAAAATCGGTGGCATTATGTCTCATTGACTAGGGTCTAGGTATATGATTGAGATTCAGCATTTTTTGGATGCCGAGCGCTCCCTCTTGTCTCTTTTAGAGACCGCAGAGAATGGTTCCGCATTGGCTGCCAAAGTCCACCGAAGTTTATTAGGGCTTTATGAGAGAACTGGTCGCAGCATTCTTGCTAAGCGTTCTGCGTCCTTGGAATTCGACATCGTTGTTAAATATTCCTCGAGTACGAGCAACGATGTTGCTAATGCCTGGAGCAATATGGGTTACACAAGAGTCTCTGTCTTCGAGGCTTCAGATGCAATAACCTATCTTGACGAGGCGGTTTTGATGGCTAAGACTGTACCTGAGCTGAGCTGCTACCAACAGTTTAACATTGACCGCTTCTTGCGAAATAGAGGACGCGCAAACGCGCAATTGGGCCGTTTTGAAGACGCCTTGCGTGACTTTGATGACGCGGAGGGCTACCAGAAGAAGATCCATGGGCCCAACAGTCACTATGATGGAGAGTGAGTTCGCTCCCTGTCTGGGGTTCTTATACTAATAACTGCTGACGCATGCGATCTATCAACCCATCTAGAACTCAATATGAGCGTGCCAAGATTGAAGCATGGCGTGGTAATCTTGAAACAGCATACTCGCTCGCCACAAAAGCTCACGATCTGGTATCCGCAGGCAAACCTACGCACGCAAGTGTGATGGCTGCACAGTACCGGCTGGGATGGATCGCTATGCTCCAAGGAGAAAATGAACTTGCGTTGCAACACTTTGAAAAATCACTAGTTATTTCAAGGATGAATGAGCAGCATAGAGGAAACTCGGGCGAGTCGGCGAGAATCCAATGGCGTTTGTCACAAGTTTTGGAGCGCATGGGCAGAGAAGAAGATGCACTGAGTCTTCGAGAGGCCTCTGTAAAGGTCAAAGCAAGTCTGCTTGCTACTGGGGACTACGCTCAAGTTGAAGACGAGGAGAGTTCTTGGGATGCTCTAGTCGGCTTGCTATATCGTTGAAGAAGTTACAATTGAACCCCATTTTATGTTGGTTGGTAGGCGCAAGCCATAATAAGAGATTGGTACAGCATCTACTGGATACACTTTTGCTACCCAATCGTTCTGTCGGTTCTATTCACGTCACTTTGTTACGAAGATGCGGATATAGCGTTCACTCTACGACTTTAAGCACAGCGCACCAAAGTATCTAACAAAGTCAAACTTATTGTATCTCACGGTATTCGCTATGCATTTGAACCAGAACCAAAACAGAAAACCTTGTCGCGACGCTGCTGCATTGTTTTTCACTCTTCGCATTGATCCGAGTTGCTGTGGTCACGTAGATTGGTGGCCCCTTGGTCTGTGTGGTCTGACTTGATATCTCTTCGCAAGAACACCACAAAGTCGTCCACGCCCTGCGGCTCATTGAACCAGTGACCTCCGCTTTCATATTCATAGAACACTACTACGCTGAGACCTAGATTCTCAATGAAGTCGCGCAGAAGTAAACCGCTTTGAACACTGATAATGTCATCGTCACGGCAATGCTCGAGAAGGATCGGCGTCGACTTCAACTGTTGTGATGAAAAGGACATCTGCTGTGTATCGTCACCAAGATATAATCGCTGCATGGCAGCTAGCTTTTGATCAGCTTCTTTGTGGACGAGCTGGATCTCCGATGAGGCTTGATTGGCAAGCGGTAGCCAACTGGAAAACCCGCATAGACCAGCGAAACCTCCTTTGCCATCGGCGAAGAATGCGGCTAAAGCACTGAGAGAGAAAGATTTGTCAATAAGACTCTGCGGGTTGGATGGAAAAGTTGGTCTTACGTTGCAAAGCCTTGACTGATTCCACCCAGAAATACTTTGTTTCTTGGCACAAGCAGCTCCTCCTGTCTGATCAATTCAACAATTCGACGGACACTCGATCGTAAACCGGGGACTTGCAGCTCGGTGCGCTCCTGTTGATCCTCCACACTCCACATATCGAACCATTGGGACATTTTGATCCCGAAGCGCTCGGAATGAAGCAAATTGGCTTGTGGGAATACCCATCGGACTGTAGGGAATAGATTCGGCAGCGTCTGCTCTGTTCCTGTGGCCTCGCATTCGAAAAACTCGGTGGCAAATTCCCCTGCTTCACTATCACGGCCGTGCAACAGGATAATAGTGTGGGTGTGGCCCGTAAGGGGGTCAACGATGGTTGGCGGGGAAGCCATTTTAGCACAGAAGTGGGATATATGATGTTCGATGCAGAAGCTGTATAGACTTCTGGTCTATAAGACAAATGGGTTGCTAGCAAGAATTTGAAAATGGTGATGGATAATGTTTGCAAAAGATGGGTTGGGGAGAAGATTGCACGCTTATATAGCAGTTCCTTTAGGTCGGGCATTTGCGGTGCAAGATTGATCCTCTCTGACCCACCAATGCTTTAGAACTTTATCTGTGCCTCCACTTTAAGGCTTGAAGGTATGAGCTTCCTGTAGACCTGCCTAGGTATATGGGTAAGTAGTACCCGTATACTATGAAAACCTTAACACTACTAGGTACTTTAAGTACGTTTCATAGATGAGGTAGTAGCTGTACTATTAGATATGAAGATATCTATAGTAGCGTCTACTACCTGGTAGTACGTGAAGCCAGGGGTTTACCAACGAGGTTTGAGCTATATATATATATTTGCTATCCAGTAGAGTCTGACAAGGGCCTACCTCCTAGTACCCAACGAATAATCGCCGTCTGACCGCTCGAAGCCATCCTGATGTCCAGAACCCTCATACATGCTTTGAACGCTCTGCTGCACCCAGTTCTGACTACCCTGTTGCTGCTGCTGGTATGGTATCGGGGTTGACCGAGGAAGTTCTCTGGATCTATTCTCATCCTCACTAGCTCCAAAAGGCTTCCCAGATTGGGAGTCCCATGATCGCCTTCCCGGCAATTCCTCTTGAACATGAATCTGAGGGTGATTGGAATGGATCGGTTGAGGCATAACCATGTTGGGATTCTGGTGCGACGGAGGTTGTTGCTCGTAAAACTGATTTGGCGGAAACCCATGATGCTGTGATTGTTGCGGGAAACTTTGCTGCTGCTGAAAATTGGATGGGCGGAATCCTTGCTGAGATGGTGGATACCGTTGAGAACTTGCTTGTGGCTGATTTTGTGCCCCAAGCATGAATGAAGATTTGTCCATTAGGTTGATGTTGCGTTCAAGCTCCCACAAAGCTCGGAGTCTCGCTTCCTTTGCCCTCCTAGCAGCATTTGTACCATATAGATCGTTCATGTACTTGGCAAACTCAAGGTACGCTTCTTGTACCACACTAAAGTGTCGCACTTCGAGCTTTATGGCAGCATTAGGTATCTGAACAGCCTTGTGGTTGTTCCCTTGAGCCTCAAACTCAGCCAGCGCCAGCGCTGTTTGGCAGGCATTGCGGATCTGTCGGCCATTCCAGCGCGCGTGCTCGTGCTTCATAAAGTGCTCGCCCGCGAACATGCAGATGTCTGTCTTGTCTAACTGAATCGTCTTTCCCTTCTGGGCTATGCGCTTTTCGATCATTTCCAGATTCAGCTTGAACACTTGGATTGTCTTCTTGTGGTCAAGCTCGGGGTAATACAGGCTGACGTGTATTCGTGATGTGAAGGCCTCGTCAAAATCGCCGACACGGTTCGTCGTCAAGAACAGAATACCGTTGTAGTACTCTAGAGTTCGAAGAAAGACTGATATTAATGGTTAGGTATCTCACCCTAAAGATATTGGCTGCGGATGACAAACTCACCGGCTACAAGTCCATTTCTTACATAGTCTTCTCTAGTCCTCTCTGCAAGGAAGATGTCCGCTTCATCAAGTAGCAAGATACATCCCCACTTGCTTGCCATTGCGAAGTTCGTCTCCAAGGCCTCTTCAACTTCTCGTGCTGTTGATCCAAGGTCACCTATTTAATAGAAAAAGCAAGTCAACATCATTGAAGAAGTTCGCCCAAACCTGGCAACAAGTGTTCTTACCACAGGTGATTTGTAGCAGTGGTTTCTGAAACAGCTCCGCCACGCCCTCTGATGAGTGCCAATTGTCAGTACATATCTCGAGTCTGAAAACAAATTGAGGTTACGAACCGGCTGTAGATGTTTTTCCTACTCCAGGGGCGCCGTGGAGGAGTAGAATAAGTCCCTTTCCTACTTGGGTGTAAGTAATAGATCTCCCAAACTGTGAATTGATTCAGATAGGTATTCACCTTTTCCCTTCACAATGTCAAATTCCTCTTTCTGTGATCTCGACGATGCCTTTTCACGAAAATGCTGCGAGATAAGCGACACAATCATATTCCGATGTCCTTCTTCGAGGACAAGGCGGTCAAGGGCAGTGCTCGGTTCTGTCTCATCGGTATTTGGTTCCACTGCCGAGTTGTCTGCTATCTCGATAGGGATTGAAGAGTGAACATCGGTAATATAGGAGAGATCCAATTTTGCTAAATTCGCCATTGTCAGATCAATAACCTTATTGAGCATTCCATTAAGCCACATACCCCATTTTCGACTTCGAAGAACAAAACCAAATACTCTATGAGTCATAATAACAAGCTCATCGTTTGAAATGGAGCCCACGCCGCTTGTATCCGCTTGCACCTCTTTCAAGGGCCGTGGTGAAATTGCCACCGAGGAGTGATCGTCGATAGCGCGCGTTTTCGGCACGAGGCTTTCGATGTATTCGGTCGCCTCCTTCTGATCGATAAACGTGTCGTCGTATACAAATTCTCCGTAGCAGCACGGTCCGTGACAAGTCTTTTGTCCTAGATCTCCCTTGGACCCTTTATCTGATGATTCTGTGAGTTTCGTAATAACGCTGCGTATTTCTGGTTTCCATTTCGGTCTGTCTCGAGGGACTGGCTTGTTTGGATCATCTGGGGCGTCTATCGATGCGGGGATGTCAAAGTCGATGACAACCTGACTCTCAACCTCGTCTCGCGTTTCTAGATTTAGACCAGAATAGTACATGTGTTTCATCGGAAGCACGCTCATCAACTTTGCACCCCGATTGATGAGCTTTCGGCGAAACCTTTCGTCACTCGGAAGTTCCTGGACCTGGTCCCATTCCGAGTCACTAAAGTCTGATCGTTTTGTTCGATGAAAACGAAGCGGATAGACTTCGAATGAGGTTACTTCTTTCTCTCCCTCAAAGACTTTGATGGAAAATTGTACATATACCGGTCCCAGATTAGTGCCATCAAAATCGATATACACACAATCAAGGAGGAAAGATGTGCTTCGTTTCTGCGTAGCAATATTATCCCACCAAGATCTGGTGTTGACAAACCGATGGGCCGAGCTAGTGGTTCTTATGACCCTGTAAGCCTGTTTACCATTGCTTCTGATTACTTCTGTACCTGGTCGGAAAAGATGCCAGAGGTCGGAGAAGAAGGCTTTGTGGTTTTGAACTCCATCGAGGGCGGATTTCCTGGCTAATATGTCTGAATCGATGAAATTGAGTATGCACTGTAAATGGCCTAGTGCTTTCAGCGAATCTGCGTCGCTCTGTGCGTTCCCTTCTTTTTGATCTTCTTCTTTCTGCTGCTTGGCCTCGTCTGGCGATGCTGTATTGAGCTTGTCTATCAAGGACTCTGGAGCCAACTCTTTCCCAAGGTGCTCATCGCTGGCCGAAATTGATGGTACAGCAGTCTCTTGGACAGTTTGTTGTGTGGAAAGAGATGTGTCGCTAATGACCGTCTCTTCTTTGGTGGAAGTTGATACCTTATTATGCTTCTTTTCCAGCTCAGCATGCCACTGACGAAGTGTAGGCTCGCAATATGTAATAGCTTTGAACGGCCTTGTAAAGATGACCGATACAGACCCTTCCCCGGTATCATCTAATGACTGCCCATCCGATCCAAGAATCTTGGCCATGGCCTTCCTCAAAATGGTGGAATTGATCCGTATTCTCTCTGGCAGTTGTATCAGTCCGGCCGCGACGTCTTGCGCGAATTTACCGTCTCTGAGCCAGTCTGGCTTCTGATGTTGCCGGGGCTGATAGTCAAACCAATTTAGAGATTGATTGAGACTACTATCTTCAATGATAGGCTCCCCGACGAGAACGTCAATAGCATGTGCGTCCTTCTCCAGCGAATTTGCCAGTGGCTTGAATCCAGACCAGTCTAGACGCTTTATTTCTGGCTCAGCATAAAATATGAGGCTGGCCTCATCTATAGCGTCGGTATCGTGGCCATGAGACTGCTGCATTTTCTGGTTCGAGACGTCCGATGCTTTTGGTTTATGCATTACACTACCCTGCCGTCGACGCTCCATTTCTTCCGCCAAGAATAGACGGTCCAGATCCCACTCAAAGTTTTTACGAAGCCTCTCTCGACGATACCCGTAATCAATCGTTCGATCATACTCGTCATACTCAGTTTTATTCTGCTTGTCGTGGCCTGCTTCACAGACGTGATAGCGATCGAAGGGATCTGGTCTTTCGTATTTCTTGTCGGACTTAATTTCCCACAGATACCTCCACGGTCCATACTGGCCAACTTGGTCCCTCCATTCGGGCCTATCGCTAAATTCGTTCATGCTCCAAGTCGCTGGTCCACCGTCCGATTCCCATTCTTTCCGATGAAGATAGAGGCATTCCTCCATTCGCTTATATCGCTCCAAGTTGGCCATTACTTTTGGCTGATTGCTTCCTTGTTTAGCTCCTGCATCTGTCGGGTTTTGGCTTAAGGACGGCGTTGGCGCATCATTCTGGGGTCGCATCTCAAGCTCAGCAATCCGCAACTTGAGAGCTTCAATCTCACTAGTGGAGTTTGTAGAAGTTTGGGGTATAGGTGCTGCCAAATCTGCTTTTGAATCGAGAGAAAAACGTGGTGCGTCGTCGATGCCATCCTGAGCATCTACACCCAAAAAAGAGGGTGGCTGAGGTTGGGGATTTTCCCTCATATTGGTCACAACGTGATTATAGTATCAATAGAGCTTCTTCTACCGCTGAGAAATAAAGGTAACAAGTCTTCTTTGGTTCAGAGAAGAGCAAAATAGTTTCCAGCCAATGGATTGCAACTACTATTAAAGCATCAACAATAGTGTCAATAGACGTAATACGGGGCATCGGTATTTCGGCATTAACTGCGGAGGCGATGCGCACCTACTTCGAGCTGCGTTCCCAGAGCCTCATTATGCATGCAGTAGGGATCCGATATCTGACATGGATGCACTATAAATATATGAGGCCATTTCATTTGGTCCAACCAACGAGCAGTTCGTCCGTAATGTGGATAGCAGGCAGCAGGCCGTGCTTCAATGATCTCCCCATGGAGTAACTTCGCCCCCAGAGGAGGCACCCAAATGCAACATTAGCTGCATACATGTGGGATTCCAAATGAATCCTTCGAGTTTAAGAAGTACACGTGGACAACTTGTGTCGTCCGTTCGCATTTAGGCTGGCGATCCTGCCGCTCATTTGCCTTGCTTGGTTCATTTGATTGACGACAATATGGTACGAGGCGTTTTCTCGGCGGTGTTACATAGATAGGCATATACACACCTAATGTCTTCCTATAGATAGCTGATCAAAACAAGAAAGCTATTACTGGTTAGGACTGGATCAATTCTCCATACGTCACGTTGAGATATCATGAACAAAAGCATCATATGTTACCTGAATGCTCGAACAATACTGTTGTGATCTCAAATTCACTCAGCCATGCTAAAACAACAACACCCAAAAGCCCAAGGCATGCCGAATAATGACCCATCATCAGATGGTACCTCTCGGCCAGCAGCTGTTGATTTCATCGACAATCGACTGCCAAAATACCACCCCGCCTTTGTGAATTCTACATCACACTATGATGTAGAGGACGGGAAGTATGTTCCGAATACTCAAGTAACAGTTTCCACGGAAAGCGGCGGCGCTATCTCTCTGAGTAATTCTTCCAAACAATTAGACTACGGCATTTCGTCTACGAGACCAAATTGGACAAATATTGAGGCGTTGAAGTGTTGGAATGATCTCTTCCCCGCCGCGCTGAATAGACTCATATCAACATCGCAAGAGCCCAGTGGACGTTCGAAGTCAGAATACAGCATTCGGCAAGGCAAAAGTGATTGGAATGCCGTCTATAATGCACTTGAAAATGCAAAAGCCAAATATGAGCAGTCGAACAAGGTGGCAGGAATGTTGCGCAAGAGTAGCGAGAACATTGCGCCTGTTGCGCAGGCCCTAAAGATCGCTTCGAACATGGACCCTGGTAGCCCTTATTCAACGCCTGTCTTGGGCGCTGTGAACATTTTCTTGGATGTAAGATCTAGTGTCCAACGTATAACCAGTAATCAGTGGAACTTGTCATTGATGCGTATTGATATAGGCCATGAAAACTGCTGCAAACGTCCGCCAGCAAGTTCTCGAAGAATTCAACGATATCATCCCAAAGATTTACGACATAGAGTTCTTTCTCGTTACATTTCCGGAGGATCACCATATCTCAAACGCATCACTCGATCTCACCGTTACCATACTTCTCGCAATTGAGCAGACCATCGGTTTCTTCATTAGTAATCGCTGTAAGTTTCATGCCCCGTATAATAAAGGTAATTATAGAATTGACTTTTAGTCCCGCGTGAGAAGTTGTGCGTGGTGTTAAAGCCATGGGTATGGGAGCCAGCTACGAAACAGATCTACTGAAGAGCTTGACAACCATCAAAGCCAAAAGCAAAGCATTATTAGAAGAAGCCGAAAAATCACAAATGCATAAATTCGATCGACGTACGTATTATTATTTGTAATTCCCTTTTCGAGAGTCTATCTGACAGCTAGGCGTCGCTCAAGATTCCCAAATCATGGAGAAAGGCCAACAGCAAGTACTACAAGGCCAGGCGGATTTGCTTAATATTGTTCAGTCACTGCTCATAGACCATGAGAAGCAGAAGAAAGAAGCACGGGAAAAAGATAACGAGATTCAACGAATGCATAGTGAGCTACGTCATTTCTTATTTAAACTATTGTTTCTCAGAGTAATGACACCGCATCACACGCAGTGAGACTTGAGCATTCCTTGCAAACAATCACAACTCTTACTATTCAGAATGAAAATTTGCGCAGCATCTCGCCGATACAGAATAATATATGGCTTCCACCACCTCATAGGCCAACACCAACCTATACATGGTATCTTAACCAAGATGCTCTACGTTGGATGATGAAGATCCCAGACGCTGATCTCATTGATGTCTCTTTCATTCATGACAGGAAGACTTTACTGTCTACGAAAGAAATTTCACAGGCCGAACAAATAGTCCATTCACAGGTATTCCGCAATTGGATAGTATCTCCGAACTCGGCAAAATTGATGGTTCACTGGGATTTCCAGCCACCAAAGAAGATCGCAGGTATCTCACCTCTATCTCTATTTTGCAGTACCATAACACATGGCCTACGAACCAAACAGCGCATGCTGTCTGTATTGTGGTTCTGCGGGAGACACATTGACCCAAGCGAGGCTGGTGAGCATGTTGGAGGCCATTCTATGCTCGCTAGCATTATAGATCAGCTATTACGTCAACATACATTTGACACGAGGTCATTATCGAGCAGCTTCAATATGGCAAGCTTGCAGCAGAACGACTATAACGAATTGCTTAACCTATTTGACTGGCTTGTCAAAGAATTACCTAGTACAATGACACTATTCTGCATCGTCGATGGTGTAGCGTTGTTCGAGCGAGAAGAACATTGGGAGAGAAGCGCACCAGTATTTTTGAAGATGGTCAATCTAAGCAATGACCTAACTGTACCAGCTGTTATGAAAGTTTTGTTCACAAGTACGCCAGGAACCGATATGGTGAGAGGGGCATTTGAACAGGAGGATCTAATCTTAGAGGTTGGTAACATACCGAAGTGGGCGTCGGTACCAAGTGAAGAGCGTATGGCACGAGTGCTAGGAGAATAAAACAGCTGAAGGAAGTTTTTGAGCATCAGCACGGATGCGGAATACAATGACGCATCCAATCTTTGATAAGATATAGTATGTTCGGCTCAATCTTACTTATGAGGCGCAATTGAAGAATAATGCATGGTTATTTATTTACTTTTTGCCATGCTCTTAGAGTTGATTGCGTGGCTAAAGTTCTTGGATGACTTGGGCCTAATATCGTTTGCTGCAGATCATAGCAAGTCTGCATTAACCCCAGAGCATCTTCTTGACGATTCCTATCTTTCCAAAGAACCGCGAGTTTTCTCATGTAATGTAGCGTATCAGGGTGATTGGTTCCAAGTTTCTTTTTACAAATCTCAACCAGCTGTAGCTGTAGCTTCTCAGCCTCTTCCCACCGGTTTTGTCTTCTGTATGTTATCGCAAGGTTATTCATGCCAATCAGAGTATCAGGATGATCAATCCCGAGCTGCGTCTTGAAACCTTCGATCGCCCGCAATTCCAGCCTTTCGGCTTCATCATACCGGCCTTGGATCTTATGTGTCGATGCTAGGTTGATCATGCTAATTAGTGTGTCTTGGTGATCCGCTCCAAGTTTCGTCTTGAGGCCCTCCATCACTTGCTCTTGCAGCTTTGCAGCTTTTTCCAACAAGCTTTGCTTCCGATATGTTAATGCTAGGTTGCCCATGCTAATCAGTGTATCGGGATGATCAACCCCAAATTTCTTCGTAAGGCCCTCCACCGCCTGTAGGTCTAGCTTTTCAGCCTCCTTCCATCGACCCTGTCTCCGGTAGGTTGATGCTAGGTTACTCATGTTGCGTAGAGCCTCAGGGTGATTGTCCCCAAGATTCATCCTGAGATTCTCCATCACTCGCTCCAATACACTTTCCGCTTCCTGATACCTCCCGTCATAATACAGGCATTTTGCATATTTTCGTAAAAGATCAAGTTTGCCTTTGTTATCTTCGCTAATCAGCGGCGACCCGAGAACGTAATGCGCGTGCGGCATACACGACCTCCACGTTCTTTTGTCGTAGTCGATGCTTCCCATTTTCTTTGCCAATATTGCGATAGTTTTGCCAGCCCAATGAGACAGTAGCCCTTCCTTCCGAAGCCAATTTCTCATTGCCAAGTGCACCAATCGATGGACAGTCACAGCTGAGTCGACAGACCGCTTAGCTATGAATGAGTATCCTTGCAGCGTCCCCATCGCTTCCATCTCTTGTTTCCGCGACTGACCTGGTGGTAGAAGCGACTGCGGTATGTCTTTCGCATCTACGCATGCCATAAAAGATAGATAGTCTGCTGCAAGAGGATCCCGGTGACGGATTTGCTCAAAGGAGATAAGCCAAGTAGTGGCTATGGGATTCTTCACGTCGCCATAACGACCGTCGTCTTCAAAATCCTCGCTAAGAAGATCAATAACATCTTCTTCTTGCTCTTCCAGCAGCGATAGATAGTCACCCAAGCTAATTCCGTTGGTATTTATATATACCGCTGCTTGGACAATGGCTAGCGGGAGGTACATGAGCTGGACGAGAAGGGCTGCCACATCTTGTTGACTAACAGGTTCCTGATCAACTAGGCATTTCTCAAGAAGCTCTTTGCCATCCTCTTCGTTCATGGCAGATAATTCTACCACGTTCCGACCCGCGAGCCTAACTGCCGCTTTCTTGTCGCGCGTTGTGAAGATGATGGACCCGTGGACGCTTTTTGGCATATAGTCAATCAGGCGACTAGATTCCTGTAAAGGCTGGTCAACCCACATGCCGATTTCGTCAGCATTATCAAACACCAAAAGCCACTGGCCTGCGCTCTCACTGCTCAGGTGGTTTTGTACAAGCCTTTTTACGTCTGCTTTTGCGTCATCATATCCGGAAATACCCAACTTCGCGGCGGCATTGCGATATGCTTGTCCTAAACTTTCCTTGCTGGTTGCTGGAATCCATATGACTGAGCAATTTTTATGGTCATCCTTGATTCGATAGACCAGTTCAAGAGCGAGCTGCGTCTTGCCGACTCCACCAAGTCCAGAGATTGCGACTTTCGCAGTATGCTGCCCTGGGAAAAGCATGTGGCGATGCCTTTTTAGATCAGACTCGCGGCTGGTGAAAGAGGGATTCCGTTCAAACGGTACGATCCAAGTACAGTTCTCAGCTGTATTCTATTAAATTACTAAGAATTATATAAACGGGAGTGGAGGGTGACATACTTGTTTGGCTACTAGGGCCATCGTCGTGGCTCTTGGCATCGGTAATCTCTTTTTTGAGCCGACGAACTGCATTTATCTTCCCTTCGCCATATATTAACGGCATAAATATACCGAATATACCAAGAAGGCAATACGCCCAATCTTCTTCAAGAGTGGTCTGTCGTGTCTCAGCCCATGTGAACCGTTCCTCAACGCTATACATTGAAAGGTTGTTTCCTCGGAGCGCCTGAACCCCAATATTTGTTATTTCGTGAATTTGTCGCTCAAGAGTCCTTTTGTCACCAAGCCGTAGGCCATTCTTTGTGAAGAACTCGACCGAGGCTGGTGCTAGAAGCTCTTGCAGCGTCCAGCCTCGAGTAAACCATTTACTTCTCCGAAAAGCCGACTCCCATATAGACTGAGACTGCTGGCTATCACTATTTGTCTCAAAGTCTATAACATCCGATAAATAAGCATAGCATCGAGCTGCGTTCTGATACCAACGATACATGGAGTTGATTGCCTCTGCAAGCTCAGTATTATTTGCCTTGTCGATACAGCAGGTATCTACCCATATGTATCGTAGGCTATCACGTCTCGCTTGTGCCGCACAGAACCGGATCTTGTCGTAACCAGTCTTCTCAATCCCAGTGCCGTCGACCAGGTCTCTAAAAGTGACCTCTTGGGAATCTAAGTCCCATGTATGAGATAGAATGGCATATCTGGGTATGGCACCAGCTGGCGCCTTTATCAACCGAAATTGGTCGTTGTCGCAATCAAGCAGTCGCATTATTCCAAGCGGGGTTTACAGCCAACCGAGTTGCAATCAAAGCCGAACACCGTAATGAGTATTAATCGTGGCGTGGGTTCATGTAATGCTAGTACATATTGTGTGAATGATAACATAAAGACATAACTTGAAGACTGAGAGCAATGCACAGATAGAACCTGCGGATAGGCCAAGAGAGACACAGACAGTGTTGAAGACTCAGCAGCTACGCGGCATGAAGCTGCGATCGCTGCCTTAAAAATGGCCTCCTGTGCCTTGAGTGGTTGCTACGGTAGGGTTATTCATTACTTGGGACCTGGAAAATGGACACTAATGCAACATGCGCATGGCGCCCAATAGGTCCACGGGGTTGTACACTCACGGGATAGCAGCTTAGTCAGCAACACCCGCTATAATAGGCGCTGTAATTTCCTTCTAGCTGACCGCTATTTTCTTTACAACACAACATACCTAACATAACCTATAATAAATACAACAACCAACTTTCTTACAACTGCAGATGCAGCAATCTCTCTTCCTCTTGAATACTACTATTAATTAAAAGAAGAGCTAGAGCTTGATTTAGCTATTTATACTGTAGCTGGTAGCTATAAGTGGATTATTCGAAGATCTACACTTAGAAAAACCGGCCGTTTAAAACTTATGTACGCCTGTAATCAGTTTCGCAAAGGCTGCCAATTTTCAATAAGCGTTAAAGAAGATTGGGCTAGGCTTTGGGTTATACAACATCGATCAGAAGCTCGCTTTTCTTATCATAACCATCTAATTAAGCCAGCAAAACAGCTACAGCAGCTGGAAGACCAGCCGGAAGACCAGCAGCCGGAAGACCAGCAGCCGGAAGACCAGCAGCCGGAAGACCAGCTGGAAAAAGAGCTAGAAGACCAGCTAGAAAAGGAGCTGGAATATCAGCTAGAAAAGGAGCTATTAGTAATACCTACCTGTAGTAAATGCCATAGAAAAGGCCATAGAAGGCGGGCAAAAGCTTGTATATTAAGGGATAAAAGCAGCAGCCCAGAGAGATAGGTATATGTAGCTAGAAGGAAATTACAGCGCCTGTTATAGCGGGTGTTGCTGACTAAGCTGCTATCCCGTGAGTGTACAACCCCGTGGATCTATTAGGCGCCCATGCGCATTTGATGCTTACCTTATGTTAATAGGCTCCACCAAGTTTGGGCCAAGCCAATGAACACAACACGGGAGCTGTCGGACGAATTGTTCAGGTCTCTATGATTTGTGAAACTTGGTGAGACTAGCAATCATAAAATTACTGGACTTGGACGACCAATGAATGAAAGACTAAGTCACAGGGAGATATTATCAAGATACTGGCCATTAAGTCAAGGTGTGGGGAGCTGTATTCACAGATTTCTTTATTGCTTCAAACACAATTCAACACACCTCCCACTATCCAGGACACAGCCAGTTTCTAAATACCCATTTCTTACTTGATCGGTGGCAAGGGCTCACCGTAGTGGTAACAAGGTAGTATTCTTATGAAGTCTTTGACACATCAATAAGTACACATACATATGCTATGCTGGTAAAAACCAGAATAATATTGGGGGGGGGGGGGGGGGAAACGGTTGATAGAGGACAGCGAATTCCATGCCGTTTCTAGACTAAACACTCTATTGATCCGTACCATTACAAGCACCGTATGCCGAATTGCCTTTGCAGCGATGAAATGTCATTTAAATCAAAGTATACGTTATCCCGGGGCTACAATCAGAGAAGCTATTACTCAGGATTTATCCAGCTTGGTGTACACTATGGAGCTCTATTTATCTCCAAACTTGGGCAGAAAAGAGAGACAGCCCTTTACTTGCAAAACTGTGTTTCAGACACTGAAAGCCTGGCTTCAAAATTAGTTAGGTTCTTCTTCTTAGTTGTCCATCTTATTAATTTCTAGCGACTACGTAACCTCTATGGTCGTCACAGTGATTGACAAAAAGCGAGAATAACCACGGCACTAAGCTACGAATAGAATGTTGTAAATGCTTGAAGGTTTTATGCCGCCGTTAATTGGTGACTTGTTCCTCATAGCTTATGCTCTTCCCATTTTGAACAGATGAATCTAACACACATGGAACGTAACACGAACAATGCGGTTCATTATACCCTGATAACTTAATAAACAATTATAATAGCTAAGTTAGAAATAAGCGTTGCGGAAAATCGTGTTAATGGCGTACAGAGAGCATTGCGGAGATTATTGTGAAGACCATGGCAAAGAAGCTTTGCGGAGAGTTGTGCTGAGAAGTCTCATAAAGGAGCGTTGCGGAGAGTGTTGCGGAGAAGACTGGCGCGGAGCGCTATCAAAGACGTCTTGCGGAGAGTTAGAAACTCCACTGCCAGGAGTTCAGCTAATTGCTTACTTTACGGCATGTTTCGATATAAATTTAATTTACAAAAACCTTTCGCAGCTTTCCAATTCCATCCCAAAATATCTTACACATTTAGCTTGCATCTTTGACAATTATCACTCAGCTGAAAAACATTTACAGTACTTGAAAATATGGCAGCAACCGGCGAACCTCCAAAAGCAACCATACCACGCCAAATCGCCATTATTGGCGCTGGCGTGGTCGGGACTGCCTTAGCAACACAGCTTATACATGCTGGCAACTCTGTCAGCATTAGCAATTCAAGAGGTCCTGATAGTCTTCGTAACGTGGAGAGAACAACGGGTGCCAAAGCAATGGACACCAAGCGCGCAGTATCTGAAGCGGATGTCGTTATTCTTGCTGTACCGATGAGTGGTATTCCACCCTTACAGCCGCTTTTACGAACATCTTTGCGGCCCGGCACAATCTTGATTGATGCCTGCAATTATTATCCCACGCGCGATGGAAACATCCGGCCGTTAGACGAAGGCATGGCAGAGAGTGTTTGGATATCGAAAACCTTCTCATTCCCAGTTGTCAAGGCATTGAATAATATCGTTGCTCTCAACATTGCTTCCAGCGCGAAACCAAAGGGTTCTTCCAAGAGAGTAGCACTTCCCGTCTCAGGAGATGACAACAAGTCTGTGGCAGTTGTGATGGAATTGGTAGAAGCGATGGGATTCGACGCATTCAACGCAGGCCAGCTAGCAGATTCGTGGCGACAGCAACCTTGACAGCCAGCTTATTGTACTGAGCCGAATTTGAAAGAACTAGTAGTTTTACTTGGCTCTGCAAAACGGGACGGTGTAAGCGCAAAACGAGACCAGGGGATGACGCTTGCACAGAAGTTACCGCCAGATTTCCCTCCGCGAATTATGGTAAAGGTAGCGCGATTAGGGGCCGGTTTGGACTGGTGGAAGCCTGGAAGTTGGCTCGCAGCGGCAAAATTTGCGTATGCTCTTGCTCGAGCGAGTTTCAAACGCACTGCTTAAAGAGGAGTGGATGGATGAAGAAAGGTGCACATCACGAGCTTCAACCCAGCTAGGGAAACGAGAAATGGCATACTCCAAGCTTTGTTGTTATTGAAGATTCTTGTTAATGAAATTTTCTATTTGCAGGCGAGATGTTACACATTGAGCGGATTTATTGATCAAGGATATGGCTAGCATAAAAGGCAGCATCCAAGATTGTTGAAATTACATCAATTAATATAGTTAAATATAATAGACGACTATTACACTATCCATATTCCACATATGAATCTAAATTTAGTGTTGACCCAACCGTCTAAAGGCTTCACCACCAAGGAGCTGACGCGTCGCGGTAGACATTCGTTCCACAGTGAACTTCGCCGTCCAGCTCGTGATGATCATACCAATCATCGATAAACGTAACGTTAAAGTTTATCTTTGAATATGAATCCTGGACTGCTGTCGCAAATATGTCTTTTCCATCAATAATTGGGCCCCATTGAGCGGGTGCCAGAATCTGAGAATCGCTCAGCACGACACCATTGATAGCGCCTGGGTACATCGCAGTGAGACGGGGGCCTGTAAAACGTATCGGAGTCTGTCTTTTCTCCAACTGTCCATTGGGATTGATAGCTTCGATAATCGAGTGAGGTTTCGACGCCTGTACTCCCCCGAATGCGGAGACGCTGTTGAGCCGCTGAGGTTGAGCCCCATTGACTGTGCAGGGAAATGTCTCGTTATAGTAGATGCCGGGAACGCGAAGAATCTCTTCATCGGTGAGACCAACAGCGCTTTTAACGATTTCAATATTCTTCTGGATGTACTCCGCGGCGTAGGTATTGAGCCCTGTCAGGTTGGCAAGTTGCAGGACCTGATCGATGGTGAGCTTGGGCAGACAATACTGAGAACTCTGCTTGGGATCAGAGGCATCTTGAAGTCGTGACACGGCCGTAACACCACCATGTCCAGCCGCTTGCGCATCTTTCAGAAGCTGGATACCGGCGAGTGGATCGGCAAGCATAACAATCCAGCCTCGCGAATTGTTGGCCGGGAGGAACTGCATGTACTCGTCGGTATGCCCGACCAGAAGCCAATCATGGTCAGTAATAACGGGGTCCTGTGTCTCCTGCGCCCTAAGAAACGCCATGATCCATGGATCTTCCGAGTCTTGCTGGCCCATTATGATACGGCCGGCAGCATATGTTTTATTGTTGAAGCTGTGCGGCGGGATTGTTTCCAGATTCCCCATAGAATCAGTAGTACCTCCACGCCACAGATACTGGATTGCGCCAACGGAGTCGGATCGCAAGTCTGTGAAGATTTGTCGGCCGGCAGAGCGGAACTCCTGTCCAGATCTGATATTTATGCGCAACACCACAGGTCCGTCGGGCCCGGGGATGCTGGAATAGCCCGGCTCAAAGAAATCTTGTACCCAAATATCAGGATCCTTAGTGAACGCGAAAATAGGCGTCTCAATGCCGGCCTGAGCGACAGGACCTTTCAGTGCCTCGACGAATTTTTCTTGTGGAAGACCTATGCCCGGATAGTTATTAGTGAAGACTTGTTGAGCATGCTGAAGGTGATGATGAGTCAATACAGGAGCAACCCGCAGTGCAACCAAGTCGCTGCCCGATTCTGATCCGTCAGTGACGTTGAAAAGAACTTGAACACGGCCGTCCCAAACTTGCGGGTACCGCGTCGTACGGCCGTCGATGCCTAGTTCCAGTCCTACTCTGAGTTCTTGCGCGGCGAAGGTGGTGTTTTCCGTCACATACACCCAGTCTTCGCCAGCCTTGTAGAAGATGCGCACATTATCGGCTGCATTCTCTCCTGAGATGCCAATGCTGCCGACAGCATTATCACTGAGATTCTGGATTGGCAGCGTGAGAAGCGGAGCAATGTACTTGGAATTGCGGAGAATATTGTCAGAAGCGTCGTTACACATCGACAATTCTCCATCAAGCGTTGAAGACGTGACATTGGCCGAGCATCGGCCATCCGTATCTCCAATGTTGGCTAGGAAGAGAGCGCCATATTCTTCGGTCCATAAAGTTTTGTCGGCATCAGTCTGGTCTGTCAAATCTACTTTGCCATCTCGATTGCTATCGGCGAGGATGGTGGCCTGAATTGCATTGCTGGCTCTAGTCAAACCTGAACGCGGTCAATACGCTGTGGCACCCGTCGCTGTTTTCCAGATTGACATTGAGGGAAAATACCTAGAATAACCACTGCCGCCTGCTTTGAGAAATGCATTGGAACGGTCTCTTCAAAATGTCTGACACAAGGTTGACTCAGGGTTACCAAGCAGAAGGGTATCACGGTCTTTTAAAATATCTACGGCTTTGCTGGCTTGTGCTACTGCCAATCCTGCTGACTTGTGCTAAAGCCGAGGATTGGCAGTGGCACCCCTGTCAACATCCATGTAAACACCTTCAAAAACATCCCCTTGGCAGGATTGGAATACGAGAGAACTCGGCGCTAAGTAAGTAAATTTGTCAAAGCCGATTTTTTTGGAATTGCATGGTTCAACAAAGAAAGCAGAAACAGTAGTTGGTGTTTTAAGACCAACTATCTTGATTCTTCACCTGGTTAAACAACACTGTCCTTCGTTATAAGGTAACATATGAGGCTGGTAGGTAAAACGATAAACAGTGTTTTCAAGGTGAAAGCCACCCGGGTTCTAGCGTGGAGACTTCTGTCAAACCGTAACGACATGGCGTCAATGGGCTGACGTACTTAATACCGTAGTATCCTTTCCGTCTGCCGTAGTATTCATAGTGTAATAGCAATCTGAGTGGATATGATCCACATAGCTTAAAAGTGAAAAGAGATTGCCTTAGGAGACATTTAATAGATTCATGAGATCCAAGCAGTAGCAAAATAACTGTAATGTGTGATCTATTGGGAGATCTGAGAATACAAAACAATCTTTATGGTGAATCTCAGCGCAGAATTTGTTTCTATCTATTTATACTGGTGTTGTGTAGCAATTCGGCGTCGGAAGTTAAGGCCAAACTCCGATGTCTTATTCAATCTCTTCTTTCAATGCAGGCTTACTGTAACAACCATCATCCCTACCATTTCTTATCTGTAACGCTGAAAAATGGACCTGTTAGTTGCCTAGTGAGTTCATCCTCTGTAGTTGTTGCGTTATAAGTTGAATTATTTCGTCACCCGCACGTGTACCCATTTGACATCAGAGACAGGACCTGTTGTGTATACGCAATTTATAATATTAGTATATAACTCATCTCATAACTCAAAATCAACTATTATGCTACTCCGTATCAGACATGCGAATTAAGAACAGCAACCCCTAGGTGAGAAGATGATGACTCGGTCAGGGTGTATCGTCCAAAGACTGCCTTCAGTACAGATGCCGCCGGAGCAGCGGCAAATGGCTGCCACACCTTGTTCTTGTGGCTCTCGCCATAATCGAAAATTCCCTTTACAAGAACACAAGACACCTCGTCCCAAATACCAGCATCTTCCATTTTAAAAAACAATCATATCTCGCTGGCCAGCGATCCGATCATGATGCTCACCAGACTTCATCAACGTATCACCAGAGGCCACGCAGCCAATGAAGATCTCTGTGTACATGTATTGTTCGTCGGCCAGTTCCAAATGCTTCTTCATCCCCAAACGCCCTCTTCTTATCAGCTATGTCTTAGCGGTCTGCTGTGGGAATATTGTAAGCGTTTGCTGTATAGGAATGATAGCCATTGCTTACATGTTCTGTTAGTAATCTTGTTTTCTTTATTAGGAGATAAACTTTCATAGACGGAGCATTTCTTCTCGTTGACAACTTCTCTTGAAAACCCGTTAAAAACATTTCCATCATCTTTTGTCACTATTCGGTTGCGGGTGGACGACATATACTCGCAACTCTCACAATATGGAAGAGAAGCCTAAGTATTCCTCCCTTAGTGATAGCGATAGCCATACAGAGGTCGATGAGGAATCATGGCCGCTTGCCGGTGACGGAGAAGGAACGCACTATCAACGAGAGAAGACAAAGTGGTACAATAAGCCTTTGCCGTGGATGATTTCTACCGCCTGCTTATTTGTTGTGGTAATTGCCTTGGTGGCCATAGAATGGCACTCTAGAAAGGCTCTTGTTAGCACAAGAGACCTTTCCATATTTGAGTGGAGTATGTATCATGTCATTCACTAACAGTCAATTTGAAGCTGATCCGAGTTCTTTAGAGGGAGCAAGAGATGCGATCAAGACACGATACGTTAAGTTCAGCAGTGGACTGGTGTATAATGAAACTGGTGATCTGGTAAGAACGCGTAATGAAAATGAGCTTGACTGGGTTGGCACGCCCACCGAAGAGATGGACAAGGCATGGGAAAGCATCACATCTCGTAAGTTAGGCGCCTAATGTAACATATTCTAGATATATCTTGCTAACAATTATTAAAGCTCAAGATCTCTTTGCTACAAAAGACGAAGTTAAAGATTTGGGACCAGATGAATATCTGATCCCTCAATTTGGTCTTTATGAGGTTGAGTAAGTTCTCTTGCATTTGTCACTGGTTAAGAAGACAGACCGCTGACCAATCAATCTGCAACAGGTTTGAAGTATTCCACGACCTTCACTGCCTCAATATGCACCGAAAGATGATTTATATCGACCACTACCCTGAGATGAAAAGCGACTCCCTGATGACCCACATCGACCACTGCATCGATACTATAAGGCAATCAATGATGTGCCATGGCAATCTCACACCAATCCCCATTATATGGTCGGAAAATAAGCACAGGTTGATGCCTGACTTTGAGAACCGCCACCTGTGCCGAGATTTTCCCATGCTGAAGAAGTGGGCAAAAACAAGGGATGCCAATGAGCCGGGCTTGAGAGACGAAATTGCGATGAGGTTGAATGGAACGCACGCGTAAACGTGGGGATGAAGAATATTTACAAATGTGCCAACGATGCCAGAACTAAAACAAATGTCAAAGAAGAGGTCAGATGCGGCGTCATCAGAGAACACCACCCACATGGCGTTTATAATACTTTGCAGATTAAAGCTAGAATTAATTGAGGGCAACGCTATAAATGCTTTTGAGTCTTCCTATTTGCACAGTAACATATTCCTATCTGAACCGCAGTGGTCCGCCAGACAACGCAAAACTACATTGCTTTGTAGAAACTATCGTATTAAGACGGAGGTTGAACCCCATCCCCGTGGGGCGTACATCTTGCTTAGTCTAACACGATTTATGCTGGGATTCTTTCGATGTCTATGGTATAATGACTGAATTATAGAAATTAGTAGAATAAATCATCGCATAGCCTGAAACGTTGAAGCTTGACACAAAAAATAGAGAAGGTTAGAGCGGATATGGTCTGTACTCCATCGATAATAACGCTCGAGGTAGTCTGGCCGTACGCATCCTGGTACTTGAGCAAATGGAAGCGGGGAAGCCCCAAGTGTACCAGGACTACTTGAATGTCACCTACATTGCATTGGCCAGAGAGTTGCCGGCAAACGAACGTAGTCCCATTGTAGAATATTAAAAGTTTATGATCGAAGTTCATGAAGCTGTGTTAAAAAGCGGTTGTTTTCAGACCAATAGCAGGCAAGTGGTAAGCGAGAAAATGACTCATAGGGGCCACGTGGAGGGAACAATATTCTTCCTTGCATTGCTCTCTGTTCAGCACAATTTGAGAGCAACTAATAAGGCTTTGGCCGGATCGTAATAGTTCCTCAGATTCACAGAACAGAAACCTCTCTAACAAAGCTAGCAAATGGCCCGCTATGGCCGCCGATGCGCAAAATCACATCCTCTGTCCACCTTGCCAGAGCTTCATTATCTGGACCAAGACCCCAGATTTATCATGTGATGACGGATTTGAGATACCCTACAAACCAAGTTTTGAAGCTTTGGAGGTTTCAGCGGCCCAGTGTCCGCTTTGCCAATATGTTTTTCGGAATGTTCTAGATGGGAAGCCTCGTTATGATGGGCGAGAACCTACTCCAGTGTCATACAGAATATTTGCAGAGGTCGGCGGGGGGTCCGAACGACGCTTAATAAACGTCACTTGGATAGAAGATCTTCCATTTCCAAGTGCAGGCCCTCGAGACCCAGTATACTATCTTGCACATCCTGAAAGTCAGTTCAGATACAAAGATTGGTGGTTGAATAAGCGAATAAAATACTAAAATAAAGTTCTAGGTATTAAAAATAGAATACTATGGCGAGAAAAAGTACCATCGTTCGACTCTCGTCTGAAAGCTGTGTCAGAATGGATATCGGAATGCGACTGTCATCATACCCGATGTATTGAAAAGCCAACTGTGAGACCTCAAAGGCTTTTAGATCTTTCCGATGTCGAGAATTCGAAGGTAGTCCGATTAATCGAAACCTCTACTTCTGTTGAGATAGACGTTCGCTATTCTACTCTTAGTCACTGCTGGGGACCCCCAACAGCCGAGCCGCCACTGAAAACCACGTCAGCCAATTTAAACAATCACTATATGGGAATTCCGGTAGCAAATTTGAATCTCAACTTTAGAGACGCCGTCTTCATTTCTGTTAAGCTTGGTCTTCGATACTTATGGATCGATTCCCTTTGCATCATCCAAGACGACCATGGAGACTGGGAAATGGAAGCAGCAAAAATGGCAGATATATACCGCCAAAGCTATATCAATCTCGCTGCGTCTGCGGCACATGATGCTCATGGAGGTATAATTGATTTATCTTCTCTTCATATCTCCAGGCATACAACTACCACTGTAGTCCGTCACAACCTATCGAGCCCAGTCGCAGTGGGCTCAGCGGGTGAATTTTACGAGGAATTCATGATCAGGCCTACGACACTAAAAGAAGAGTCTCGAAAACTTTTATCTCGTTCATCTTCTCCGTACTTTGCACGGGGTTGGGTACTCCAAGAAGTAGCGCTTGCTCCTCGGACGGTATACTTCACAACCGATCAAATGATGTGGCAATGCCGGCACCTTTTTGAATCCGAAGACGGAGCCTGGTCTTCAAGCGGTGGGATTCCAGCTTTGACTTACGCTTATTCAACATCGGAAATTTTCGACTTTACAAAGAAGCAGAAAGCTTTCTCAATATGGCAAGTGTGGCTAAAGTCATACGTGACTCGAGAGCTTTCATATCCCTCTGATGTCTCAGCCGCAGCTGCAGGCTTAATTAACTATTACCAATCAAAAACTGGGCACACGCCTATGCTTGGACTGTGGAAAGAAACGCTGTATGCTGATCTGCAGTGGTCGATTTCGGGTGGCCACTTTAAGGACGCGCCCCCAAGAAACAACTTCCCATCTTGGTCTTGGTTATGTCTTTTACCATGCGGCAATCCAGGAGTATCATTCGATGATATTACATATCTTGGAAGCACAACCCAATCTCTTCGAATTGAAGAATGGGAAGAGAAGTGGAGCGGTCTACCTTTTACATCGACACTCCAGTTCTCCAAATTGGTAATCTCAACAATCACTCAGGATGGGATACTTTCCGTTCCGTTTGCTGAAGGTAATACCTTTTCAGGTGTGAAGGTTGAAGTTCAGGGAAGCTTCATATGGCACGATTATCCCAAGATTGAATACCAATTACCTGTGGGATCGAAACATGTAGTTAAACTAGCTCATCTCGAGCAAACTATATTTCGAAATGACACTACCGGCGTCGCAAGGTCATTCCGGGACAGCTACCTTGTTTTAAGAATGATCACAGATAACCCCCCACGGTATCAACGGCTTGGGACTGGTAGGATTTATACCTCCATGGATGAAAAAATAGACATCTTGAGTTCAACTGGCTACTTGGAGAGGCACTTTAAGGAATCAGATAGGCAGAGTATTGAACTCGTGTGAGACCGAGAAAAGAGAGTAGCAATGAAGCTTTGATCACATCTGAAAGTTAAGAAAATTGTCGATCCGTATGCACTCCGTCTTTTGGCTTTGACATGATCAGTACATGTAATGATGACCCATACTGTAGGTCTCATGACATTGTCAATGATATCACTGACGCCGCTCGCGAACACTCGATTAAACGTTTCCAGTAGAGAGAGATTTGAGAGCAAAGCCATATTATCATGTATTTGTGACCGTGGTGGGACCAAGCTAACGCTAATGGCCGAGCTCATACTCCGTATGAAGAGGGTGGGATATATGCCAATTCTAAGACTGGCGAACGGAGCTAAACGTACTCAAAAACATTAATCTAATGATCGAAGAGAACCAATCCTTCTTATTCTCACCGACCAAGGGCCGTATTCCCTACTGTCTTGGGCCAAAGGTGGCTTTAAGCACCTCCGGCTGACATCTCCATGAAGAGCTTTTCGGTCTTCATTCCAAGGGATGAAAGTAAGAGAACTCCACCAGCAACAATTACGAGGATGTATACTCGGCTCATTGCCTTGACAATAGCCTCCAGAGCAAGGGCCCTGACAGAGTCGGTAGCTTGGGCAAGAAGCTGACTTTGAGTACCTGCAATGGCACCATGCAGCTGGGCATCCGTATATCCGTATCCTGCCAGAGCGCTCTGGAGATATTGGAACGCAAGGTTCTGAAATACGGTTCCAGAGATAGCCAGAGCGTGGACAGCGGCTCCGATTTGCGCCATGTTAATGAAGCCAATAGCGTCAGGAATCATTTGGGGTCCGAAGCGCGGATCCATGGCCACCTTTACGGGGGTAACAGAGTATGCGGCCTGGTTCGCCACGCCTGTTCCTATGGCCAAGATGACGCTGTATCCGTATACTCGAGATGCCGAGGTAGTAGAATCGACTGTAAACATCAAAGCTCCGCCGATAGTAATCATTACTCCTCCAAAGATATACCACGGTTGGTAGTATCCAAATTTTGGCATAAGCGTGCCGTTAAACATGATGCAGAAGATCGTGACACAGATAAAAGGAAGCAGTCGTACAGCCGCTGAAATAGCGCCATCATCCCTCGTGAATTGGAAAAAGAGTGGGATGTAGTACACTGGCGCAAAGATTGTTGTTGTTGTACAGGCAGTAGCGAAATGTTGCAATACCAATGATCGTGATAACAGGAAGCCTGCCGGAAAGATGCGCTGTGCTTTAGTAGTGAATACCTTGAAGCGCTGCTGCAGTCCAAAGAGTATGATTAGAACGCCGCAAGTAACAAAGCAAGCAATTGTTCGGCCATCACTCCAAGCCCACTCAGCGCCGCCAAAGGTGAGGGCCAAAACCCAGACAGCATAAATTGCAGCATTGAGAACAGTTCCAAGCCAGTCTACTGCAGCCAGCCTCTGGAAAAGCTTGAGAGTCGGTTGGGGGTCCAGCGACGGGATGGCGAATATGTAAACGGGACAGGTCACAGCGAAAATAACCAAATTAATGTAGAATGCCTTTTGAAGTGTTAGAAGCGATTTTAATAAACAAGGTGGTTCAAAATCTTACCCAGCGCCAGGTGGCAGAGCTCTCCGCAAAGGCCCCTCCAATGATTGGGCCAAGAATAGTCCCAACACCCCAAGACACTCCTGTTCCTGCAATATATAGAGGACGTTCGCGTGGGGAAGACAATAAAGACAAGATATTTAATCCTCTGCAGAAGTTTTTAGCATAGCAAAGCGAAAAATATTGGGAACTCCATTACTTACCCCAGGTATATGCCAGCTCCTCCGGCACCAGCAATAACTCTTCCAATGATGAGTGCCTATGCTGTTGTCAGCAGATTGAATAAAAGGCTGCTGAGATTATTCAATAACTAACATTCATATTGGGTGCAGCGCCGCAAATGGCACTACCGACTTCAAACATCACAGCTGTTGCAAAGAATAGCCATTTCACATCGAAAATGCCGTATGCTTTCCCCCTGCAAGATGTTAGTTTATCGACAACAATCAGATGTGATAAAGTTCTCTTACATTGACAAGATAACGGCAACACTACCCAATGGAAATCCAACTCCAATCCAGGCCAGTTTTTCCGGTTCACCGAATTGTTCAAGAACAGTTCCTTGAACATCTGCGGCAACGGTCGTATCAAGTCCATATAGAGCACCGGTTACGTATACGGTTATCAGAGTCAATACCCACTATATGAGGAAGGACAAGCCCGAGATGTTAGCGCTTCTGTCAAATTCAGTTTTAGAGTTGCATTATTGGTACCTTCCAGGTCGAGACACCTTTAGCCTTTCGGACGTCTGTGACAATCTCTTCCGTCGATTCTAATGGGCTCTTCTCCAGACCCCGGAGCGAGCTGTCATTATCGGATGGTGACTGCTCTTTGGAGTTGTGGCCGGAAATGGTACTTTGGGTCTCCGGCGACGAGTCACTGAGGTTCTTGGTGTAGTCCATAACTACTAGTATGTGCCTCTTCAGCAACGTGACACAGGACTAGGTGGCGATGGAGTGGAAGTTTTTCACGATATACAAATTACAGGGCACCGTGACTATATAAGTTTTCCTCTTCTTCGCGGAAAATATAGAGAAATTTCATATTCTAGCGCTGACACAATTCACCCATCTTACAGCTGAATCCTGCCAATATTGGTCCCGGCCACTCGGTGATCACGCCGCGATGCTTCCAAATGATAATGAGGTTTGCCGAAATGTCCGCGCGCTAGCGTTGATTTGGCAGAGATGTCCCGATAGACAGATAATGATCGTTCAAATCCATGTGTTTACACAGTTAATTCAAGGGGCTGATCTCGTTGGAGTTGCAACTCTGTGGTATCGCGCATCTTATATCGCCGCGCGGGCCGCGGCGGGCCGCGACCATGTGGGCGGTGTAAGACAAACCAACAGGGTTGTTCTTCGCCCTACTTCTCGATCGGCGATTACGGCGCATTGCCCTTGTATGAATACAAACTACTGTAGGTCTGTGTATTATTCCGTTGCCGATTCGCCGATCTCACTCTGCTTTAGTGGATTACTCCACGTGTGCCCAGATAGATGTCAAGTCCTATGACATTCTCGGCCCCGAACCCGACGCAAGTGACGAAAGAAATATGCGATAACTCCGAAAGTTGTAGGGGTTGATTTGAAAATTTTGCAACGGGATACAGGAAGAAATACAAGATAGTAGATAAACGGTTACAGGATGAGACAGCACATGTCTAAGCAAGTCAACACAAGGTCAAGATGAACAATAAATTCATGAACTCAGACTCGTCTCCGTCCAGGAAGATCAATTGGATGCATAATTGCAAAGTTGTCGTAACCGCTTGGGAGAATTTACGCATATTGAACTAGTAACCTGTCAACGTGGCTCATCTACCCACTATCACAGCGGTAGATGCAAATCTAGTCATAGCCTTCTTTAATGGTGTAACTGCCGTCTTTTCGGGGCCCATTGGGCTCCATACATTCCAAAGGCCTGTTCATGACATAGCGGAGAAGACTAGATCTCGGCAAATGCGATTATTAGCCGCATTGTTAGTGCCTCGAAGGGGCATTCAGCCAGCCTATGGCGAACGGTGTAACACCCCGGCAGGAGTTCCTCTACCACTCCGAACTGCATGCCTGGTAGTCGACACTATAGTTCTGAGTTATCACAGTAATACTGAAGCCCCACAAGTTTAGTGCGGCTGATACTTTCAACCGATGATAGATTATGAAAGCAAGTGAGCTCATTGCAGCATTTGTGGATAGTCTGATAACTACAATGCTTCCTTAAGGTATTGTGTTGCACGAGAATTTAACAGCGGTGATATAATGAGTCGCCAATGATATGGACGTAACAGGAGATGTAAAGAAAAAATGTCACTTAAGGGAAATAAAAGAGTCATCTGTGAGAATTTTGACCATCTTGTGAAGAAGTCAAACGGTAACGAAGCTGGAGGATGAGATGTTAGTCAGCATGCCCAGTAAACAAAGTTGAGCTTTTCCTAAGGCTTTCAAGAACTGACGGATTTTCGCCGTCCAAGACAATTGATTAGGCGAGAGTTGCAGTGGAAAGACTTGGTTCGTCTAGGAGCACCATATATCGTCTCTCCCGAGCGACCAGAATCATTGAGCGTATATTGGACACGCTGACCGGAATCGCAGGATTGATAAGCTTCTTCTCATTCTTAGTTTGAGATCCACCATGGAATAACACAGCATCGAATGGTTCCACAGAACGCCCTAATCGATCGAAAATCTCGACTCATGTCAAAGGCAAGGCGCAAGCAAAGGCGTCGTCAACTGTACTCCGTATAGGGAATACAATGAACATTATATAAATATGTTTTCATATCAACACCATTGGCAGTGATTCAAGGGTCCAATGCAGTTTTAGTGGCCACGATCGAGTCGGAGCATTCAATGTCTCGAACTACGCAAATCACTTCCCTCAGTAGGGACCACGATCTAGAGAGTTCGGTAACAACTTCCATCCAGCTTCAGCCGCTCCCGCAAAGCGAGATTCAGCAGCGCGACACACACCGTCATGACGCTTCTGATGGGGAACTATCAGATATAGATCCGGTACTGGAAGCTACCCGCGCTGCCGACAATGATGTGCCGGATGGTGGCTATGCATGGGTCGTTATCTTCGCTTCCGCCATTGTCTGTTTCCGGTTCACTGGCAATGGCAACTATACCTAGGGTGTCATACAAAATGCTCTTCTTGAGCAGAAGCTAGCATCAGCAGCCACTTTATCCTTCATTGGATCTCTGTCTCCTACTATGATGGCTGTCTTGGCCATCGTCAATGCCCGCGTTATCCGTTGGCTGGGTATCCGCTTGAGCGCCATACTCGGAATCGTCCTCCTTGGAGTCGCCCAATTGACGAGTGGATTTTGCACACATAGTGTGGCTGGGCAGTTTATTATACGCGGCGTTGGTGTCGGCCTGGGTATGAGTTTGTGCTTTATGGTGACCTCTACCATCCCAGCGCAATATTTCAGCCGGAAGCGTGGTCTTGCTAACGGGATTGTCTCCGCTGGTGGCGGTCTGGGGGCAGCTGTCCTCAGCTATGTTCTGGATGCCTTAATCCAAGAATTTGGCGTTCAATGGGCATATAGGATTGTAGGAATCATGACTTTGGTCACCGGGCTTCCTGCCGCCTGGATCATGAAAGAGCGCACAACTCTCCCAAAAGTTAGCTTTATTGAGTGGCGATTATTCAAGGACCTGAAATTCGTTTTGATCTTCGTTGCAGGAGCCATTACAAGGTTCCCACTTCTTGTACCAGCCTTCTTCCTACCATTTTATAGCAGTTCGATTAAGCTGCCGTCAAGCACTGGTGCTGCTCTCTTGTCTGGTTACAATTTCTCATCAGCCGTCGGCTGTATTCTCGGTGGCTTCTGTTTAGATACTTTAGGGCCTCTGAACACGCTCATTATCTCATTAATTCTCAGCGCCGTCAGCATGCTTACACTATGGCCAGCTTCCACCACCTTAATCCCGTTGGCATTTTTTTGCAGTCATCAACGGTGCCTCGAACGGCATGTATTTTGCCACAGTGCCGACTGCCGTGGGCAACATCTTTGGATCTGCCAGGGTGTCTGTTGCTTTGGGCATGATTGTAACTGGCTAGGGAGCAGGTTATCTAATAGTTAGTAGTTCCAGTGTAGTGGCCGTCCCGGAATCTAAAGCTGATATGGGAATTACAAGGAGCCCCAATCGCGGGTTATATATTGGACGAGCATGGAGGATCGGAGGCGGGTCCCACGGCCTTTCGACCCGCCATGTTCTACGCCGGCTCGCTCGCTATGGGAGCGACTGGCTTTCTTATACTTATGAGATCTCGAATAAGCTCATCGCTTTTAGCTAAGCTCTAGATTTGCTACGGTAATCTTTAGCGCATCTTGAGTAAGGAATATAAAAGAATGTCAATGATAGCAAGTAATGTAGCTATTGACTAAAGCGAGAGATGGTGTCCAAGTGTCCTTGAGAGACCCGAATCTGCGGATTCCCCCATTTATCTGTCATTGGCTCTCCCGTATGTTACTATGACGACGCTCCAAAATTTCATTTCCAACGATTGTTATTTTTTAGAAACATTTGATTTGATCGAACGTGAGAATACTTCTGCTGTATCAAAATCACCACTCCCTCATGGAGCCCAATCTTCTTACACAGTCTTGTAACCCCTTCAATTTGCTCCTGATCTAGAATCCCAGATGTAGAAATTGAATCTAAGAGTCTATCGGGATCGTATTTCTCACGAGGCCTCAGGGTCTAATATCCTAAAAGCAGCTTGCAAGTTGGATTGAGATGGTTACCTCTGAGATGTTAAACATCTTGCTCTCACACTGCAACTAGCAACATTCGACAGATGTTAAATCTCAATCTAGTCTATTAACAAATTAGTTTTTTTATAGTTTTCTAGTATTTCCACAATTTCATCATATCCCTTTTTATGTGCTATACTTAATGCAGATATTCCAGAATTTGATCTGCTTTGTATATCTGCTCCAAAGGCTAATAGAACTTCAACAGTCTCAATGAAGCCTTTAGCAGAGGCGTTTTGCAAAGGAGTGTACCCCGATTGGCTCCTATGGTTAACATCTGCCCCGTTCTTTAATAATATCTCAACAATTTCTTTTTTTTTTTCACAATGAGCGGCTGTGCTTAAGGGTGACCAACCACCATCAGTAACAATGCTATGATTCGCACTGTTCTCAAGAAGAAAACGGACCATGTCAACCCGTCCGTGTTGAGATGCACTATGGAGTGCGGTCATGTTTAAAGAGAATGCTGAATTAACATCGGAACCCTTGTGTAGCAGAAGGCGAGCTACATCCAGATGGCCATGAACTACAGCCTTAGTGAAAGCAGTGTGTCTAAATTTACCACAGAGTGTGATATCTGCGCCTCTTTGTAAGAGGATTTTGACTGCATTCAATAAACCTTTCCTCGACGCGATTATCAGCGGGGTATCTCCATCAGCCAAGCGGTTGATATCCGCACCATGCTCGAGGAGGAGATCCATGCATTCTTCGGCGTTCGCCTGCTGGTTTTCGATTGATTGTAAAACACACATCAATGGACTGCTTTGTCTAATATTGACCACATTTGGATCAGCACCTGCCTTAATGAGCAGGGCCACAATGGTATAATAGGCCTTGGAAGCTGCTATGAGCAGCGGCGTGTCTCCATTATTGTCCTTGATATTCAAGTGTGGTTTATACCCGAAGAGTATCCCCATGCTTTCTATAACTTCATTTGACTGATCCAATTCTGCAACAGTGTGCAAAGGAGTCTTGTGGTCTATATCAACAGCGTCGCTATCAGCACCGTTATGGAGTAACGCCTCTACCACTTTGGGATAGGAACACGCTAGGTGAATGGGTGCTCGTTTGGCTTCGTTTTGTGCATCAACCTTTGCACCCCTGTGAGGAGGTACAAGACAATATGAAGATGTCCGCTTGATGCGGCATAGTGAAGGGGGGATTCTGTCCCCGCTCGACGATCCAGATCCCAACCTGCATTATTTAATTCGGACACAATAGATAAGTATCCTCCCGATATGGCGTTTATGAGTGCCAAATTCAGCAAGTTTCCAGAATCTGACATCACAACCTTTGGCTTCAATGACATCAGGTACTTTACCATAAGGTAGTGGCCACCAGAAGCTGCGTAAACCACAAGACGGTCATTAAGACGAATCTTAGGATCTTCTTGAAGCGCTTTAAATGCCTCAAGGTGTCCGCTCTCCGCAGCACGATGGCAGGGCATAGCTCCTTGATTATCTTGAGCGGACTTGTCTGCACCTCTTTGAATAAGGAGCTGAACGATGCTGGTGTGACCTCGGTTTGCGGCCTTGTGTAGTGGTGTCTTATTGGAACTATCCCTGGAATTGACGTCCACTCCATAGTCTAGAAGCTCCGCAACAATATCCAAAGACCCTCTTTCGGAAGCGACATGGACTGCAAGAGCAAATCGTCGCAATCGACGAAGTGGAGGGCAATTGCGCTGTTCTCCCATCGAAACTGCCTCCGTCTCGATCCAAGGAACCTATGGGAGGGACAGATGCTATGCAAAACACTACCTCATACCTTTCGGTTGGTGGTGTCATGCTTATGGCTCGGTGTGAACCGAGTCGGGACAAGAATTTGCCGATATACTGCTACCGGCTTCTACCAAGCCCCTTGTCAACATGAACCTTGCAATCACTGCGAAACTCGATCTTGATACGACTTTTGCTTGATGAATCCACTGTAGATGAAGGGACAAATATATTAGTGCAGAATTTGTTTTCCCACGATCAAGGTGTTCGGAATTATTGTTATCACACTGTCAGGGTTCACATGGGAGATCGAGCAAATTCACGGGCTGCTAGTTGCTGAAACATTGATGTTAGTTGGATGGTTTACTAGGTACATGTAAATTACAGCTGGAGCGCAAATTGGTGTACGGATCTTTTTCAATGGCACGATAGTCTATTCAACTTCAATTTTAAAATAATAATAATAATAAGCTAGCACTCGTTCTGTCCAGGCTAAGGGTTGTCAAGTTCTACAATTCTCAATCACATGTTCAGAAATTTGATAAAGCTCTGTAACGTCCTCTGGAATCTTGTCGAATCCTAAGGTTGTTGCGGGATTTGGATCGGTGTTATCATCTGGAATTGTGTTGTCCTCCAAATGAACGATATGTTTCGAAGTTGTGCCATCTTCTGGAGCTCTTTGATTGTCTGAAGTCTGAATACCCTTTCACTACCTCTGCGTATTTAGAATCTAAAAGATGGCGGAGAGTTAAAAGATCGTTTAGAGGTAAAGTCGACCCTGTAGCGGAGCCTTCTGGGGCTAAGCCCAAATATTCCTTGAAGATGGGACGTAAAGCAATCCAATCTTGTTCCGTAGAAAGCCCATTGAGGTCTGCGAGCAAGTTTCCCCCCGTGCGAGCTGAAAAGCTTGAGAGGGGAACCGATTACATACAGTATCGAAAGCCTCGTCCAACTTTAAAAGATCTGTAACTTTAGCATTACTGTCATCGCTATTATCATTATCTTGATAGAGCTCTAGAACATTTTTGAATTCTTTAACAGTAGATATGAGTTCTTCACGAGTAGGAGAGGTAAGAAATTCATCGTTCGCTGGGTTTACTATGTTAGTATCTGCCATTGTCTCTGGAGATATGGAGTATTAGAACGATTAAATGTGCGGGGTAAGGCGTCTTTTTATGTCTGATAAAATCATTGTATACACCTCACCGTAATAAGATACAAATCATGGAGGTGTTGGTTAGGCATCACTACGTGCACAATGCTACTTGCTTTTCAACATGTTTTAGCCGGCAAGTTGTGTACTTTTGTATTAGCGGCGGCACTTGCAAGCAATCCAACATTCTAGTTCCATAGCAAAGCCTCATAACGTAAAAAAAGACCACCTGCATCCAACGAGCCGCCTGAGCTCAACCGGCAGTTGGTGATTGGTTCAAAAGACCAAGTCACATGACTTGGCCCGGTTAGCTCAATCGGTAGAGCGTGAGACTCTTATGAGTGACACGTTCTGATGTTGCGATATCTCAAGGTTGCGGGTTCGACCCCCGCATCGGGCTCTTCCTATAAATAATACACCGGTTGAGATATCAGGCGGCACTCCTTTTTTGCTTTTTTTCTTTCTTTACCATTTCTTTGCTTTTTCTTCTTCTTCTTTCTTCCTTCCTTCAAGTTCAGGGTAACAGAAGGGAGTCGTCCGTCTTGGAAGCATCTCTCTATACATGTATTTGGCAGCGAACCGGTCGATGGGGAGCTCTTAACAATTGGATGGTCGTGAGCGTTTGAAGCAATCCATACTATCCAACTGTTCTAATTTATTGCATCTCTTTACTCCTTTCATCCATTTATGAATACAATATAGCACAGCTTCTACCCAAAGCTACTCCTCCTACACTAGCATACAGCCGTATATTTTCCCTTGTCCTACAAACCAATTCAGCCGTGTTCCAACTGCACAATCCACGCCCTATTGTACCTGCGTTCCTGTCGCAGCCCTGTAGCAAAAAGAGTAAACGCCAAATCCTCTCCATTCCTAATAATACATGGTGTACCGTGGTGATCCCTTTGCACCAAATGTCCTGCCTGACTAGTGTTCGCTTTGCCCTTTGGCCAACACTTTCCATGTTCCAACTTTCCTTCATTACTTAGACATTAAAGATTGATGATTTACAGCATCCAGGCTGTGAGCAGACAAAAGAAACATATTCGTATCATATAAGCGTTAGTGTCGTGAAAGTGATGGCAATAGCCATTGTGATGGAGGCCCTAGTGAGCCCGAATCCTGGTCCTTTGCTGCTGGCGACAAAGTCAAATGGGCTCCCCCCACCGCTGCCTGGCTGTGTATTGGGCCTACGCGTTGGCTTCGGCTGCTCTTCGCTTGTGGACGTCGGTTGATCGTCGTTCGTGGCCTGAGAAGTTGCAGCTTCGGTGGCTTCGGTTGTTGACTCGCTCGTTGAGCTAGGTATCATCACTGATGTGAGGGTGGTAGGTATCGCACTTGTAACTGCCGTTGTAACTGTTGCTGTGACTGTTGTAGAAGGGACAGACGATGTTGTCAATGTTTGAATGCTAGTTGTGCTGGTTGTGCTAGTTGTCCTCTTAGGTTCGGATGATGTTTGAGGTGGTGGCGGAGTCTTTGTTGGAGGAGGGGTGGGCGTGGATGTGGTGATCTTTGATTTTGCATCCGTTTTGCAGAGAACGTCAAGAATATGGCCTTCCTTGACCTCCACGATAAGAGATTTTGGGGCAGCGTTGATGTTGGTGCACAACCCTTGCACAGAAAATTGCACCGCTTGCAATCCTGCGATGCAGCTTTCAGAACATGTCGCGCCGCCGCTGAAATCGCTGAGGCTGCATCCCCGAATGGGCAGATTGTAGGCGTAGAGGCATTGGACGGATACCGATGAAGTCAGGCTTTGGAAGTTGGACAGAGACAAGGAAGTTCCCGAAGCTGCCCCTGCCAAGAAGACGAGGCTGGCGAGACTGGGCCGCTGCACTGTCTGTTTTCTCGCCATGGAGGGATGTTTCGAGCGGATCTGGCTGTAGATGGTACGACGATGAAGTTGTAGTTTGGTCGTCGTCGTGTGTGGAAGATGGAATTCTGCTGAGACCGCCCTCTCTGAGTATCAACTGTTTTAACAAAGGGAGGGAAAATGGCCCAGCCGTCAGTATATGGGAAATACGGATCCTCAAGTAGCATTCCAGCTTGAGGCCCTGCTGTCATGGGAAACGACCGGATCGCTGGCTCAGCGTGTGCACCGTGGCAGCGCGATGCGAAACACGGCTTGTCTCAGACTTCGATTATGACGCCAGCCACGCACGATAGCAAGAGCGATTGGCGCCCTTGTAACCGTTTATCGGACGAACTTCCCGCATCTGTCAGCATTGTCGTTTCTTGAATCTCTTTTGACATGTTTCAATCAGGGGCTTCTGTTCGGGCAGGCGCGTGGCAGACAGGATGCCTATGACGAGTCTAAGATGGAGATGGAGATGACGATGGTGACACAGATGGGGTATGGGGGCGGGTGGACAGGTATATGGACTTTGGAGTGCGCTGTTTTCTGCACGGGGATAGAGGTATTTAATACAAATGGAAAATTGTTGAAATACAGTCTGGAACATACAAAGAGTGCCCCGGTACGAATTGATATTGCCTGATTAAATGACGTGTACTACTAGGTTGTATTCGTTGCTTCTACAATGTGTTGGTGCTGTAGAGTTACGCAGAAAATCGGCATGCTCTCTTTTTCTCCCTTTTCTCCTGAGGAACACATTCACGAGCCAAGAGGAACTAAGAGGCCTCAATTCTGATTCTTTTAAAGTGTAAAGACGCTTGCATGCGATTGGCTGGGAGTCGTTGACTCAATTAAAACAAAGTCTGACCATGTTGGATCAGAAGGGCGTGAGACTCCTAGTTAGCCTGATCCTGCACTCCCGCGGACAAAACGGTTCTCACCCGTCTGGCACAATCGCATCATGGGACTTTCAACTCAAGATAATGACAAGATGGCATCGTCAACTTTGGTAAGCGAACCATTTCATTGCAAACGTTGACAATCTCCAAAACCACGTTTTGCTCCTGGCTCTCATCAATGCGAAACGAAACTCCAGGGCGACTGAAACCATGCTATAGACTGCTTAGCCAAAGCGAGAATGGCTCAGGCACCGCCACATCTTCCTCACGCGATGCCGTTCCCGCCTGTCCACCTGCGTGCGTGAGCTGAACTAGAGTTAGCCACGTCTCTCGGGAACAATAGCGCCTGTTGTGCCAATCAGAGCCCAATCCAGGCCAGCAAAAACCGGTACTGGTGCAAGCTGCATCTCGCAGGAACACACTAAGGATGCGAATCCCAGGCTCGGTACGGCATCCAAGGGCCACCAGGCAGAAGGCGAAAATGCATGGACGGCTTCTCATTCCTGCAATCGAAGATGGAACATCTTTCCTCTTCAATCACCTCGTTCTACAGCCTCCATGAGATGAAGCCTTCGTGACGCTTCTGCGAAATCGACAAACATGTCCCACCCCGACGGATTTGCAGGCCCGGGGCTGCCAGGATTAATGCCCCCGCGTCAGGGCGCGTATCACCAGCTCGTGTCCCTAAGGAGAAAACCTGTGCCGGCGCGAGCGGGGCCATATCACCAGAGTGTGTTTCCTGTCCTGGATTGATACGACGTAGACGGGGCTTGGCTGACGGGGCTTAGCTGCGCAAAACGACGAGCAAGCAGAGATCGAGGACGAAGACGAGGCTCTATCGGTTCCAACACTTTACGGGTCTCATGAGGGCATAGTGGCAAGCGGTGCAGGTTTCGACCAGCCTTCACTGGCGCCTCCTCCCAAATGGCCGCGGAATTCTCCTCATTCGGCTCTCTGGGCGCCGATATGGCTTAGCAAGGTCACTCTCATCGCCTTTGCCGTTACATTCATATTGATGTTGCTGGCCACGGCTTTGCTTTTTCACTTTTCTGAAATTCACAACGGAATTAGCGTTCAGCGGGAGGCGAATCACTACGCCTGGAAGTATGGCCCAACTGCGGGTAAGTTGCTGCAGATGGCATTTTTCTCTCTGGGTGCTAATCATAGACTCATCTAGTTCTTGTGGTGGTGGGAGCCCTGTGGCGGCAAGTTGACTTTGCAAACAAGATCCTGATGCCCTGGGAAGAGCTGAGAACAGGCCCTTCGTCGGCGGACAAGACATTGCTCCTGGACTACATCTCCCCACTGCTTCCCGTTAGTCTTTGGAAGGCTATCAAGAATCGACATTGGGCTGTAACATTATCCATGACTGGTCAACTGCTAATACTAGGCACTGTTCGTCTTTCCTGAGGCTTTTGCTCCTCTGTCGTCTTTCTCAACTATATACTAATGCTATGCTAGACTATTTTCTCAACCGGTTTACTCATTCTAGAGCCAACTCAGATGTCCAAAGGCGACCAAAAGTTTGAACTATCGTCAGAATTCCAGTCAAATCAATCTGTCGATCCCAAAGTGGCCTGGTCGGTCGGCCCAGGCCCCGCGCAGACTTACTATGGCATCAACTTCTATGGACTGCGTTATCCGCCTGGCACGGCACAAGACTTTATTGTCCCCGAGTTTCAAGTTCCATCGATGGCCGCTACTAATCTTGACTATACAATGAATACGGACGGCCTCAAGGTCAACTATGATTGCGAAATCCTTCCTCTTACTAATGGTTCCACGGCTTATATGCCATGGCGAAGTATAATGGCGCCATTCATTGTTGCCAACGTCACTACTAAAGATTGCGACATCAAGGGGGTCACTCTGGCTGAAGGCCCCGATCATGGCTATTATCATAACCCAAATGCGACACAGAACTATCAGGCTCAGTTTGCTGTCTACCCTTGCAACTATGACTTCGATTTCAGTAAAGGATATATACCCCGCGGCAATTTATCCTTGGAATTCCAAGTATATAACATCAGCAGAGATTTACGTCTTTTCATGTCCGTGGTTGATGTCCGCATTTCGGCGCGTGATCAGTCTCCCGAGTACATGTACCTCCACAACGTCACATCTGCCCTCTGCAAACCATCCTATGAGGTTGGCCATTTTGATGTTGGTGTCCCAAACGCCGTCAACGGATCCGCCCATGCTCGTTTCTCATCGCCAGCGAATACCCCAAAGACTCTGAAAACGTTTACACAGGGATCACTCGCCTTGGGCGTTGTATCTTCGAGCAATTCTTGGGAACTAGGCAACGGAGGAGTTGATTATGTTATTTCAGCGACTGTGCCGACGTTTTTCCAACTCTTGTCAAAGAAAGCTAGGGTGGAATCTATCGGAAGTTTTATGGATCCGCATCTTCTTGTCAATACAGGATCCGAAGTATTTAAGGGAATTGGCACTCAGGTTTTGAACGAAGTCATCGTCCAGCCGGCGAATCGTACTGCCACTGGAAGCATTACCTATGTGGAGCAGAGGCTGCACGTTAAAGGGCTTTCGACCGGCTTCATGTGTAGCTTTCTTGGACTGTTGGCCATCTTGTCTGTGGGAATGGTATTCGCCCGGCCATCGTTTACGGCTCCGGACCGTCCAGGGTCGGCTCTCTCGATGGCTACGCTACTCGTCTCAAGCTTTCATCTCAACCGGATCTTGTCACCGATGGGTGCTTCGAGCAACGAAAGGCTACAACAGCGCCTTGCGGAATACCAATTCCGAACAGCCAATGTTTCTGATAACGGCGCGATTGTCTCTATCGAACCAATTCAGCGGAATGAAGGACGGGCCATGAGCCATCCTCTTGAAACAGTTCAAGGCACAGTGCCGTCATGGCGGCCCATGGCTAGTACCGCCTGGTTCCTTGCTATTGCGATATCTTTACCACTGCTCGTCATTGCATCTCTGGAGATTGTTCAGCATTTTTCCGATATAAATAATGGATTTTTGAGCATCAGCCAATCGACCTCACTTGCGTTTGCTACCTACATCCCTTCAGCTGTCGCCTTAGGAGTAGCTGGCCTCTATAGCGCTATGGAAATGATGGTAGCGATCTTTGCTCCCTATGCACCTCTCAAGCGTGGAAGAGCTAATGCGGAGAGAACTATTTCGCTGAATCTTGTTGGCCAATTGCTCCCTCGTGCCTTTTATTTATCATTCAGAACAAAGAATTTTGCGGTAGCTATCGCACTATTTGGCACCTTGATTGGAAGTTTTCTGTCCATTATTGTGTCAGGTCTGTATAGCGCAACCAGTGTCGCAATTATCCAAAATATCACAGTTTATCAAGGCGACACATTCAACTTTAATAACGCAGACCTTTCACTAGATGATAATGAGGCCACTGCTATTGACAATTTAATCGAATATCTCGGCTTGAACAGTACAAAATGGAGTACAGGAGATCTTGTCTTTAATGTCCTCGATCAAAACGCCATTTCGACGACGAATTCGAGCGACAACATACCATTGACGATTAATGTACCTGCCGTAAGGCCATCGCTAAACTGTACCTCGATACCGAATGAGGATAGAAAAGTGACAATACTTAATCAGGACGACTCGGGGATGTTCGTAATGCCTGGGCAAAGCAATCCTGTGAGTCCCTACTTGGGGTATGTTTGGGTCGGGCTGAATACAACGATGAGATATACCGATTGGTGTGAGACTGCGCCCAAAGGAGCGAAAAAAGAGGAGCCATGGATGCAATACTTTATGCTTCCCAACGATACCAGCATGGCATACGTTGGCAAAGGCTCGATCATTGCATGGAGTAACGACCTTGTTTATGGAGATGGAGCGTTGGATACAAATCCATCGTCGGGATCGGCGGGCAATGGAGTCCAGATAACAGACGATGGATGTCCGACATTTGCCGTTACATTTGGTCTCATGAAATTGAAGAAGTCGGGTAAAGGAGCCAAGGCCAAAATCATCGGGTTCGAGCAAGATCTCGCCACCCTTGTCTGTTATCAGAACATTGTGCAGGTCATGACAAATGTCACTTTGCAGCTTCCCCAGTTCAACTTCGATCCCACTCAACCTCCTAACACAGATGAGAGTACAGCGAAGTTCTTAAAGACCAATCGCAGCAGTGAGAGGTTTCCGTTCTTGCCAAACGCGTGGCTGAACGGTTTAAGTACTCCTCTGTTTAATCAGACCGTTCCTGGTCCAAACAACACCGACCCGATCATGAATCACATAGATACCTTCATTGAAGCTCTAGTTCTGACTAAGAATGGTCGGCTAGCTAAGGAGCTCGCAGGCGCCAAGAATGTAGAGAACCTCAAGAATGCTACGCAACGGCTTTACAGCGTGTACATGGCTCAAGCCATATCTCTAAACATGCGCGACAACAGTACCGCTAGCAGTAAGGGCTCTTTACCTACATATGATGGCGTAGTAACAACAACTGGTCATCGGCGGCTGCAGCAGAATCGCGGGCCCAAGATTGCGCTCCAGGTCGTTCTCGGAGTCATGGTTGCGTGCGGCATCGCAACGAGATTGCTTTTACCGGTGCGAGATGTATTGCCGCATAACCCCTGCTCGATTGCCGGGACGGCAACGTTGATGGCAGGCGGAGAGGTGGTTTCTCAGCTGGTCGACCAATTTGTGTCTGGTAGACATCTGAGTGCAAAAAGCCTGCCGGTGGATGGACTATATAGTTTGAAGTGGTGGCGGGATGAGAAGGGCGGAGACCGATATGGTATTGATCTGGAGCCGTCATTATAGCCGGAAGGTAATATAGCACTCTGTGTTAATAGCAATAATACGTGTTTAAACTTGAGCACATGAGATGGTGTCGAAATCGAGGCTGGTGTCGCCAGCATTCAAGTCATAAACTAATTAACATTGACCATATATGAACAGTTATGCAATAGAAACAAAGTATTAAAGTACAAAGTTTTAAACAAACGACCGTTCTTCCTTTCACCCATGTATCATCTTGAAAGCGGATCAAGCGCGATGTTTGCAAATGATTGGTCGCTGCGTGGTGTTTCATCCTTTGGGCGGCGCTTAGAATCAGTGCGTGCAGACAAATCAAGTGGTGGATGAAAGAGGCAAGACAGGCAGGGGCAGAAACCAGGCTGTGCTTAAAAACGAGGCGAACTGCTTGAGCTGAGATTTTAGCTCACTTGCATTGTGTTTCCCTCGGCGTCGTTTCCTTCTTTCTGCTACTTTCTTAAGTTGTGCTACATTTTGGGCTCTGTTTTCAGTGGTGCTTGCAGGCGTGTTTTCTATTAGTCTTTGCGCGTCTTCCATTCCATTCAAGAGCGATTACACAACACAACCCAATCTTCCTATAACCATCATGATATTACTTCTATTCTTATATACGCTTGTTACTTTCGTCGAATTCTCTTCCTCCACAGTTGTCGTCACAATCACCGCCGCCCCAGCCATCCCCTCCGGCGAACCATCCTACTCCAACCCTACATCTTTTACTTCTGCAATTCTCAATTCGACAAATACCTATCGCCGCGAATACAACGCTTCTTCATTATACTGGAACACCACCCTAGAAAAATTCGCTACTGAATATCTTCAATCGGACACAACCTGTCGTTTCGCCCATTCAGGCGGTCCATACGGCGAGAATATCGCCATTGGTTACGCGAACGCAACCGCGGCGGTAGAGGCTTGGGGTAACGAGGACGAGAAATACAATTTCAACCATCCTGGCTTCACGGAAGAGACAGGACATTTTTCTCAGCTGGTCTGGAAAGCGACGAGGGGCGTTGGGTGCGGGAGGAAGTTATGTGGTACGAGAGGCTGGTTTGTCGTGTGTGAGTATTGGCCGAGGGGGAACGTAGGGGGCCAATATGAGGAAGAAGTTAACAGAAAAGTTGAAGAAGGACGAGGGACGAGACTGAGCGGTGGTGTTGTTGCTGCTATTGCAGTAGTGGTGAGTTTGCTGCAGTGCTGTATAGTTGTGGTGGTCTTTTGGTGGTTTGGGACTATGATGAAGTGACTGGGAAAACTCTGTTGTTGTGTTTACTGTACATGGCCTTTTTAAAAGCATTTATTTTGTAATGGTATTGTGTTAACGGCGTTAGAGACTAAGGAATACGGTAGTGTTCATAACCAGCTTCCCACTAATGTCTGTTGACGACATGCTGCGTCTGTTGGTAGTTCATCTTGAGTAATATTAGAGGGATTTACAAAATATTTGCCGGAACCAACTTGGATAAAATGTATGGACCTTAAGCGTTCACCAACGCCTGACTAGTTACTTCATAGCTTTGATCTCGATCAGCATTTCTGCCGGCAATGAAAAAGTTCAGATGGGCAAATTCAGGCGAACTCACTTTTCTCTCTGGTGAATCACAAAGAAGGCTATACATGAGCATCGCAGCACCTTAAATGGGTTGACAGTAGTGTACTTTCCTCCATTTGTATCTGTGTATTTTTCGTGCTGTTTTGAATTGTCAGAATTACGCACCTGTTTACACACACGTATCCAATGGGCGGCCATCAACGTTTATGTTGGGGTATTGAGAGTTGGGAGTTGGGAATCGGGAAGCCTGTGGAGTAAACACATACGGCTTCGCCTCCAAGTGTTTTTATACGTACCCTCGTGAATTATAAGAGTTTTTCATGGTCTTAGGTATACTAATACATTGACTACTGTCGAAAATATACCTCGTTTGTGCTGTACCTATTCTGCTTTTGCTGGAGTGTCTTTCTTGAGAAAATCATTATAACTTTAGTATAAAGTCGTCAGTTAATCAATTTCTAATCAATATTCGGTACTTTTAGTCATTTATAATGGGAATAGAGTTTTGAAGGCCGCATTTTTTAAAGTGGAAGAGAGTAATCAACATTGTTACATGGAGCTACATGTTGGTGACCATTACAATAAAGTACTAAGGCATACAGCTTCCCAACGAAATACATGTCGGTAGAATATTGCACCCAGTTACGGAAGCTCGTTACTTAGCTTTTCTGTATACTGTCGATCGCGAAAATAACTTCTCCATGCCGCGTCTTGGTCATGCTGTGCGGGCGATCGGCCGGTCATCATCGCCGGTTTTCGCAGCTTACTTAGCTCGCCTAATTGAAAGTTACAACAAATGACCTGAATCCTGCCGCGACTCCCACGAATAGCAGCTCAAGAAGCTAGCTAGGTCTTTGGTTTAGTAGTCTGAATATATCGTAGCTCCGTAGTTTTAAGTTTATCCCCTGCATGAGTGTCTTATATGAAGAATCCTAATCAATGTCGATCCCTACGTTAAGATTTGGTCAGTGTCGATCACTACGCTAAGGGTCTGTTGTTGAGGAGGTAGAAAACTCAAATGCACTATATTGGTAGTACTCTGATACTAGGTCCTCGAGGATGTGTATTATAATTCTAGGCAATAGAACGGAAGAGTATCGCTAGGACAACAAGGGACATCTCGTATCACATTTTCCCTGTATAGCCGAATGGTTTACTACACTCTAATCTATTACAAAATATATCCAATATGTATTTTGGAGATACTTTATGTGGACAAATAATTTTATTACGACCATAGGTTAATGGATACGAGATTCCCCTAAGCCACGGGGGTAAATTGCAAGGTGATCTGTCTTAACTTATGCATGAGTTGCAAGCAGTGGAACAATAATCATCGTTGGTATTATATCATTTCTCAAGCTACCCCTACTGAAGTTTGAGCTTCTATATCCGATTGCCAAAACATCCATCACATTAGGATGGCTAAGGTAAAGTATAACAACTTAGCGTTCTGTAACCCCGGTTCTCTTTGAAGTTTCCAAGAGATCGTTGGGCACGGCCCAAGATATAAAACGCAGCAACATTCCCACAATCCCCAGCACACCATTCCATTAACTCCTACCCGTCTTCACTTTACAATCCAGTTACCATTGTCCAAGTCTCAGCTCATTATTTCTACTTTAACAATATGAAGTCCACTACCGCCCTTCTTGCTCTGGCTGCCACTGCCATCGCCGTGCCCACCACTGGTGGCAACAAAGGGAATGGTAGTGGTAAGGACAACAATGGCGGAAACGGCGGAGACAGTACCTGCAACACCAACCAGGTTGCAGTTTGCTGTAATGGTCTTCTGGGAGGCATTCTCTGCAATATTGGCATCCTCGGTAACAGCTGCAGCAGCGGCTCATACTGCTGTGATTCGAGCGCAGAACAGGTGAGCTACAGCTCGACTTATCTCAAATTTCCCTGAATTACCACTAATTACAAAATGTGATACCTAGGGGGGTCTTCTCAACCTGAACCTTCTCAACTGTGTTGCTCTTTAATCAGAATTTGCCTTGCAAGAGGTCCATGTGACATGATTCTTATGGTCAGCACAACGAGATCGCCTTTGTCGACTTACACCAGGATCGATGGGAGCCAACATCCATCCGCAGCGGTTCAGACACATCAACTGGAATTTCAGGTTCCCTACTCTATGCCCATTTCAATAGCTTAGATAGCCAGTTGTTAGCAAAGTATTCAATCAGTTTTGGTATTAAATATCGACTATAACTGTGAATAAACATTCCACTGAATCTTGACCATCGTCGTATTCCTCATCGGAATTCGTCATACAGTACTAAACCATGATAGATCTGTGACTCTAGCTTGGGCTATGTATTTACCACATCTTACACTGTAGTTATCCCGGTGATAATGTTGGGCTAATACTGGCGATGTTGTTCAGAACAGCTGGAGGGCTATAACATCTTCAATATGTCATATAGCACACGACTTTTCATGTGGATTGCATGGTAAAAGTACTGGTGGAAAATAATCCTATTCAGCAACGGAATACACTACATGATGGAAAGTATTCACTGCCTCTGTAGCCAAGGATAAAATACTAGCACGATTCACAGCACCATACGAGTCTAGGTAACTGTCTGCATTATTAGTACATTACCTACATGTACGAGGCTGAATTGGACTAGAAACTTCATGTTTGCTGTGGGGTTTATTATCAGCAGTCTAGGCAGAGATACGAAGCACTGTGAGATACCATTATATCTTCCGTTGCGATTTGTTCATAAAGGAGACAGAAAAGGGGAACCTGAAAGAATCAAGCCTTTCTATCTTCTTCAATCTGCTTCTCCAATACAGTAATTGAACTTAAGATAATTTGTGTCGGTATGGACAACATATGAAGCTTATCCTCTGTGGCGCAATTGGCTAGCGCGTCTGACTGTTAATCAGGAGGTTGGAAGTTCGAGCCTTCCCGGAGGAGATTAGCATCTTTTTTGTCTCTTTTGACATTTTTCTCCCATTATTTACGCCATAAATCATTGTGGCATATAAGTCGAAAATGTTGAGTCATTATATATCTTGTGGTATAAACGCTCGCAAGAATGGGAGAGAGTTTTGTTTTGTATGTTCAAGCTCATTCTGCGCCTCAATGCTTCAGCAACAATGACAGGTGGCAATGCCATGCTGAAGTAGGATAATAATAAATGAGGAACCACATACATCCAAATACATGCATTAAACTCCGACCTGCATGCCTTGACAATTACAATATGTGGCAACCCTGTAACACCGAGGCCGATAGATGAAGATGTAGAGTTATCTGCAGATATATCGAGCCTCCTGACAAGGAAACGAGACCGGTAAACTTGAGCACTTGACATAACGGAACATCCTCCAGCCAGGAAACCCGCCAACTGGCTAAGGTGTGTCGGGTTGCCACATACTTCATAGTTGGCCCATTGTAATATTTATTGCGAAGACTACCTGTACACTTCCTAATTCATGCAAAATCATCAGACGGGTCAGCAACCAACAGTAGTTTTCAGCCGGGTGCAATCAACCGGCTATGTTGCATGTACTAGTAGTACTGTAGAATCTGCAGGAGACCGGATTTTCTCATTTCAGAGGTGGATTGTGACCCAACCAACACCCCGAGGCTGACGGCATTCCCGGACAAGAACCAACAACAGCTGAAGTTTTTTTGTCGGAATCCATGTCCCGTGAGAAATTGGGATGCTGTACGAGGAAACTGTGCGAATATTGCCTAATTCGGTAGGCAATTCAGTTGCACTAGTTCAACGAGCCGGGAACTAGGCAGATCTCCAAGCTGGCGTTTGTGCTTCAATTTTGGTGAGTTTGCGTGGGATAAAGGAAAGCCGCCGAATGGCGGACCACGTTTTGACAGCATTAACCTCGTCGATATACTCGTCGGCTCTACTTCATGGCCAGGGTGAAGCGAGGACCCCAGACGATCATCATGGGGGTTTCATTACCAATGGTGCAAAATCGCGCAACAACCTTGAAGATTGCTGCAGTTTCACGGCCACTGATGCCGAAAAGAGCATACTTCCCAGGGGCTTGCAGATGACGGCCGACGCGCTGACAATGGCTTCAGGGACTGTGCAGATGCGGAAACTCATCCTTGCTTCCTGGTACTGTAATGCTTGAACACTACAGATGGCACCACCCACCCCTGTTGGTCTGTTGGTTCACATGGGAATGAATCCTTCCCAGGTACTTGGCTTGGGCATGCTTGGAGTAACATCAATCCTACGGATGGAACGTTGGGCGACGATTATAATAAACCAACCTTATGCCTTCATGGCTGATGCGCGGACACCTTGTCTGTGTCGGAAGACGGCAGCTTCTTTTACATCGCTCGACAAGTTCCAGGATTCGGATCTGAAGAGAAGATTCCCGTTCAGGAACCAAGAAAGGAGCTCCGCTACGCGTTTCTGGAACGAGCTAGCTGGCCCGCAGAAGCCAGCCTCCCCCGAATAGTTCGCAGGACTCCATCGAATTTTGTCGAAATTGACAAAGGAGTCGTATTGGTTGTTGGTTGTTGTTAGTTGCCGGGTTCCTGAAGACCTGAGACTGCTAAGGATCCGATATTCCGGCCGCCCACATCAGGTAGATTTTGCGATTCTTCTTATATTTAGCTTGTTTTACCTTCTCGTGTGATGATGACGGAGCCGAGTAGCACTCCTTTCCAAACATCGGCAGAGGAAGCGTCCGCCATGCTTTGGGATTACATCTTCGTCGGAGGTGGCCTCTCGGCCTCGGTTGTGTCTAACCGTCTCCATCACCTCGACCCAGCACTCAAGATCCTCGTCATTGAAGCTGGAGCCAACGCCAACAATGACCCCAGCGTAGTGTACCCCAACTCTACAAACCTCATTGGAGGGGAGTATGATTGGAAGTATCAGACGATTCCGCAAGTGAATTTGGACAATCGGCAGGTTGATCTGCCTTGCGGTAAAGCTCTTGGAGGTGGCACTGTCATCAACTCAGGTAAACTAGAATTTCCACTCTTATACATGCACTGGCGACGACTCCACGTGAAAAGATACAGCTTAGCTGTGTTGCAGTCATGGGAGAGCGCAATGATCAGAGAGCACCCATCTGCTACAGCTGAAGACTGTAGACTAATGCGAGCTCACAGGTGGCTGGATTCGCGGTGACAAGTTTGACTTCGACTTGTGGGGTGATACAGTTGGCGACCACCGCTGGTCTTATGCTGGTCTGCTCCCGTATATGAAGTTGACTGAGACCGCTCCTGTCAATAACCCTGCTGAGCATGGCTCAGATGGCCCTATGCACATCCAGGGCATAGTCTCGACTCACCGAGAATTCCCTTTGCGCAACAAGACTCTTCAATCATGGCAAGAGGTTGGCGTCCATCTGCTCCCTAACAACGATGGCAACGCCGGCAACCCTCTTGGCATTGGCGATCTCTTCGAAAACAAAAATCAGGGTCGCCGCGAGATAGCTGATAATGTATTCAATTTGACCGGCATAACTGTTCTCACGGAAACTCTAGTATCCAAGGTCCTTCTAAGCACTCCCAAAGCTCATCAGGCCCCCGAAGCCACTGGAGTCCAGCTCGCAAACGGCACCAAGATTCAAGGCAAAGAGATTATCCTCGCAGCTGGCGCTATCCGGACTGCCCAGCTCCTTATGCTCTCTGGAATTGGACCATCTGATGAGTTGCACAAGTTTAAGATTCCCGTCGTTCTAAGCCAGCCCGAAGTCGGCAAGAATTTTGCGGACCACGGTCTTTTTGGAGCACTCTGGAGCCTGAAGGATCCCTCTGCCGGATATGCTATCGGATCTGCTAACCCGCTCTTCAATGAGCCTCAATATGGTTGGGGCACACCAGCTGATTTCCTCGTCTCCACCGGTATCACCGACAAGGCTGGACTGGCTGCTGCTATCGAGAAGGATGAGGGCAAGAAGCCCGATCCCAAGAAGCACCCGCTGCTGAAGCAGGACCGCACTTTCAACGAGCATGTATTTCAGTATGCTGGTACTCCAGACGGCTCATCTGTCACTTTTGCTCTGATCAACCTCTTGCCCACATCCAGGGGTAGCGTCACACTCAAATCCGCCAACATCAATGATGTGCCCAACATCGATCCCAACTACCACGCGACTGAGGTTGACAAGTTTGTTGCCCGCGAGGGTATTCGTCTACAAATTGCATTTGCCAACTCTAACGCTACTGTAATTGGTCGGGATATCATTGCGGGCGAGCTTGGCGCTCCAGGTTTCAATGAAACATTCACTACAGAGTCAACAGATGCTTACATTGATTCACGTATTGCTGCTGGCCTTGGGTAAGTACAAACGCTTTATGTTATACCACAAAATCTAACAGTTTGCCAGATCTACATTCCACCCCATGGGAACTGCAGCTATGGGCAAGGTGGTTGACACCAACCTTCGAGTTAAGGGTATCAACAAGCTTCGTATTGTTGATACCTCGGTTTTCCCTGTTGTCATTACCGCTCATCTTCAAGTTGCTACATACGCAACAGCGTACCAGGCAGCTGATATTATTTATAGTAGTTATAATTGTTCCAAATAGGCTACAAAGTCTACAATATTATTTAATCAGGGAAGTTAGAGTTAAATAATTCGAAGAATAATAAAGATTTCGGAAGACTGCATTCTGCGTTATGGAAACTTTATCTGTGATAGATCTACGAGCATCATTTTGTCAGGTCATTGATCAAAAAACCATCATTAATGGGAATTAACACGGCCAAAATTGATGACCAAGAGCTTATTAACTAAACAGGATAAATATGATATATATTTATCTAAATTCTCTTCTGTTAGGAATTTCTCGGCTCAGTAAACATAGCGAAAGTTCGGATTCTCTCGATCGGTCAAATCTTCAAAAGCCAGGTCATGACTAATCTCGGCAACCTGCGTTGCCTTGTGTCGGTTCCTTGCTAGAAGAACAATCCTTGTTACCACTACCAAGAGCAGATACACTCCGTAAACGACAAGGTGCACAACAAAACCTGGTAGATATCTAGGAGCATCCTTCTCCTGGAAGATCTGCGGGGCGATCAGGTTGCCCACAGCCCAGCCAACAAAGACTAGAGTCATGGTAATGCCCTTCTTCGTTTGCCCAGCTATGTTACGTGTGACGAGAGAAATAATCATGTTACCCTGAGCAAGGAAGAACTGTGTACAGTAGAAGGCAATAAGCATCCCACCGGCATTTGACGCAGTTGGAGTAACGACGAGAATGACGATGGTACCGACAATAGCTGGGATAGTCCAAAGCTGTGTTATGGCGATGCTGTTAGTAAAATTCACCACATTGGGTAGAATTGTGTGGGTTAAACGTAGTAGAGCGAGAGCTTACCAGCATAATGAGACATGTCTGCCCAGATTTTTGAGATGCCCATGCCGATGAGACCATGACAATTATTGTCAACCCACCCTGGGCAATATTGAGAAGCTGTGTCTGGAGCAGCGTAAAGCCAAATTGTTCGATAATGAGGTTGGAGAAAACGCCAAGTCCGCCAATGACCAAATTTGCAACTGTAATCAGCAGGACGCAACACCAAACAAGAGGATCCGTGAGTGCCTCGATAATCTGATACTTTTTGTATTTCTTGTTTTGGATACCGGTCTCGTTGTGGCGCACCCGTTCGACCATAAGACGCTTATCTTCTTCACTGTAACACTTGGCTTTCATAGGGCTGTCGGGAAGAAGGATGGCTATGAAAATGGACCATACGACTGCCGCTAGGCCGAGGACGAGGAAGAGCAGTTGCCAGTTTTTTATTGGACCGTTGGTGAAATGCGAAACACCAAACGCAAGGAGACCGCCAACCTGTATTGCAATCAGCAATCAAACTATGGGGTGTAATACGAGGAGGCTCGTTGACAAAGGATAGCCTCATATATATTTCATACCATTAGTTGCAGTCCTGTCATGCAGTACCAGAGTGAGTTCAAAACAGATTGTTCTTCTCTCGTATACCACATAGATGTCCTATAATATCAGACTTTCATCAGTCTCCAGTCTTGCAGAAGAGGCGTTGCCTCCCCAAAATAGACCAACTTTGGAACAACTTACAATAACATCATTGCTGGCTGCACACAACTCTCGAAAAAGCCCAACAAAAACCGAAGAGCCATGAGGCCACCAAAGCTGGTCGTCGCAGCGGAACATGCCACCACGGTTCCCCAACAGAACACATTGGCAGCAAGGAGTTTCCCTAAGGGCAGTTTCTGCAACAAAAAGTTTTGTGGATATTCTCCTGCGAGGATACCCAGGTATAAAATTGTTCCAAGCCACGAATACTGGAACCTGGTTAGATGTGGCCGCCGCAAATAGACACATTTGAGTGAGTATGTGCCAGTGATGAAATGTGACTTACTTGTTGCCCCACGAGATGGGCATCAGTCTTGATACCCATGATAGACGCAAAGTTCAACGTTCCCTTATCCAAGGACTGGCAGAAGTAGGTGATCAGCTGGATCACAAGAATACGCCGGTTAATCTTCCAAAACAGGCGCTTGTTGGTCGCCGCGTCAATCTCAATCCCCGGACCATCCACATAGCGGCTGGTTTCTTCATCGCCGTCGAGAGACTTCTCCGATATGCCAGGCACCTCTTGATGGGTGGCCTGCGGGGAAGCTTCCATGTCCTTGGAGGCGGCCATTATGAGATTCTGACACCGGATTTCACCGTCTATCGGAGTGTCGAGGGGAGAAATGCAACGTCATGACACAACTCCCAAGTGACTGCATGTCGTCTATGATTCTCTCGCTCCTTGATATATATCCTTCATCGGTGGCATGATACTGCAAATGGCTGAACATCGTCGCTTTAGCCGAGTGGCGTAACTGGCCTCGGAGTGCCCCGAGTCTTGTTCCGACCTCCGCAAGCCACGAATATGCCCCTGCTAGCGTTTGTCCACTTCGACCCACCCCGCGGCCATGATGCCGGATGGTGGCCGACTGGACGCTCAAGTCAGAGATAATGAAGATGTCCCCGTTAAGAAGTTTTGATTCGATGTTGTCCTATGGAATGAGGAGTCGATCGAGTTTTCAAAGATCACTTGGTTTTTGCCGATAACTTGTTTTTAGCCGACTTACCAATCTTCATACAAGACTACTATCCCCTTCTCTTGAATGATACCATTTTTAAAAGCGAACCTGCTAACAAACAAGATTCGATTTCTTAAAGATGCTACAACTAGAACCCGTTGCTGCTGCGGCTGTCACTAATGGCACAGATAAATCTCAGAAGCGCCCTGAATGGCTGCTGGACCAAGTTGGACATCACCCATGACTCCAAAAATTGTACGAATATGACAAAGACTGACCTGTAGGTTAAGAACCCGGCAGAACAACATCTTTCCAGCACATTAGCCACAGACCATCAACATCTTACGAACGGGAAGCACCCTAAACAATCGCTTTTACAAGGGCTTTATTCAAGCAATGTGGTGGCCAAGATATGGGGAGTAGCAGCGCCTGCTCTGTTCAAGGTATGTGCTATAGGTGTGGAATATTGTAGAGCTGCTCGTCTGACTTTGGTGCCATAGTCAGAGCCGCCTACTCTATACCCCGAGTATACCAAACCGGGTGGTACGCGATACGTATTTCGGGAACTCGATTTCTGGACGTCGGGGTTTTTCCCTGGCAGTCTATACTTACTCCTCGAGAGAGAACGACGCTTCAAGCGAGAGCTTGCTATGATACAAGAGCCATCAATATCTTCTTCGACTTTCCATCCTATGCATCTCGAGTATGTTTGTAGCTTGCATCTTATTCTAGTGGAGGCATTTTAGAAACTAACGTTAAATTGACAAGATTCGCTTGCAAGTGGTGGACGACCAATCTCCATCAAAATTCGACGCTGGCCTCCACCCATGACCTTGGCTTCATGATCTTCCCATGGGCAAAGCTCGCCTGGACACTCGATCACGACGTACTTGCGCGAGATACTATAATACGAGCATCAAAAATGTTGGCATCGCGATACGTGCCAGCTACTGGCGCGATACGATCCTGGGATACTTGCACGACGTTGCGGTATTCGTTCACAGATCCGACAAAGGACTTTCTCTTCATCATTGTAAGGCTCATCATACCGCTGTCTTCATCTTGATCACTTATTCTAACGATTAATTTGTTTTTCCCACAAAGGATAACATGATGAACTTGGACATGCTCTTCTGGACGGCCTCGGAGACTGGAGACCAAGAAATGTACCAAATCGCCGTGAACCATGCGAAGAAAACGCAAGCATGTCACATCAGGGCCGATCACTCCACGACACATCTCGTGGTCCTCGATCCAAATACTGGTAGCATCAAATCTCGACTGACAAACCAAGGATACTCTGACACATCGTCATGGACGCGTGGTCAGGCGTGGGCCATTGCAGGCTTTGCGCAAACCTACAACTGGACGCGAGATGCATCTTTTCTCGAAACGGCTCGAGCGTGTGCAGATTACTTTCTCAGTAAGCTGCCTCCCAATAGCGTGCCGCCCTGGGACTTTTGCACTCCAACGGATTCTGAGCAGCCCCCTGACACCAGTGCGGCGGTGATTGCTGCTTATGGTATGCTTCTCATCCACGAGGCACTTGTACAGCGGGGAGAGCAGTCGTCCTATTTCGAGAGTGCGATTAGAATAGTAAAAGCCATCTGCTCGAAACACATGACTCCACAGAGTTGTTTCATAACGACAACATCTACCTTGGATACCGTAGAGCAAAATACGCAGAACGTACAGACGGAGTTTACGGTAATCCAGAATGATACTATCCCACAGACCATTCTCGGAGGCGCCACAATCAACAACTACGAGTTTGCTCCAAGGCGCTGGGCTAATCATGGTCTTGTGTACGCCGATTATTATTTCTTGCTGCTTGGGAATAAACTCTTGGAGATGCAGGCAACAATGTCCTTATCTGATGTACTCATATAGGCATGAAACTCGTGCGGGCTCGCGCCAGGGTTAGATATGGATTACAAAGGGGCTACTTTTCACAAGTTTGGCAGATATACACGATTAGATTCTTGTAGTGGGATTGTTTGGGGCTAATTAAGATATTGAAACAGATGTAGAATTTGGGCAGCTCGTAATAAAATAGAGCTTGTCAGATAAGAAAGCCAATCGGTATCATTCAGAGTATTTTACATGTTGTTTGAATAAGAAAAAACGCTCACCCTCTGATCGGGTGGAAAAGATGGATCGAGAAAAGCATCAACACCGTCATAAGAGTGAACTTCCGCCATCATGGGGTCTGCGGGCTGCACGCCTATCGCAACACCAGCCCGAGGAGAGTCAATTGGCATAGACTTTGAGTGATTGCTGTAGGATATCTGGCCCTGCAGACTCAGCGGTAAAGGTGGAAATGCCATCGAGATGCTGTCGGGTGATGCCCCGTGGAGATCACTAAGTGAGGGAGTGGGCACGCCGACGCCGGTAGTGTCAATGCCGTGGGTAAAAGAGCCTGGGCCTGACGCTGATCCTTCACGCCTGTTGGTGTTGACTGTCGTCTTATCAATGTACTGGTCGTCCGAATATACCGGCTCCCGTATATCGAGAATGTGTTGGTCATGCTGCCGTGCCTGCGTTAGCCGTGTGGCAAACTTGGACGCCAAGTTGTGTGTCTCCCCATTTGTATCGTCGCTAAACGGTCCGTTCCAGCGGCTAGAGATGTTATAAAGACTTGAAACCAGCGAGTTGAATGAAGGAGCCAGAGGCTGGCTGTGGTAAGAAGAATAGGCTAAAAGCAACCTCCCGCAGATGAACAGACAGAATGCGAACTGAGGGTTGGTTAAGGAAGTCGATCGTTGCAAATACGCTTCCGCAATGATACTCACTTCGGTCGCGGCCGCAAAGCAGGTCTCTGCACTCGAGAGGGATGGCAATCGTAGCCGTTGGCTCTGCCACTCGGGTAATGGGAACGCAATAACTTGGTGAAGTAGAATCACCGCGGTATTATGAGTCATGTGCGCCAGTGTGAGGTTGGGATCCATATTGCCATCTGCGTTGAGAACACACGCTTCCCGCCAAGGCTTGGGTAGAAAGATTTTCCATCTGATGTTGCCAATCATGATTAGTATGACTGATTGGCTATAAGTGGCCATATCCCAAATGGGCAACGACTTACTGGACCAACCGCAAGTCAAGCTGCTTGAAACGGACCAACCATAGCTGGAACTGGTGAGGGTCGCTAAAGTCTAGATCATGCTGAAGGAAGAACGAGGTAACCAAGCTCAGGCTCTCGGTTGCCTCGATACAGAAGGCGAAACCACCCAAGAGATCCTGATCCTCACCATCAGGTCGAGCTGTTGGGACAGCCGGATTAGCCCGTGACGTTAAGTCTGCGATGCCAAAGTAGGGCGTGGGTACATCGAGCGGCTGGCCACGTTCCCATAGGCTGCCTTCGCAAGGAAGTCTTCGTTTGACATCGGCACTGGTGAGAGAAAAGTTCCATCCCGTGGCAATGCTGCAGAAGCGATCCATTATAAAGATGTTCCAAAAGACGCGCCGGCGCTCTTCGGTCTCGCTCCAGCTGCGGCATCGGGGTAGAAAATTCATGCGCCTGATTAACGTCTTGGTGAGTGGCTTATTCTGGTCCTCTTCTTCCACACTGAGCTGAAGTTGCTCAACTGTTCGTGTCATGCTGCCAACAATCGACTAAGAAAGAATTAGATTCTCAGTTACTTGACCATCGCGTCCAAAATAATTACTCACCCATGCGGATGGTCCTCGTCCGCCGCCAATCTACCCGAAATATTCAGCAACATTATCAATAGAGATGCAGAAGCATAGTGGCAGTGACTGACCAAATCAAAAGAGCAAATAGTCAAAGCTTGTAGATTTTCCACCGAGAAAGACTCCATGCTGCGAAGTATTACTACTTGTCGGCATTGTCGAGCGTAGGCCGTCTTTTCAGCGCCCTGTCCGAGACGTGGGTCGTTGGAAAATCGTACACATAACGATGTAATGGCGTAGAAAATGGTAGACGCGCTTTCACGCCCATTGGGCATTAATAAACGCTGGCGAAAGTGCAGAACATGAAGCATTGGTATCCATTGGTGCACCTGTTCAAAGTATATCTCGATAAGTGCGTCCATGAGGTCGTCTGGCGGTAATCGAGCTTCACTGGTAGCCCCTGGTGTACTGCTACTGAGAGATTTCGGTAATTGTGATGGCCCAACCAAGTTCTGCGTCGCGGATTGTTGCTTGTTCTGTACAGTAGAAGCCAGTCGATTCCGCAATTGAGTAATGGACTGCTCCAAGTTTTCTTGTGTAAATCCATCCGGGCTTGTGTTCTCGACGCTTCCGCTCGTGGGAGAATTCAAGCCCCCAAACAATTGATTCCATAAGATGCTTTGGCCCAGGAACATTTGCTCCAGCGACGCTGAGTCAAGGAAATTAGCGGTCCGTAAATCACGAAAGGGAAGATGAAACGGCTCATCCCGTTTCGAATTCACTCACCAATCCTTTGGTTGATGCTTTCAATGGCGCCAGTTCGAACACCCGTTTTGGCTCTTCCGTCGTAGTAGACACACTCGACATCTGCAAGAGAATTTTTTAATGTCATGATTCTTGGGCTTTGTGCTAATTCACGTACTGTATCTCACGCATGCGGAACATGGCTGGGTTCTCGAGCATGCTGACTTTTTCTTTCGACAGTTCTGGCAAGCGGGACCTTCATTTTCCTGATTATCGTCCCTACTAGAGAGCTTTCGCTTTTTAGAGACGGCTTGCTTATCCTCAGAGCCGGTAGCGGAGCCCTGCACGTCCTCAGCTTCTGCATCGTCGACAGGCATCATGACCGGAGAGCATCCAGCAGAGAGCAGGCATGCCTCGCAGCAGAGCAATTGGCGATGATGTAGAGAAAACTAAGACTTCAAGCTTGTTGCCGGATAGTAGAGTGGAATGACATGGAGAAAAAGGTACGAGTACAGCAAATAGCACGGCAAATAGCGTCAATGGCTTCAACGACTTTATGGAGTCCCCGCAGTAGGAAATCGTGGGGTAGAGCCATGAGTATGGAGCAGAATCACATGATTGCAGGGGGGAGTTTTGCTCTGTGAGCCGATCAAAGACATGTTCGGATCATACCAGACCGATATACGAACTCGAAGGACCCAAAACTGCTAAACGAAGGCAATCCACATCACTAGGAAGCGTGTAAGCTCTCACGTGTGTGGGAGAAGCGGGATGCTCGGGGTATCTCCGAGACTTGGCCCGAGATACACACCGCCCAGACGGCCTATAAGCTAATAGCTAGTTCAGCTTTTGAACACCCCCGGCTCAGAGGCTACATTTGGAGTCGTCTTCAACATCTACGTACGAGAAATGTAATGCTATTAACAAATCTCACAGGACATCTCCGCGGGGTAAGTGTGGGGAAACCAGGATTCTCTCAATTGTTAGCAGCATTGTTGTACGATCTGGATGGCATCAATATGCGATTTGCTACATGTCCAAGGCCTTGCATGACGAATCCGTGGAAACCAGGTTCGATCTTGTTGCGAATAATACATTTATATAGCCGACGCTGAGTTCTTTATCCTTTGTTGTAGTCTAGGCAGGCAAACTTAGTTCAACTTCTTTATTCGCAACACGCCTGACATCTTCAGCCAACTTATTGAGGAAATCCCTATCGGTAGGACATCCACTCATCATTACGTTAACCAAATACGACAGAGTTTTCTCCATAGGCAAGCTGTAGACGGCTGCACTTGTAAGTCTCGAGGCATTTTCCGTACATAGCTGTGCCAAAGACTGACAAGGTCAAGAAAAGCGGTCGTTTGGCAACAATGTCTGCCATTGACGTGACAGACAGACGCTCGAATATCGCGGCGACCAAATTTGGATCGAATGCAACGCAAGGTTCTCTGCGTATCGACACAGCCTCGAAGCTCGTCAATACTATTTGTATACGTCGCCACTCGCATGAAGTCACTCAGGATATGAAACTTCTCAACCTTGGATCTAAAAAAATATCTCTCGGGCACTTTTAATCTCTTGTAACATAGATAGTATATATCTAACTAGACCCTGTCTTCTCATTTATATAACAGACACTTTGACGGGCTCCCGCAATGGCTAGGGCAAAGGTGCTCCCTTCAAAGTGTCAATCACGCCCTTTTCCAGCGAAATAAAGTCGTCCTGTCCGCCCCATTCTTGCAGTGCTTTCTTCGCTTGCTTTGTGTCTGCAGTTCCTAGAGGAACTTTGGTGATATCAGGGTTCGCGGGGAATGGTTTCCCTGGCTGATGCTTTCTTAGAATATCTAGTACATCCTCCCAGTAGAATTCGGTAGACCAGGCTGGAAGACGAGCGTTCTTGATAGTGGGGTCTAGGAGAGCTGCGATGTGGAGTAGGGCTACATCGCGAACATCAACGAAGATGGCTAGTTTGCCGGGAATTATGTCAGTAGATGAATGTATTAATTATAAACCAATTGAGATAGAGTGTCTGTGAAAAACTAATAGACAAGTACTCACACGTGGGGAAAAATTGCAATGCGGAGGGATCATTATTGGCAAGCCCGAAGAGCCACGCAGTAGTAGATCCGCCCTGACTGACATGCAATCGAGGGCCAAAAACAGTTGCCACTATAATGGTGTTGCTGGCGAAGCTAGGGTTTTCTTCTTCAACAAACTTCCAAAACGCCTGCTCAGCTTCTACTTTGCTCTGGATGTAGACAGGAAAGCCACGTTCAGGAGTGTATGGAGGAGGCGCCCAAGCAATGTCGCGAACAGCTTCATTCCAATTGGTGCCATCAAAATGGAAACCAGGCTGAAAAGGTAGCATTGACGTGGCGGCAATAGTCGAGGTATAAACGAACTCTTTGACGGATTTCTCGGCAGCAGCGGCCCTAGCTAGTTTAATAACGAGATCGATGGTCTCCGGAATGACATTATTTGGGTTGGGATCCAGAGTGTTTGGCGTTGCGACGTGAATTACACCATCAACACCCTTAACCGCTGCCTTGACTTGGCCTTCGTCATTGATGTCTTTAAGACCGACTAGGTGAAAACTGCCACTTGCCGTGTGCGTTGCAAACAGGTCGTTCGAGAGCCATTCCGACTTCACCGGGTCTCTGACAGTTCCTCGGACTTTATAGCCTCTATCAAGTAGTTGCTGAACGATTTGAGCGCTAATGTATCCAGAGACTCCAGTCACGAGGATTAGCGAGCCAACAGGCAGAGTTGTTTTAGGGGCCATTTTGTGATCTTGGGGATTGAGATTGCTTGTTGAGAACGAACGAGGCTGGTCGCAGACTATCTTTGAGGAGGAGATTGACAGCTATTTATGTTTGTTTCACTGATACAGCTTATGTGACACATGGAGCCTATCCCAAGAAATAAGAGTAGAACGCACCCAGTATCTCTATACTTTGCGTTACACCTGTTACCATACCATACATCCTATACCATTCGCCCTTACTAATATCCTATAAAAATAGCTATTATTGCGTTCATTTGCTCCTCTTTTGACTAATTATCAAGTCGAAATCACAGCTTGTTAGCCAACAAGCATTGTTTCGATAGGCGATGACCCTTTCTTCCCATACTCTTCGTAATGCGCTCTGCTGATAAATCTCTATGGCGCCTTCATTCCTCCGATAAGATGATTAATACATAAAGGTTTCAAATCCACTGAGGCACCATCAAGGTGAATAAATCGCTAACTGTGACTTCTTACATGGGGAGACCATGGGGATGATGCGTTTGGCGGCAAGAATTTCCGAAGCTAAGAGCAGATGAAGATATCTAAACCTGCCGAGTTTGGATCATTCAGGCCATATACTATATATTAATAAGCGATATTGCGACTTCTCTTCCCCTGATGCGAGGGAGATTTCGATTCCCATTTGACAGTGAAAATAATGGATCAGATTTGGCGATTAAGTGCTGCTCGAACTTTGTTGCCTAGCACAGAATAGGACAATGGTGCGGAATTAACGATATTTCTAGCTCCCGTTGCTTGACTACTGTCAAGGATTACAAATGTATTCGTAAAAGCTAAGTTAGAGAACCATTGGAACGGTATCCTTTCTATATCTTCCATTCACTTCCCAGAGCGATTGAGTGAGCCATAGGTTATTCTCGGCTACATTGGGAAATTCATATCATCTTGAAATTGAGCAGCAGACACGAGGCACTCTCCGGAAGCAGCCTACATGACTGGCTTTATTGTTTCAACTGCCATTACATTCATATCGGGACAGTTCAACGCTATCTGGAAGGGAAGACAAATCAAGATGTCAATAGAAGCAACCAGCAGAATACACATAAAGCCTAACATATCGAACCGGATTCATCCCCATTGAAGCTTTGAACAAGTATCTAACTAGTTCCCTTCATATATGCTGTCAATGCCTTACGTGCAGGTTCCAACAGGTTGTTCCTTATCCCAGATGTCGTGATCCGGGATATTCTCCTCATAGTATGTCTCGGTGACCCTCTTGAACCCCACGACCGGCCCATCATACGGCCAAGGTTCTCCCAGTCCTGTCGCAAAAATGGCGAATGACGCGCCCGAGAAAACAAAAAAGTTTGCCGGTGCGAATGCCTGCCATGACGATGCAATTTCCGCTATGTAGTTCGGCTGAAGCGCATTACCTGCACTGTACCCAAGTTGGTAAAGTAATGGAGTGGCGCGAATGTGCAAGACCAGGGGCTCTGTCAAACGTGTGGTGTTGAGGGGAATTTGATGATACTGTCCAAGTTAGCCTCCATAAAATGCAAATAATACAATCATTGAGTATTTCAGGAGCGATAAAGTTTTACCTGCGATGTTTGGTTCTGCCGTAGCTCCGCATATATACAAAGCCCTGTGGTGTTCGCGCACCCTGTGACACCAATGTCCTGGTGCTGAAACTCGGAGAGATACGAAGAGATCCCAACCTGGTTTTTTGGCCCCAACGTCTTATTGAAGCCCAACAACTCTGCAGAAAACGTCATATTGAGGGATTTCTGCTTTCGGAGGAGCGCTGCAGGTGTGTCCCTGTCGCCAAGGCTGAACACATTTGGCCTCAACTCGATACTGCCTTTGTGCAACTTGAAGTTTCGAGTATACGGAGTCCTCAGCTGGTACCACTCAGAATCTAGCGTCTGAGAAGAAAAGTTGTCTATGAATGGAGGCGGATTGTGACGCTTGCCAGTTACCGGCCCAACTTCTTCGCTCAGGAGAATCGGTTTCCCGTCGTTGAATATTGGCCATCCATCTTTCCAGGTGACATTCGTGAGAAAAGTTTCTCGCCCTAACACTGGTAAGTATTTGATTCGTCGCGTCGGAATGTCGAAGACCTACCTAGCGGGGAGCTTCCGTTAATCTTCCTTCGAGCCAAGAAAGCTGCATACCATTCACCTGATGGGGTTTCCACCATCGTAGCATGTCCCGTCGATTGTACCGTCAAATTATCGAAACCATACGCCCCATTGAACAGAAGAGGGTTATTTGGCCCAGCTTTAAAGGGGCCTTCTGGCGACCTACTCCTGGCAATGGTCGAGCGGTGGAGATCATCAGTTCCACCTTTCGAAACAGTATTAATCCTCATTCTTCTTTGTTGTGGATATTTCTTGGCAGAGAAAACTAACCTTCCGCGATGAGGAGGTAATACCAGCCATCTTTAAATGTCATCTTTGGCCCCTCCGGCCGAGCTGAAGCATTGTGGGCCAAAGTACCGTTCCACAAACTCCGATACTGCCCACTGCAGCTCCCGTCGTTCAGACTGATCTCGCATTGGTAAATGCCCCAGAGTCGGTCTTGGTTGTTGTTCGGCGCCATAAGATTCAGGTACGTCTTCTTCGAAACAGGATCTCTAAACAATTCTGGGTCAATGCCCCACGGATCAGCCCAAATAGGCTCGGACCAGTGAACCAAGTCGACAGACGACGCAAAGAACACGCGCGGCCACACTCGGGCGACTGGATCGTATGTCCAACGCGTCATGGAAGCAATCCAGAACTTTCCGTCAAAATGAGCCAAGGAAGGTGCCCAAGCTCCTACCAATAGTCAATAAGTACATGATCTCACTGGCTCATCTTGATTTGGTGTACGGACCTGCTCCCGTGGGCGTTCCATAAAGTTGTAGTTGGTCAGGTCGCGTAAAAGCATGCGATATTAGTTTCCAATTAGACAGGTCACGACCTGCTCTCAAGTTAGGTTCCTCTCTACATGGTTAGACTTCATGTTCTTGGATCAGCACTCCTTACTTTTGTAGATGGGATTTCCCGGGAAATACTCGAAGCTAGAGGTAGCGATATAGTAGTCATCTTGAACCCGAAGAATCGATGGATCGGGATTCCATCCTGATATGATCGGATTGTAAATTGCTTTGGAGAGGCTGGCTAATGTAAGCCAAATGCCTAGGAAGATATTGTTACCCCGCATGATTCGTGATGATGGATGCGGAGAACACCCTCTGAGTTGTCACGAGAGCATCATGCTCGCCAGCAGCCAGTATAAGTACATGGAGGGTAGCTTCTGCCGAATTAATCAAGGGTTGAATCTATGCAGTATATTTTCACTATTCGGCTATCCAAGCAAATACACCTTCACCCTTCCTTGACATGGAGCAGACCGATTGAAAAATGAGCGGTCTCCGGTACAAGTCTCGGACCAATCTCCGGCGGTAACTGTGACGTGGACAGACTACCTATATGTATTCGCTTCCTTCCCCAACTTTCTCCACGATGCTAGTTCGTCTCCAATTACCCCAGATTCTCCAACCCTGTTAGGAAGTATGCAGGCAGCTAGCTGCCTCTGATCCCGGCCAACCTGCGTTTAAAAGGTAGAGTAACAGACTGCTTACCATAGCTGGAACTATTGACGCCCAAACGAGGCATTGTCGTTAGAATATGACAAATCGCCACCAGATTAGGATATGATAGCAGCCCTTAGCTCTTGTCGATTACATATTCTTTCCTTCAAGTCGCACCGTTTTGTGCTGAGTGGCGTTTTGCAAGTTCTTGGTAAGAATGACCAATCAAGATCAGTAATTATCAAGGAGAATCACTCTTATGGGATGTTGCAAGACTTCCAGGATAGTTCATACTTAGTAAATACCTATCATTTCTTGATTATTGATTGTATGTAAAACCTTTACGGAGTAGTGCCTTAAGAAAGTTTCCACGAAGCCCATGTTTACTATAACTGACACCTTCGTATTTGCTTAGACTTTGGTGATCCATTGCTCAGTGTGAGAATTCTATTGCAATTCGTCGGAAATTCTGATTATGATGATTAGTTTATACTAGTTGGTCTTTCTCAATCTATGTATCTATGTAGAAAGGCAAATGTTTTCTCATCTTCTCTCGAATTTTGCCACGAGATTTGATCCAAGCTCCTAATGATATGCTCTATAGCAGATAAACTTACAACATGACTACTAGGTATTCTCTCAAAGAGCATAACGGCCCTTTTTTCTAATTTTTTCACCAAACACAAAGAGGACCCAGGGAATGGGAATCAGACCAATGGCGATGAAACCGAGCAGACTAGCAGCCCATTTTGTCGTCAATTTATTGTACACTAAATGACGTAGAATCAGTATTGTGCCAAAAATGTCAACTTCCCTCAGTACGATTAGCCTACTTTGAATGGTAAAGAGCGGGAAAGCAGCAGCAAATACATAGCGTGTAAAGGCATTCGCTGAAAGCGCCGAGGCGCCGTATCGTGCACCATAGCAATCGATCATATAAGTAATGCTAGTGGCCTTAATCATACACCTCTGTCAGTATACAGCATATAAATCAAATTATGAGAGAGCAACTCACGAATATGCAGAGGTTTCCCCAGTTGAAAGGGATCAGAGCAAGTACCGGACTAATCCAGTGGATATCCGAGCGAGCTGTCCAGGCAAACCAGAAAAGGCCAACGGCAACTCCCAAACTTCCCATCAGAGCTGGGTAAAGGCGCTTCTCAGGTGGCAGATGGCCCATCTCTCCCCTTTCACGTGCCTCAATAGCCTTCCTTTGATAGATGAAGCGATCACAAAGAACGTTGGTCATGGTTGCAATCAGTGTGCCAATACCAAGGGAGATAAAGACGAGCCCGTTTTGGTGAGAATTAAAACCATACGTCTTCTGGAAGACCAACGGAAGAGATGCAAAGAACGCGTAGAGCACGGCAAAGTCAAAGCCAATGTACAAGCTCAAGAACAGGACGATGGGCTCGGTGAAGAGAAGGTGCATAGGTTTCACCAGCGACTCCGTTACCCATTTATGCACACCGCCCCAGCTCATCGAGGGCATCTTCTTGCCGGAAAGCAGCTTCTCTTTGATCTTATCTTTATTGTCACGCTCGAGGATTTTCTTTTTGTATGTTTCCTTCATGCCGATTGCAAAGACGCAGGTCGCGACACCCCAGAAGACGGAGACCCATTCGAGCCACCGCCAGTTGAGTCTTTCCACGACAAACCCGCCGATTATTGGAGCTGGCAACAGGTTAGTGCCATGATTTTATCATCATTGATACAGCAATTAAGAACGACTTGGAGCATTGGCATACCAATACAGGGCCCCAAAAAGGGGGCCATAACGAAGAGAGCCGTCGCCGGCCCCCGACGGGCAGGAGGCCACATATCTGCCATTGTCCCTCCACCAACGCTCAATGCCGGACTTCCAAAGACGCCGGCGAAGAAGCGGCAAATGACGACAGCGCCAATGTTCTTTGACGTAGCAGCACCTATGAGAAAGAGTGTAGCAATGGGCAATCCCAGGCGGTACACAATCAATCGTCCTGCTGTCTCGCTGAGCGGTGCGCCTATCACTGGCCCACAGGCCAACCCGAGACAGAAGAGTGAGATGCCGAGGAGGGAAACCGTTTCGGATACGTGAAATTCCTGTCCTGTTGCTTTTGCTCCTGGTGCGTACGCTGATGACATGTATGTGCTGATAGACCGCTGGGTTAGCCACACTCCTATTGCATGTGTATCCATGCTGTGTTGTCATGATATTTGTCGCCGTATACTTACACGGTAAATGCGTAGAGAGAAACACAGACGGTATGGTACACTCGCTTTCCATCACTCCAATTGTATGGATTGCGAGGGTCGTCTTCCCAATCCAATTCATGACTACTTGCAGGTGCGCTTTCTGGGTCACTAGTCGGAGATGAGTCGTCTTCTTTGTCGGTAGGCAGATCGTCCTGCATTCTGTCTTCTATGGCGTCCATCTTGGCTTGTGACTCAAAAGACGCCCGGTCCTTCAAATCAATCGCCCAATCGCCAGGTTAGATTGCCGAGACCACAGGGCTATATATCTGCATTTGAGAAAAGGAGCAAGAAACGCAGGAAGAGATGGGGTCCGCAAGTTTACCATCCACATTAGTAAGGCAAGATCGTGCCGCCTCCACCCGGGGATGACGATGCCGGACTGCGGCATCTCCCGTAAACGCATTACTAGTCCGGAGTATGAATGGATGAACACTGGGAGGGGGCCACGCTATTCCCAGATGGATTCCGCAGGACAGCCGTGAAGGTTTCGGCTTCGGTGACAAATCATTTCCCAGTCCGGCTACATTGGGATCAAAGTTCGGAGTAAAGGATGTTAGTCTTGTGTTGCTTGCGGTTCACAAGATGCATCAACGGGCTTGTAATGACACTTTACAAGACTTTAGCAGTAAAAGAATGATAAAATCTCCCTTTCAGACTCAGAATACCACTTCTACAAACCACATTTAACAACATATACCCTCCTCTCTTCTATAAAACAAACAATGTACAAGTAAACGTCCATCATCCGGTTTAGTAAAACGGAGAGTTTTGATGAATCCTAATCTCCGATTGCCTCTTCTGGCTAGTCTCTGATTTTTCAATTGGTAATCATCATCCGAATTCGGCGGCTGAGGTGAGCAAAGGGATAAAACCCGAAGTGACTATATATTCCCGACATTCCCAACCGTCGGACAAATGGCGTCTGGCTGACCTTTTTCTTGGTCAGACACACAACCCACGCAGGATGCACCATTTGCAGTTTGCGATTTAGAGCAAAACAAGCTTTTACGGAGTACAGAGAAGAATATTCCGTCTACAAGGATGTTGGCTAGAGCGGAAGACACTGGGTGGTAATGGACCGTTACATGTAGAGAGAGAGAGCTTGGCCTTGCGCGCAGCTCGTATGTAATACTCGTACAAAACATGAACGCTAGAGCGGCAAAAGCAGCTCAATGAACTGAACAGGGTTCGGTGATCGCAAATCAGTTTGCCTGACGCGAAATCCGAGGACAAATCATCCATCCCACTTGGACCAGATTCCGCTGCTCGGGATAGAAACTAGCACCGATTCGTACGTGCTGGAATCATGGGCTTACTAGCTGCAACTATTCGGAATCTTTGACCGAGCTGGGCAATGCGATCCACTGGCGATCTGCCAGATACTTAAGGCACGGAGCCCAACTCTTGCGCTGAAATCCAACTGTTTTCGACTATTACTTATCACGATTATTCTATTATTGGCCATCACGTGACCGGAGAATCCGGCCATTTGGATCTTATTAATAATCCCCGTTCGCCGTGGTCGCGTGGGTAGCACAACAATATATTTCATCCCACCCCTGGAATATCGCGACTCGGAGCTTCGCTCAAACACTCGTCCGCTTGTAGAAGGTCTAACGCCTCATAAAGAGCTGCGCAAGCTATTGTGTGTAGCCTCGATCCGCCCAGAGCTCCTCGTATAAGGCTTCCAGCCCTCCAGCCAATCATGTCAGAAACACCACCAAGAGGGAAGAGGCGGCGGACTGAGGAGTCGGATACCGAGGGCAGCGGCTCGGTGATTGAAGTTGGCAACTCAATCACAGCAAAGCCGCTGCCCGTAAGTGAGGATACGAATGGGAGGCCTGAGCCAATGACTGAAGCAGGTGAGTCGAGTGTCCGGCACCGTGTGAACTCGGGAGGAAATGGTTCTGACGAGGCTTCGTTTATGTAGAAAGGAGATACCGAGCTTGGCGTAGTGAGTTATGCCCAGTCTCATTCCTTTGATACTTGCTTCATACTAACCGGGAGATGCAGAAAATGGCTCTCCTCACGACAACTTCTGTTTCATCTGCAAGCGGGAGATGGACCTGCTGGACTGTTACACGTGCCGAAGGTCCTACCACCAGGATTGTCTAGACATACCTACCGATAAACTCTACCACAGGGACAACTTCTTCTGTCGAGTTTGTGTCAATCGCCAATGGCACGAGCATCTGCCTCCGCCCAGTCCGCCGCCATCTCCACCGCTTGAGAGACAGAGGGTGGCCTTACCCAGTCACAGGCCGAACACGCAGCCCAGCGTTGAAATGCATGCACCTTCGACTTCGGCTTCGACTTCACCAGCTCCTTCGGCACCAGCCCACAATGCCCAGGCTTCCGGCCCGACATCCTTCACCTGGCTATCGCAGAACCAGTTTACGACCCCTCTAACGCGCTCCAGTGCGATTTCAAGTCCCCGAACCTCAACGCCTCTCTCGGGTGTCATCAATCTCAACGGCCCTGGTCGGGGTATCGTGGCTGGTCCGCGCGGTCCCCGTTCACGCTTTTCTACCTTGTCGGCTGAAGTGGATGATGCCGTTTCTTTAATCCTGAGAGAACTGGAATATCTTGGAGACGCTAGGCAGAAAATCTCACAACTGGAGGATGTCATTGTGAGACTACAGCAAGATGTCCGGATCAACGAGAATGCGCTCATTCTAGCGCAGCGCAACGCCGCTTCGTCAAACCAGCGCAATTCAGAAAGCCTCCGTGTGGAGAACGAACGGCTGAAGAAGGAAATGGACGGCATGAATCGACTATTAGGAGATGAGAAATCACGGTCACAGTACTACAAGGCTGATGCGGACCACTGGAGAGCGCAGGCACAGATCCGGCAGGGAGAACTGGAAGAGCTAAGGGGGAAGCTGAAGAATTTGCTGGGCGGGTAATTGCGGGAGAATGGTACGACTAGTTTGCTATTGTATTGTATGTATAAGCCGGAGTACGTGGATCAGGGATACCAGTTGAGATTACGTGTGGTTCTGTGGACCTTTGGATTTATTATTATCTCGCTGTTTATTCTATCACCCAACAATGGGCATGGTTCAAGCCTGTGTCATGAATCATCTTGCATCTTCCCGATCCTGTACGGTGGAGACGTGTAATATAAGCATAAGTACGACGTCCTCATAAGCAACAGGCCTGGACTGGATTTCCACGGGGTTCATATCTGCCCGGCATTGCGGGGTAATATACAAATTAACTTCTTTTCGAACAAAGGGATGAGAAACCCCATAGCTGACTGTGCTTGAACTGGCTGGGTTAAGCGTCATCCTATGTTTGTGGACGATGTTCGTTTTATTTGTCTGTATAGCGCCGCTCCTGGTCCGAATTATAGTCAACTCGCTTAGCCATGCCAATGGAGATTACGAATACCATCTGGCTTTATTATTGGTCTCGGCTCGCAAGCTTCCGTTGAGTATTGGGGGCTAGAAGCATTCGTGTTGTTTGTCATTCCGACTCATTCGTAAGGCTCTAAATTTGGCAACTGACCAACCGTCAACCTCAATATGGTCGGCTGTCACCTGCGAACTCCTTCGTCCACGACCCGTTGCGCTAGCCAGGGTCTGCATAGTGTTTCTAGGGACGGTGATTAGAGATTCATGCAATTGATATATATCTTCTGTGCATCTTGTCGCTTGACTGGTACAAAGCTTGAGATCCATGCAATTGATGTATCGATGGAAGTTTTGTTCGTCTTGTCCCGCTATCGCTTGACTGGTGCAGAGCTTCAAGGGTTCAACCAGCAAACTTCTAGATGGATTTATGTACAACGCAAGAAACGCAAACACGCAGCGCAAGTTCGTCTATAGAAAGCAACGCAAAATCCAACTTGGCCTCTTTGGGCCTTTAGTAAAACCCATTATGCCTCCTCAGAAGGCTCACTCGTCGCTCTGTTCCACGACGTTCCGATAGCTCCCCAGTACTCTTCATTAAACATTTGCATGTGGCGCACATGGCCACTTCCCTTGAACATGTGATTATCAGACTTGTATCCCCTTTTCCGGGCTTCTGCAATATGCTCTTCAATGTCCTGATACGGAATGATATCATCATCTTCGCTGTAAATATACAAATGCCGCGTATCCTTGGTCTCGTAGTATGGGTTAATCACCGCCTTGACGCTGAATGCCGGCGCAGGCTCCTTGCCAATGACCCATTCGATGAAGCGGTTTCCGCAGAGGAATCCAGCCCAAAGAGTCTGTGTGACGGCAAACGGCCAGGGGAACCAGTTTGCAGTGCCCAGAGCCATTGCGCGCGACCAGCGGCCCAAGTTCTCGCGGGTCATGATGACGCTGCCAGGCGTAGAATCGAGGACCAGCAAGTGATGCGGCATCGGCTTGTCGTGAACAAGGCGGTAGGCGTTCAACGTCGCCGCATAGTTGATGCCTCCAGTGTTGGACATGATGTGGGCCAGCACGCGGTCCTCGACTTTTTGAGAATCCCTGTCGTCTTCCGACTCCTTCGGGAAGATGGCGTCGATGACGGGTCTCATGGACTGCGTGCGTTGGTCGAGGTTTGACCACATGGCCTTTGAGATGGGGGCCAGCACGACGATCTGCTTTGAGCAGGGGAAGAGGTTCCGGTATCCATCTGCATACTTGACCAGGTTCTTTGGCTGCCCATCGCCCCATGAGTAGATGAGGACGGCCCGGGGATCGGTTGGGCGCTTCACTGCCTCATTTTGGGCATCGGGGTGGCGGATGTAGACCTGATCAGACAAGGCGCTGAAGCCCGGGAAAAAGTCTTTCTTTTCCTCAATCATTGTCGATGGAAAATAACACTGTGTGACAATGACAGCAAAGTACTGGAGGAAGAGGTTGAATCTTCTAGTCGCTGGCCTGCACCCGAACTGTACATTCACCGGTCGTCACGGCCTTGATAAAGAATGTCGAAAAAGATACAAGTCAATGTTTGTCTGGCTTTGTTGGGATGCAGGCCTTGTTGTTGGGCATGTTTTGACCCGCCCCGTCGGCGGAATGAACATATTTGTTAATCCTTCTCCGTGCCTCGGTTCAGTGGCGATACAGTAAGAGTTGGTAAACGTGGGAGCGTGTTTGCGACCAGTTGCTTGTCGATGAAGCAGAGAGAGAGACAATGAGAAAGAGGCGAAGAAGATGAAGATAACCTCTAAAAAAGACACGCCAAAAACAATGACATTCACTTATTACCCTTCAATGCAACAGGTGGCGTCCAGACCTTGAAGAAAAGACCCCCAGATCGATCTGAATTGATCGCTTTCACATGCTTTGACAGCTGATGGATTGGCCCACTTGCAAAGGATCCACTAAGCGACAGGGCCTTAATTTAGTTCCACCAAGTTAGAAAGGTCCATGACGAGAAATGGAGGTGTCAGTTGGGTATTAGTGCTGGGAACAATGAGAAAATGCAGTGACATATCACGAATTGTATGCATTTCATACCTTGATTTGGAAGTTGGTGGATCCATGTCCTGCCCTGAACTACCGAGATGTAAAGGCCCAACATTTGTGAGGCTTCATTCAAGTTTGCCGAGGATGAGGCCCGTTTGCTCTGGATTTCGTAGCCCATCCTTTGAGTTGATTTATGAGTAAACAGGAAGCCTGTCGATATATCAGATCCAAGGGCGATTACCTTTAAGCTCTCAGCCCATGTTTTACCTCAACATCAACCCATGAAGCAGGCAATGGAACAGTAATCATGATTAGTCATGTATCCAAGCAACATAGTGTTTGTCGAATAGAAGTACCTCGTTAGTTAAGAGGGTAGAAGGAATTGCCCCTCAAGAACTAAGATTCAAGGGAACCCTAGAGCCCAAAACTCAATCTCACAACCGTCGTCGTATCTCCAGTCTCGTTAAAATGGATGACGCGATTACAGCCATAGTTTACTCTTTCGCTACGACACAGGGCATATGGTAAATCATCAAAAAAATACATTCATTCCAGAATGTCTATCGTCTAGTGATGCCTTCTTTACTTCTGAAACTCGGGCCTAACCTTGATCTCTTCAACAACCTGCGCCGCATCAGGATCGCCCTCTGCCGCCAAACGCTGCAACTCTTCCGTGTTATCCTTCACCCACTGCTCAAAGCCACCAGGCTGCTCAACGTCAGTAATCGTAATTGCTATTTCGCATTTCAAGCTTACCAGAGGGAGATGAAATCCTGATTCCTTTGCAACGTCCAATTCTCTCTTGATGAATATTCCCCTGAGTTGCGTCGCAATAGAGTCTTTGCCGACGGCCTCATTCCAGAAACCCTCCAGCTTGTCGGCCATGCCTTCCAGCTGCTCTTGGGTACGGCCACCACCGCTGCGGAGACTGACAAAGAGGCGGTTGATTTGTCTTGGTTGGCCGCCAACGTAGGTATCCGCCAAGAGGCCTTGGGTCACGTCCATAAAACGAACATTGACAATGAACCGTGGTGACCTGAATGTGGTTGCGTGCCAGTCTGTAATCTTTTTGACCAAAGCCAGCTTCTGGGTTTGGGTCAGTTTAATAGCAAGTTCGAAATGGTACATGGGCATGTTGAAGATTTGTTGATAGTAACAAGGATGCAGTTCTTCAGAAGATCGCGGGGTAGATGCTCAGTAATGGCTATTTCCTACTGATATACTTCTCAAGTACAACAATGGTACCGATATCGGCTTTCCTACATGCATTCCTCCGTTTATCCATTTGGAATCAGCTTCGCGATAGTTATTGAGCCCCCACCTACAAGATTGGTCATCATCCCGAAAGAGAATAGATCAATGGGCATGCAAAACAGGATCAATGATTCTTTGCGGATATCAGCGGGATAGAGAAAAACAGGGGCTGGTTGGTAGTGACGTTGGAGACGAGAATAGTTGGAGGGCGCGATGATTTGGAACTGATGACTCATTTACCTTACCTAACCATTCTAGCCTACCCGCGAAGTTGGAGAAGAATCAAAACAGCAGCACTTAAAAGCTACAATCATGCACTACAATGACGCCAGCATTCCTTCGTAAAAGAAATGGTGATGTCGGCCTTTTGCTCCCCGTTGTCTTACTCTCATACCCCCAGAATTTACAGTTCGTAACGGTCGAGCTGTCTTCTATGACAAATATCCTTAACAGCATCATTTGGAGAGTGATTGCGTCTAAACAAGATTATGTCGAACAGTTATGAAGATCACTCTTAAATACAGAAATATTTCCCTCATCGACCATGTCATTAATCATCACGCTATGTCAATTTATGGCTATTCACTCCGTCTCAGTGCTTTATAATCGATATCACTCAAGGGGTGGAGAACACATCAGGCATCGCTACTTCGGCGTTGACCCCATACACGCGAGACATGTAGATGACATAATTTGAGCTTCAGCCTATAGAGTTGTCTGAGAAGCTGTCTATTAGCAATTGTGCGCTCGGTTGGTATTCGCGCGCCCGATTTTCGCTGTATTCAGGTAGCCATGCGGAATCTCCATGGATAGAATCGGACTTGATAATGTTAAAGCGGATGGTCTGGTGGGTTTCTATAACACCGCAAAATACCGTAACGCCGCAACACCATAATAACAACAACACCGCAACACCGCAACACCGACGAGGTTCGTCGTCATAGTGGTGTCTCCTTTGTAGGATCTGACATACTACGATGACAAAGCCCTGCATCAGGAGTGGAATACCATTTTCGGTTACCCAGTTGCAAAGCTCATAGTTGAGTTGTCTAAGCTATCAGTTTTAGGAAAAGAATTCCGTCCAACTATACTGCAGTTCTATCGAGAAAGGTTAATTCCTAGCCTCGCCCCTCATTTGTATATAACCTCAGCTAGAGTTCCGTCATGTTTTGCAACTCCATCTCATACAGTTTTATCTCATCACCAACTCAACACAAGCTTCAATCGCATCTATAACAGTTACCAAAATGCAGGAGAAAACCGCAGTTCTACTCATTGACCCCCTCAATGACTTTTTGCATCCCGAGGGAAAGATCTATGCTCGTGTCAAGGAGAGCATTGATGCCACCGACACAGTCAACAACCTCCAGAAGTTCGTCAAAGTTGCTCGAGGCAACAAACTTCCTATCCTGTACTGCCAGCACAAGCTATATGAAGAAGGCCAATTCGAAGACTGGAATCACATGACCAGGAGTCATGTCTCTACGGAGCAATCGAAGGCTTTCTTAGCAGGAAGCTTTGGAGCGGAGATTCTCAAGGGACTTGAGCCAGATCGAAACAATGGCGATGCAATTGTGTCGCGTCACTGGAACAGCAGGTAATTTCCCTCTTGCGATCAGATCTTTGACTGTGCCGATGTATTATGACTAATAATCGGATGTAGCTCTTTTGCCAATACCGATCTTGACTACCACCTTCATCAGCGAGACATTACGCACGTTGTCTGCGCTGGAATGGTCGCCAACACCTGTCTGGAGGCCACTGCCCGCTGGGCTGTCGAATTGTAAGCATTGTCACTTCAGGTTTGCATAAAATCTCAATACTAACGAATGCACCAATTCAGGGGATATCATGTCACAATTATGTACGTATACTCGCAGCTTCCAGGAACCCAAGGTGTTAATTAGTATGCTAACTCTCTTAACAGAAGCGATGCAACTGCCGGATTTTCCACTCAGCTGAAGGATGCCGCTGTAAACATTATCTGGCCTACTATTGTGGATGAGGTGCTGAGTGTGGATGAGTGGTCCGAGAAGCTGAACAAGACAGCCTAAAAGCAGATGCTAAATACATGTAGCCAAGCATGCTCAATGGGTGAGCAAAGGCCATTTCTCAATCAGAAATAAAATTAAATAAAGTCTCTATACCTTTATATACTCTCTCCTGAGAACCCTCTCGCACAATTCCTTTAGCGCTTTAGCACCATACTCAAAGTCCTTGAGCTCAAGATACACCTGAGCTGAGAATCTTGCCCACAAGGACCCGGAAATGAATCCAAGATTAACAAACGTATTGTAGTCTTGAGCAAGATGTTCCAGAATGAAGTTGATGACTTGTGAAACGTCCTCCAAAGGGATCGAATCCTCACTCTCTCCCGTGCTAGATGAGGAAATATTAAGAGGAAGCTGGACGTTGGCAAAAGCAACTCGCTTCGTCTCCGGCATGGGTAATGTTCGAGTCTGTAGTATCTCTACCGCCAATTTCTCGCCATCTCGGGCCAAGTCTCGGCAATACGCTTGAATGGCTTCTTCCCCCCCGCAAATGTCCCTTCTAAAATCCATAGCTGCAGGAATGCATAAAGGAGGCCCGTTATCAATTGTCCCAGTGTAACTGAATTGAAAGACGAATGGATTTTTCGAGGCTGGGAGTTCGTATGGACTCGTGTAGTTTTTCTTTTGCAAAATCTCCGGCAGCGGTTGAAAGCCGTGAGACGTTGGAAGAGAGGTCCGCATAAGCTTTTGGTTCTTTGATGCGACGTATAAAATGGCGCACGTATGTGGTACAAAGAGCCATCTTAACACAATGTCAGAATCTGAGGTGCTTCCAAATGCGATGCCATTATAAAAAGACTTACTTGTGGCAGTTGGAGGTGAGAAAGTCGGCACCCAACGTCTCTACATCAAGATCGATCATGCCGATACCATGAGCTCCATCGATGACACTTAGTACACCAAACTCTCGACAAATTTCTGTCAGGCGTTCAAATGGCATCCTGAGTCCTGGCATGCTCAAGACGGTATCGAAAATGGCCACCCGAATGCGGCCTTGGTGTTCTTGCAACACAGACCGAAACGATTCAACAAGCGTATCGTCATCATCCGTAGTAGGATCAAAGGGGACGCGAACACTCTCTACAGGTGTACTTTCCACCAGATGATCCACAGTCTTCTCGATTGCCCCGTAAGTCCCTTGTACATAGGCAATCAAGTCTCCCGGCTCATACCTCAAGTTGCGAAGCACGGTATTCAGCGCCAGTGTTGCGTTTGGAACGAGCACAATTTCATCCGTGCTCGCAGCATGAACAAGATTTGCAACAAGTCCACGAACTTCATCAAGCTTTTCCGGGTATGTGTATCGAACAAAGCTATCCGGCTCAGCCTGCACAGCGTCCTGGACAGAGCGTAGAGCATCTCGCACAGGACGAGGATATCCGCCGTATGAGCCTGAATAGATCATTAATTAGATTCTTCTCATTCTCTTCTCATTGGGCCGAATGTATAACTCACCTTGGTTCAAATGGATGAAACCTGGTTTGAACATGAAGTATTTCTCCCGAATTGCTCGCCCAAATGGGGGAGAGTTGGTAGCATCCATTGACTCAACCATGGCTGTTGCGAAATCTACTATATCATTTATCGGAACAAAAGAGTTTGTATGCGACTGTGAATGTTAAGTATATAGTGTGAAACAAGTAAGTGTAGAGGTTGAGAGCTCTGTATCCGACACTGTCCCAAATCGATCATCTTAGCTAATATATCTGACTGTACAGCGTTCCCCACCGTCACACCGGTCATTGTATCGCAAGTTCAGTCTTCGCCGTCATCGGCTTCCTGTCAATGAGTGCCATCACACCGTCTAAAGGTCAGCGCCACCGGACCGGGGGAAAGGATGGAAGGTTATTCGCGGCATTGCTGATTCAGCGGTATGACAAAGCTCCTTAGATCCTTATCACCGGCGCCAATGACGCCTCAAATATTCCATCCAATGGGGAATTCGTAAGCCAATCTTATGAAGAACGTGTATGGAATCAAGGGCGCTACTACGCCCTTTGGAGCGGGGTTGACATTGAGATCGGAGCTCGAGGACCATGGATCTAAAGCAACACGATAATCCTTCCCGAAGTTCTTGAAGATAAAAGTACGAAGCGCTCATCATAAACTAAGATAACAAGCAAACTCGTCCTTTTTAGTTCTCTTCAGATATCGTAACCAGACAGAACTACCAGACTCTTCACAACAGCCAAGATGCCTTCTCCCCAGCCAGTTCAGACAGACGCCGCTCCAGCGCCCATTTCTCTCTTCTCTCAGGCTCAAGTCTACAACGGCCTCGTATATTGTTCTGGAAACATTGGCATCGACCCGAAGACTGGCAAGCAAGTTGAGGGAACAGTAACAGACCGTACTGTAAGAATCCAACCACAAAATAGAAGCAAAATAATTCGTCATCCGCTGACTGAACTATAGGAGCAAACTATTCGCAACATCTCCGCCCTCCTAGAGGCCGCCAATTCGTCTCTCAAGCGAATTATCAAAGTCAACGTTTACTTGACCACAATGGACAACTTTGGCCCAATGAATGAAGGCTACGCAAAGTTCTTTTCGGCTCCTTTCCCCGTAAGTTTACCAATTTCATCATGAGAAGCGTGAAAGTTTTAACACAGTGCAGGCCAGGACTTGTGTCAGCGTGGCAGGCTTGCCCATGGGCTCTGATGTCGAGATCGAGGTCGTTGCAGCACTGAACGAATAGATCCGCTGAATCAAATGCTTCATATTTGTACCTTCAATTGACCTTATCAACATTCTATAGCAGCGTTCAGAGGCTTTCGGTGAGAGAGCTTGGGATTGACATGGACCACAAGGGTTGTTTTCGACTATAGTGGGCAAATTTGTATATTGCGTATGCGCAAAGGTAAAAAACCCGCCAATCCTATTGGTAGAACATTGCCCGATAGTCGTAAAATAGATTAAGAGAAGTTCCATGGTAGTCAGCAGCAGCCTGTGTAAGACTTGAGTGAATAGGATGAACTGCCGGTGGAACTGCCGGCAAAGTGCTAAGATGAAAGTGGGAATGCCTTCGGTAAAAACATAATTCTCTCGGCGGTTTAGACATTGTCCGCGCAATAGCGGCGGTATATTCTCCGGCTGACAATGCGAAGGATGAATTATCCGACCCGAATATGCCTGAGTTCCGCTTCAAATCCCGTTCTCATGCCGCTTCCAAAAGGCGACTCGAATTTCCGTTGCTCGCTCCGAATGTACCGCTCCGCTCGGCATTTGAAGCAGCCGTAAGCCGCACGCACCAGCGCATACGGGTAGTACGGCAGCCCTCAAGAATGTGAAGGAAAGGAAGAATTTCGATCCTGGTGAATCAAACGGAAGAAACAGATCAAGTAAATGGATAATATTCTCACAATGGTTACTAATAGCGAATAGTTGTTTATAGTCGTGCGCCCACTTAATTAGTGGTTATATTGATGAGCTGTCTATACCCTCAACAACACCACAAGCTGCGTAGACAGCCCAATCGTTTGCTACGGCTGGCTATTAAAAGTTTTCAATATAGATGGTAACTCATCATTGGTTGGAGGAATTTGTCCATATGTATGATTACTCTGCATGCTCCGTGAGCTACTCTGTATTAGTAAAGCTGCGTATAAACAGGACCATCATATTCCCCGAGTAGGAAATGGCACAATACCCGGTAGAATGGGCCCACCAACAACCTCTTTCGATGAAGTAACCTTAATACCGAGTTGATCTTTACATCTATTTCGTTCTCTTCTGTACACAAATTCCTCAGACACTTAGCTACATAAGATTCAGTCGTCGGATATACAATACACGATGTAATTGGATCCCCGAGTGGTGGACCTGCTTACTTGTTAACCCGCCGAGTGATTACACTTTATGCATAACCTCACACCATCAACCGCTTCATATCAAATGCTATATGGAAGAATAAGCACCGAAGTTGTGGTATTAAGTTTGCTGGGAAGGCAGTGTATTTCCCGCCCTACTGTAGGTTATACTTGATAGAGGCGGACGTAAATATATAAGAAGGCCACAGTTTACGAACTTATGGCTTCCCAGACTATACTTTCCTCCCCACCCTCATCTCCCACTCTTCTCTCTAAGGGCTACAATGCCCCTTGTGGAAACTGTGCTCGGCGTACTGGCGAACCTTACCTCCCCAACCTCTGGCATTGGTTCATTTACTTGCCAACCAGGCCACTTTTTTGGCCTGGTCTCTAAGAATGGGAAGCCTTCAATCATATAGTGTCAGGACGCCTTAAAGTTCCAATTATACTATCCAGTCCTTGTTTCCCCAGTTCACCAAACTTTGACGAAGAAGAATGTGCGAATGTACTAGGCAGCTACGGAGACGGCTTCTTTCGACAGTCAATACATGGGGCATTGCAAAACACTGCTTAGGAGGGCTGTAGTAACGAAAATTGTTCCCGTTATTGTACCGCCTCAGGGACCAACATGTTCTCTTGGGAGTCTATCACCTATCTACGTTGACGTCGAGACGCCCGATGACATGGCCGCCGCCCTTTCTTTTTTCCAAGAAGCATAATATCCGAGTTGAGATCAAGAATACTGGACATGACTACTTTGGACGCGGTGCTTCTGCAAACTCTTTGGCTATGCGAACTAACAACATGAAGAATATGACCTCTGAACCCGTGTTCAAGACTGACAACTGTCCTCCAGCTAATAAAAAGAACATTGGCATCATCGGCGCCGGCGTTAACGCAGCGCAAGTGATTGGCTTCTTCAGCAAGCATGGCATGTCGGTTACAACTGGAGCCTGCCCTACTGTTGGTATTGCCGGTGGGTTTGGTTTAGGTGGCGGTCATGGTCCACTTGCACCAACTCACGGTTTAATGGTAGACCAGGCCGTCGAGTTTGGCGTTGTGACAACTGACGGCGTCTTCCGAACCATCAACCAGTGCAACGAGCCCGATCTCTTTTGGGCAATGCGTGGTGGCGGCGGTTCTTCGCTCGCTGTTCTTGTCAATCACAAGTTCCAGCTTCATCCATAAGTAAGATGGGCTACGTGGCGAATCGAAGCCACGTTGAGCCCAGACAGTCCTGATATCACATCAAATACTGTTCTGAGGGAAATTCTTATTTTTGTATCCAACGAACAACGTACGTGGTCCAAGAATCGTGTTACAGGTTGTGATACGGTATCACATGCAGATGTAGCTGAACCTGAGTGGAAGAACGTCTTCTTTGGCGAGCCTTACGAGAAGCTACTCGCCATCAAGAAGAAATGGGATCCTGATACCGTGCTCAACTGTGTGAAGTGTATTGTATATCTATGGGAACAAGACCTGATGTACTCTTGCGATAGCAAGGATCCATTTCCTTCGGTCCCGTACTCGTTTGGTCAGGCGGAGTCTGACATCATGAGTGATGGCAACGTTTTGGTTGATGTGCAAAAAGGGCCATGATACAACAGGAGGGCTCAATTCTAGCGGGATAGGTTGCAGGAGTTATGTCAGTTAGCTCTAGAGTCCATATTTGGTACAACTGGTAGAACAGCATAGTTAATCACAAAAACAGTTAATATCTGATGAAACTGAAGTCCTAAGCAACTTTTAAGGACACAAATACGCATAGAGTACCAACTAAGTCACCGATGAATCACACAAGTGTCATGCTTACCCGGCTGCTATACAAAACAGTACATGTATTCATGCACCACTACCATCAACATATCTCAAATCATGGTAATTCTTATACTTTCACATCCATTATATGAGAGAGGCACAATTCACTTTTAATCACGTCAAGCACTTCATATTCAAAATATGCTAACCGTATTCATTCATTCAACAGTATGGGTTAATAATTACCAGATACATGTACGTATGTGCAGTGGCGAATTCACTATGAAGACAAATATTTACATCAAAGTTTCCTCATCTCCCACAATCCGTAAATCTGCTTAAACAGCAGGGAGGACCCAAGTGGTGACAGAGTTGGTAGGGACGTTGCCGCTCCACTCCTGGCCACTGGAGGTGCTCAGGTGGATGTAAATGTCGTTGCCAAAGGTGTTCTCGATGACGACCGTGCGGGTACCATCGGGGTTGAGAGAAGCAACAGACTGAACACCACCGCTGCCAGAGTAAGTGTAGCTGCCGGTGCCGCTCAGGACGGTGGCTCCAACGGGCATGAACTTGGAGAACTGGGCCATCATGTAGTAAGCAGTCTGGAAGGTGTACCCGCCGTTGTTGATGGTGACGAGACCGGTGCAAGTGCCACAGCCACCGCTGGACAGGTGAGGGCCGTCCTGGGCAGTGGTGCCGAGGGTCCAGGCAGCAACACCAGAGGCCCAGTTCTGGAGAGGGCCCATGGTGAAGGAGGCGGCCTGGTTCCAGGAGCCGGTGGATGGGGTCCAGCACTCAGTCATGTACTGGTCAGTGTTGGGGTATGAGTTGTGGAAGTTGGTCAGGACAGTCCAGTCCAGGGAGGAGGCATAGCAGTGCCATGCAACGGCGGCGACGTCGTCTGCGGCGATGCCCATGACCTGCTGGGGGAAGTCAGGTCGGTCTGTGAATATTTATGTCAGCTACATGAACCACTGGCTATTTTTAGGGTCTGTAAGTAATGAGGATCGAAACGTACCAGTGTTGTGGTCGTAAGCCCAGATCTTGGTGCTCAGACCGGCCGCCTTCAAGGCAGGGGCAACGTAGTTCTGGATAAGGTCGCCCTGTTCGTCCCCGAACATGTACATGGTGGGATAGCCAGCCTGGCTGTTCAGGGGCTCGTTCTGGAGGGTAATGGCATCGATGGTGGCGCCGTGGGACTGGAATGCCTGGATGTACTTGACAAAGTACTGGGCAAAAGCGGCCGAGTACTGGGCACCGTTGTTGGTGAGGTAACCATCGTTGAGGTTGTTGTTGTTGGTGTTGCCGTCGATGGCGTTGTTCAGCTTCATCCATCCAGGAGCACTCCAGGGAGATCCAAAGACCTTCAGGTTGGAGTTGAGGCCCTTCATCTGAGCCAGCATGGTAGCCATGGCAGTACCACGGTCTCCGAGATTGAAGCCAGTCATGCCGGGGTCAGCTTTGCCTCCATTGTCGTCATAAGTGTAGGCTGGGTCGCCAGACAAGTCAGACGCGCCGATGGTGTGGCGCATGAGAGAGAAGCTAGCACCAGCACCAGTCATGAGCTCGTTGAGCAGCTGGCTGAGGGTGCTGGCAGACAGCTGGTTGAAGGCAGTGACGGTGGCATCGGTCACGGCAGCACCGAAGCCGGTGATCTTCTGCTTGTGGCCATTGCTGGAGTCGTCGATGGACAAGTTCCAAGTAGATGAGCCGGGGCTTCCATTGCCTTGAACAGGAGCAGCAATTGAGGTGAGCTTGTAGTTACCAGCCTGGTTGGATGCGTAGGCCTGGGCACCGGCAGCACGCGGGCTGTGAGCGGGCTCCGAAGGCATAGCAATGCTGATGGCGGCTTGGCCAGCGATGGAGGCGAGGAGAGCGGCACGCATTTTGGCGGTTTGGGGACTCTGAAGTGTCTTTGACCTGTAGCTTACAACCTTTGAAGAGCTTGAGCTGTCGATCTTCAAGAGTTCTCAACTCAACTCAACAACGTCTTCTTATAGGAATCTCTCGACTACCTTCAACACCCCCTCATCCCCTTACATCGCATGTCAATCACGACCCAGAAAGATATAATCACCATCCTTCTTTGTCCTAGTAGAATCGACAAGGAAGACTAGAAGCCGCCCGCGAACAAGGAACATCATCAGAAGCGGAGGAGCTGGTTGAGAAGCGGCACTCGCTGTCAAACCAATGAACAGGGAAGTTTCCAAGAAAACGGTCCATTGAGCATTTCTCCAACCCGTGTTGCCCTCTAAAAAAAGATAACAAAGACCTGCCGTTTAGATCTTCGAATCTAGGGGCATCATTAATGCTGTTTTGAGCATCCACGTAATCTAAATGCCGAAATACCCGTCCACATGGGTGCCGAACTTCCGCAGTAGACCGTTTTACACCATGGCAGCACCACAACCCCATCCAAAAAAGGGCCGAAGTGTTGTAAAAGTAAAATATTGCAAAGCGCTGAATCATTGAATGGAAGCTACGTTGTATCGCCGGAAGAGCGAGAATGTGCGATTTTTGCGGGCGTGTCTGGCGGCAATTGGTTATGGAGAGATTATCGGAACGGATCAAGGCCACGATCAAGTCCGGATCCGAAACCAGGGATTGATGAACAGCGCATCATCGTGCGTTGCGGGGTCAGACTTCCAGCAAGATGAATGATGGCACTGACTGTTTCAGAAACAGAGATTTCCTGAAGGAGAAGTTGTGGCGGAGATTTGATGAGAAAATAGCTTCACTGGCTGAAGGACCATAATCCGTCATAGCCGTTTCCCCTTTTCAATGCCTTTACTTCCAAAGAGATTTAGGAAGCTGGGTGTAATGCACAAGGTGCCCAACGATGTAGTTATCAAAGTTGTGATATCATATCCTACATATTCATGAACTCATCACAACAACGTCACATTTGGTAAACAATGAGCCATTCTTTGCAAAGCTGGGGATGGCAATCAAACATGGCCCAGACGAAATAGACTCTGCGGATTTAAGGTTATCCAAAGAGCCTAAGCAATAACTAACGTTATACCAGAGGCAAACATGCGACAGGATGCAACTCCTACGGGTTGAGTGGATAAAAGACAAATCTTACCTCAAAGCACGTGTCTTGCCGGCTGTGATCCTACGCGCCCATATCAGATATGCCGTAGATAGTCTCACCCCAGATCTAGCGTTGCAATCAGTGGGCGATCAGTTAAGCGCTGTGTCTGCTACGATAAAGAAACTGACTGCTCCGCTTTCGAAATGCGTCTACATTTATCGTCTAGTTGCCGTTGATGGCATTTGTACTCCGTAGTAAGCTCTATTCACGCGCTGATAGGAAGGCAGTAAGGTTTCACATCCCAAATAGGTAGCTCGTCGAGTCTTTGCAATAGCATGAAACTCTACTATGTCGATTACTATCTTCCAATGCCCTGCTAGTGCGAACTTCGAGATTCAGCAGTCCAGGGTAAATCTAGCCATTTTCCATTCACGGTATATTATCTCGAATGAGCAACCGGCGATATCTCTTTACACGTTAGCATCATCCTTGAACAATGTCAGAATTCTTCCGAAAGCCATTAAGCCCTTGTTGCTGTTGTCGTTGTTTCGTACGAGAGTATGGGTTCACGGAACACGGCACCTGGCCCTGTTGCAGACCACAATCAAGGAAGGTCTTGACTCGGGAAAGACGCACACTAACAGATGCATCATATGATCGTATTGATATGACGCCTAGATTTCTACGTTCTACTGATAATAATAAACTTCTTGTCTCTTTGTTATTTCCGCCTCGTATGATATAAACTGATGCGATGCAAGGTTTCTTGCGAAAGAGTCGGCACAAATATGCCATGTACGATACAAAGTAAACTACCGTACTGAGAATAGCAGATAATACCGCGCCTTGAACCCATTTGAGACGTACTCGTACTTGCATTACAAACACAATCCCCAACACGGGTTGCTTATTCAAACTTGTTTCTTAAAAGAGGTTTTCCGTCTTGCTTCCGTCCCGTTTCGTGACCGGGTCTATAAAAAACGACCCATGCTGAATCGCGCACAGGCCTTGAGATACTCCGTTTTGAACATACCCAGTGACAACTATATCCACGTTTTCGTCATCACTCTAAGCAGTTTCCTATTTCGCAAAACTAACTGATTAACCATCTTACATAGAGACTTTATCAATGTCCAAAAGAGCTTCTGGTAGCGAAGCACAAAAGCTCGTTGCCCACTACAGACACGGTAGGCTAGCTAGTCGGACGATTCATGCTTCATAGTCTGTCTTGGAGATAATATTCTTAGCTCAAGGCATTTGCTTTGCCGTTCCTTTAGCCGCTCGCTTACTCGTCCATCTCAGCATCTTGACGCAGTCCAATCCGGGCAGGGCAGGTATAAATCACTTCCAGCCAAAGAGAAATACCTCAACTCCTCGATCCAGTCAACTGCTCGTGCCTATTCAGGCCAAACTGTCCAAAGCAGCAAGTCGACAACAAAAAACGTAATCAACAAGAGCGACATCACCAGGCAGCAATGACAGCCCAACCCAGCACACGATACGATACCACTGGGGCCATCTTTCTTCTGCTTCGCTGCCCGTTGGTCCGCTTGCCCGCTCCAGCCGCGCGGACCACGATGTGCGGTTTGGCTGTTAGGCCCGAAGTGCGAGTGGAACCAAGCAATCACATTCACGGCACAATTGCACTGACCAGGGGGGTTCGTTTGCTTTGTCGTAGCAGATGCTACTTACCTCCTCTAGCTCTGAGGCTACATGTACGAACGAGGCCATTCCCGGTTTTCTGCAATGACGCCGCCGCCGAGAAGCGCACCGAGAAGCGGCCAGTAAAAGACCGCCGATCGTT